CGAAGCCCTGGTGTCCGCCTGCAGGACGCGGTCCCAGAGCTGGGCCGACCGGCCCTCCAGGGGGCCCGCCCCGCTTTTTAACTGCCCGTGCGCCGAGCGCCCCTGTGTGGCCGCCCCCTCCCGGCTCGGGCGGCCCCTCTGGCCAGCGCAGGCGGCCCCACCTCCCGCACCTCTGGCCAGAGGCTCCGGCCCCACCTCCGCCTCTGGCCAGAGGCTCCTTCCAGCTGCTTCGTTGCCTCTTCCCGGTGACAGCCCCTCCCCCGCCGCTGTGTCCGCCTCCCCCGCGGTGACCCCGAGTGCAGGTAGTTGGGCTCCTGCCCAGCGCCTCTGGCCTGCGAGGGCTCCGGCTTCCCCTGTTGGCTCTGAGCGTTTTTTTGGTTTAAGAAAGTCGGGGTGGGGGGGGCTGCCGTGGCTTTACTGCTGGAATGTTCCGGTGCTCTGCAGACCCCCGCCTGCCCCCGTGTGCCACCCTCCAGGTGCCCCCCACCCGTCTGGGCGCTTCCTCTGCCACCTCTGCCTGTGGCGGCGACCTGGGGTGTGAGGAGGAGGGCAGGATGGTTAGACCACTTGGAAAGATTGGGGGCCAGAGGAACTTTGGGGGGTTTTGAGGAGGCCCCGGCCAGGGAGGATCCTCAAAGGGCCCAGAGAGGTCGGGACCAGACTCGAGGGGCGGGAGGTGAGCTGGGTGGCCTTGTCCCGAGTGCAGCTGGGACAGGAAGTGAGCTGGTGGCTTCTTGAGACCTTGTGTGGGCCAGTGTCGGGGTGACAGGGGTTTGGGTCCTGGGGAAGCAGCACAAAATGGATGTGGGGTCTTGCTTGACCCCTGGGATGAGGGCCTTGGAGGTGGCTGGGGGGACACATGGATCTGGGCCTCAGGTTTGCCCCTCTGGGGAAGGTGGGGGACAGCCCACCTCGTGGGTCCCCTCGCCTCAATTTCCCACCCTTCTTTGCCACAGCCAGGTGCTCGCGTCTTCGGGGCGCTGGGTCCCATCGGGCCCTCTTCCCCTGTGCTCGCCCTCGGGGGCCTGGCTGTGGGCGAGCATCGCCTCAGCAACAAGCTGCTGGCCTGGAGCGGCGTCCTCGAGTGGCAGGAGGTGAGCCTGGCCCTGGGGGCCCCGGGGGACGGGCGGGGGTGGGGGGGGGTGGTGGTTCTGGGGCTGGCCCAGGGGCGCAGGGTCGGGGAGTGTCCCTGTCCAGTCCGGTGACCTTGCCTTCCCGCCCCAGAAGCGCAGGCCCTACTCGGACTCCGCGGCCAAGCTGAAGCGGGCGCTCCCCTGCCAGGCCTACGTGAACCAGGGCGAGAACCTGTGAGTGGCGGGCGGCGGGCAGCGGCGGGGGGGTGGTGCTGGGCCCCCTGACACTCTCCTCCCACAGGGAGACGGACCAGTGGCCCCAGAAGTTGATCATGCAGCTCATCCCGCAGCAGCTGCTGGTGAGCCCCGCCCCCGCCCCCGCCCGCTCCGTGCGGGCGCCCCCAGCCGTGACCGGCCGCCCTTGTGCCCGCAGACCACCCTGGGCCCGCTGTTCCGCAACTCGCAGCTGGCGCAGTTCCACTTCTCGGACAGGGACTGCGACTCGCTCAAGGGGCTCTGCCGCATCATGGGCAACGGCTTCGTGAGTGGCGGCCGGGCTGGGGGCAGGCCGGGGCGGGGGTGCCCCCCTACATGGGGGCGGGGGGGGGGTGGTGAGGGTGGCGCCTGCTGGGACTGGGGGGGCGGTGACCCAGGGCTGCGAGCCGGTGCTGGGGTCCGAGAGCAGCAGCAGCACTGATGTGGCGCCTGCAGCCGAGGCTGGGCCCAGAGGGGCAGCGGGATGGGGGGGGTGGTTGGCAGGTGCTGCTGGCCTCAGGTGCCAGAGGGCGGGCCTGGGGTGCCGCTAGTCCCTGCTACCCTTTGGGACAGCCCTTGCCCACCTCCAGGGGGCGCTGTGGGTGCGTGAGGTCCAGGTGGGTCCCCTTTCCCCTGAGGCTGGTGACTGGGGTGGGGGCCTGCCCCTCCTGCGGGCACCCCCTGGTGGCACCCAGCCTTTGCGCCAGACCCCCCGCTGCTCCCGCAGTGGCTCCCAGGAGACTGGGAACAGGGCCCCTGAGCTAGTCCGCTTGGGGCTCCTCAGGCCAGAGGCGCCAGTTGGGGACGGGGCTGTTTTCCTGGGGCGTGAAGGGGCCCTTGGTTCCTGGTCCCACAAGGAGACACTGGCATCTGGTGTGGGTGACGTTTCAGGGTGTTTAACACGCGCGCCGCTGGTAGGCTGGCCCAGGCCGGGAGACGCAGGGCAGGAACAGGGGGCCTTTCAGGTTTCAGAGCTGGGCTGGCCCCCGGCTGCGCCCCCAAGCCTGGCCTGATGGCTGCTCGGGCCGAGCCACAAGGGCCAGCTCCTCGGGCAGGGCTGGCATCAGGAGGGGGGTGAAGGGGCTGTGCCGTCTAGAACCCACACCCCACCCCCCCGAACTGAGGTCCCAGGCTCGTTTGTTCTGACTGGGATTCCTGGGTGAGGGGACATGGAGTGCGGGTCCCTGGGGACTCAGTGTTGTTTCTGGGGGTTCGGCCGGTCTGCGGGGGGCCGTGGAGGGGTGTCCGGCTCCCTGCGCTGTGCCCGGGGTCATTGAACCCCTCTTCCCCCCTAGGCGGGCTGCATGCTCTTCCCCCACATCTCCCCGTGCGAGGTGCGCGTGCTCATGCTGCTGTACTCGTCCAAGAAGAAGATCTTCATGGGCCTCATCCCCTACGACCAGAGCGGCTTCGTCAACGCCATCCGGCAGGTCATCACCACCCGCAAGCAGGTGCGCCTGCGCGGGCCGGGCCGGGGGCGGGGGCAGGCCCCGGGGGCTGCGGCTCGCTGGGGAGCGGCGGGGCGGGGCCGGGCCTGCGGCAGCCCCCCGACACCTGCCGCTGCTGCCCCGCAGGCAGTGGGCCCCGGGGGCGTCCACGCCGGCCCCGTGCAGATCGTCAACAACAAGTTCCTGGCGTGGAGCGGGGTCATGGAGTGGCAGGAGGTGAGCCCCGGGCGGGCTGCGGGACCAGCTTTCCCGCCCCGCCTCGGGCGCCCCTGACGGCCCCCTCTCCCCCAAAGCCCAGGCCTGAGCCCAACAGCCGGTCCAAGCGGTGGCTGCCGTCCCATGTCTACGTGAACCAAGGGGAGATCCTGTGAGTGTGGGGCGGGGCGGCGGGGCGTCTCCCCGAGACCGGGCTCCTGACCCCGCCCCTCCTGCCCGCAGGCGGACCGAGCAGTGGCCGCGGAAGCTGTACATGCAGCTCATCCCGCAGCAGCTGCTGGTGAGAGGGGGCGGGCGCGCGCTGGACCTGGCGGGCGCTGGGGCCCCGGGCCGCGGGCAGGCCTGGGCGGGGGTGGGGGGGGCCGGGAGGCGGGGATGCCGCGGGCAGCCGCTGCACCCCGTGGCCAGGACGGGGGGCGGGCGGCAGGTGGAGGGGGGTGGCCGGAGCTGTGCCCAGAGCGGCCCCCTCCCCGCAGACCACGCTGGTGCCGCTGTTCCGGAACTCCCGCCTGGTGCAGTTCCACTTCACCAAGGACCTGGAGACGCTCAAGAGCTTGTGCCGGATCATGGACAACGGCTTTGTGAGTGGGGCGGAGGCCGCGGGGGGCGCCTTGGGTGACCCTGTCCGGCCCAGACGTCCTGGCCCCTGAGACTCCAGGAGCTCTGGGCTACCCCGCCCCATGACAGATGGGGAAACTGAGGCTCAGGAGTGCCAGCCAGTGCCAGGCCTGGACCTGACCATAGTTTGGTGCCCAGGCTCAGTGCTGGGTCACTCCCCCCAGGGTCCCTGCCAGGCAGTGGGCTCTGCCTGCTTCCAGCCCGCCCCTTACACACCCTGGGGTGTGTGGTCACCCCTGGGGTCTGGGCTGGGTCCTGGCCTCAGTTTCTCCACCTGTGCCAGCGAGGGCTCCAAGCGCCTCGGGGTGCGGGGCGCTGGCGGCCCAGTGTCTTGCCGGGGTCTTCACGGCCCCCAGGTGAGGGGCAGCATGGGGTCCCTGGGACAGCTGGCCCTCGGAGCCCCGTTAGCTGGAGGCTGCACATCCCGCCCGCCCTGAGGGTGGCACGGGTGGGGGGGGGGCCGGCGGCAGCTCCAAGCCGCCCCAGGCCGCCGCCTCCCGTCCACGCGCGAGCGCCCGGCCCGGCCGCCAGGGGGCGCGGCCACGGCGGTGACGGGCGGGCGCGCAGGCCGGCTGCGTGCACTTCTCCTACAAGGCGGCGTGCGAGGTGCGCGTGCTCATGCTGCTCTACTCCTCGGAGAAGAAGATCTTCATCGGCCTCATCCCCCACGACCAGGGCGGCTTCGTCAGCGGCATCCGCCGCGTGCTCGCCACCCAGCAGCAGGCTCTGCAGCGGAGCCTGGAGCAGGAGCAGCAGCAGCGGGGGGTGAGGGGGCAGCGTGGGGGTGGTGGAAGTCGAGGGGGGTCGGGTGGGGGGGATTGGGGGGGAGGGGGGAGGCGGCTTTCCCCCACCCTACCGCTGACCCCTCCCGTCTCTTTCTCCCTGTAGATGGGGGGGTAGTGGACCCCAAGGACCGGGCCCCTCCAGGAGTTGCAGACGAGGCCCCCGCCCAGACCGGTAAGTAGCCCCGGGGACACGGGGGAGGGGGGCGGGGGTCGCCGCCGTCCCAGGGCCCAGCACCTGCCAGGAGTCCCACCCGCCCCCCACTTGTGCCCGCAGGTCGATGCTCTGCGCGGGCCCTGGAGACGGCGGCTGCCAGCGAGCCAGAGGTGCGCCCCGGCGCGCCCCAAGGACGACCCCGCCCCTGTATGATTCCCCAATAAAGACTTTTAAAAGCTCTCCTTGGAGTCGTCCTTGTCCAGAGGCCCGACTGGGCGGGAGGGGGGGAGGCAGCCCCAAGGGGGGCCCTCCTGGAGGGCAGAAGCCCAGGCCACAGGGGCTTCCTCCCTGAAGCCTCCGCGGCGGCCCCCCCTGCTCCCCCGGGGAGTCCCGGGCCTCCAGCGGGCAGTGGGCGCCCCAACGCGGCAGGCCTGCTCGACCTGGGGGCCCTCGACCCGACCGCCCCCATTCCCAGCAAGATGCCGCGGGCGCTTGAGGAAAAGCAGCGTTTATTGGGGGAGTCAGCCCTCGGAGAACTGGCGGTACAGCCGCTCGAGCCGCGGCTCCAGGCGCAGGCGGAAGGGGATCTCCAGGATCTCCGAGAAGCCTTCCGCGAGGGTGGGGGCCTCGAACTGCTTCCTGGCAGGCAGAGCGCGGTGAGGGGTGCGGAGGCTCCGAGGACACCCCAGCGGCCCCCCCCCCCCACCTACCTGTAGCTGAACAGCACCACGTCGGACACGGGCGCGTGCGGCAGGCCGGCCAGCTCCCGGAACTGCGGGCGGGGGCGGCGGGTCAGGCCGGGCGCCGGCTGGGGGCGCCGGCCGGGGGCGGGGTGCGGGGGGAGGCGGCGGCGGGGCTCACCCGGTTGTTGTGGCGCGCCTGCTCCAGGCCCGCGCCGAAGAGGAAGCAGCGGCAGGGCACGCCCGCGTCTCGGGCGCACTGGACGTACCTGCGCGGGCGGGAAGGTGCCAGGCCGCTGAGGGGGCCCGTCCTGGCCCGCGGGGGGGCCCCCCAGGCCCCGCCCTGCTACCTGGCCCGGCTCGGGGGGTCGGCGTTGGTGTTGTCGATCACCACGCGCTGCCTCTGCTTCAGCGCCGCCTCGCAGGCGCCCACGCAGCGCTGCCACGAGCCCAGCGTGTCCTGCGGGGGGCGGGCGGGCAGCGCTCAGGGCCGGGCGGCGCGGGCGGGACGGCGGGGCGGGAGGGGCGGGGCGGGGCGGGCGGGGCGGGCGGGGCGGGGCGGGACGGCGGGGCGGGGCGGGGCGGGACGGCGGGGCGGGGCGGGCGCGGGGCGGGGCCTACCCGGCTGACATGGACGTAGCCCGCGGACACCAGGTGCTCCTGCAGGAAGGTGGACTTCCCAGCTAGGAAGCGGGGCGCAGGGTCAGTAGCTGCCCCGGGCCCAGAGCGGAATGGGGGCTTCCGGACGGCGGGGTCGGGGCGACTCACCCCCCGGAAATCCCACTGCGACGACCACCTCGGGGCTGGAGCTCAAGAGGGAGCTGGACTCGGGGAGGAAGAGCGGCCCCGAGGGGGAGACGGTCCTCTGGGGGGGGGGGTTGGTCTGAGTGAGACCCTCACCCTACCCCTGAGCCCCCCCCCCGCGCCCCGCGGGCTCACCGGGTCAAAGGCCGGGAGCTCGAAGGCGGCCGCGGGCCACTGGAGAAAGTACTCCTCGGGCGTGGCGAAGGGCAGGCCGAGGTTGAGGGCGAACTGCGGACGGGGAGGGTCAGCTGGGGCGCGGAGGGGGGCGGGGAGGGGGCGGGGGGGCTGCCCAGGGACAGGGGCGGGCCCTCACCAGGCGGTCGGCACAAGAGAAGTCCTTCTTCTTGCGCCCCGGGGCCCAGTTGGCGGGGCGCCCAGCCGCATCTGGAACACACGGACACCCCGTCTCCACCGGAGACTCTGGAGACAGCCCCGGGGGCCCTCCCGGCCCCCACCGCGGCCCTTACCTCCCACAAAGACGCTGTCCCCGATGGAGATGGGCACGCCCGCGTTGGCCTGGGGGCAGCGACGGCGTGAGGGGCCTGCCCCATCGCCCACCCCTCGTGTCCCACACCCGGCCCTCGGCAAGCCCCGTGGGCCGCCCCACATCCCGTTCCACTCCCCGTGCCGCCGCCGCCCCCACCCTGGCCGCCGGGCTCGGTGCCGGACGACGGGTCTGGCGCTTCCAGGCTGGTACCCAGGGTCAGGCCCCGCCGGCGCCTATGCCTACAGGGCCGCCAGGGGGCGCCACCCCAGGGCGAACGGCAAGTCACGACGGGGCCACACAGCCTCACCCAGATGGCGCCTCCTCCGCCAGGCCTACCCTGGGGGGTTCTTCTCTTGCCCGGCCTGGCCGGCTCCCCCCTGGCTACCCACATGGGCCCTCCTGCCCTCTAGATCTCCCCTCCAACTCGACCTCGGAGCGGCCTCCCTGACCACCCTAAACAGACCCCACCTTCAGTTCGTCCTCCACGCCTTCCCCAGACACCTCAGTCTCCGGATTCTGGGGCTGTGCTTAAGGGCTCACCGGCAGCACCAGGCCGGGCAGGGAAGCCACAGCTCACCTGCTCCCGCAGATGGTCCCACATGCCGATCACCGGCTTCCGGTACAGGCCCGCGTGTGTGGCCACCAGCACCTGCACACAGGGCGGTCAGACGCCACCCCGGCTCTCCCCTGGCGCCCAAGGAGAGCTCCCAGCTCCCCAGATAGGCAGCTTGTGCCGGGTTTCTGCCAGCATCGCCCCATCCCGGCCCCCAGGGCCCCTGTCGCTCCCTCCCCAGCTCGCTCTTACGCCTTCTCCCTGAGCCCGCCGGCCCTTGCAGGTCTGTTACCCCCGCGAGCCCTTCAGCCTGCCGTGCACCCATACCTGGAAGGGCACCCCTAGCTTCTCTACCACAGCCTCCACCTTGGCCTTGAACTCCTCTGCGGGCAGCTTCCCACGCCCGATGCCCATCTGGTTGGTGAAGATCACCAGCTGCGGAGCAGACGCGGGTCACACGGCGCCTGGTCACTGCCAGCCCTGCCCGGCCAGGGCGCACACGCACCTTGTAGCCCTGCGCGTGCAGCTCCCGGAGCTTCCGCGGAATCTCCAGGTACAGGATCCTGGGCGACGGGGAGGCGGCAGGTGAGCCCGCAGGGCCCGGCTCGGCTCCCTCCCACCTCTCGCCTCTCACCTCCAGTCAGTGGGGCCAGTGGGAAAGACCTTCCCGCTGCGCGTGGTGATGAGGGTCCCATCCAGATCAAAGCCGGCCACCTGGTGTCACCCAGAAGAGGACCGCGCTGTCACCCCTCAACCTCACTCACCGCGGGCTGGACGCCAAGGTCCCCGGGGCACGGGCGGCCCCACCTGCCCTTTCCGCGGAGCCCGCCCAGACACACATCCCCCAGGACTCGGCCAGCCGGAGCGCTCCCGGCTCCTGCTCCTCCCCAGGACCCTCGCTCCAGTCGCGAGAACGGGGAGGGAATCTTGTCCACCCTGCTCCGCCCCAAAGGGCTGCTAGCCCGAAAAATGAAAGAGGAACGAAGGTTTCCTTGGGTGGCAAGCGCGAGGCCGAGGTTCCCGGGCTCCCGGGCTCAGGGAGCGCTGGTGACAGCGATGCCCTGCGGCCCTCTGGGCCTCAGCAACCCTCACGCCCGCTCCCGCGCCCAGCGCCGGCCGCTGCTGCAGGCTCGGGGCGGCCGCCGCCGCCGCTGCCCACCCGACTGGGTCACCGGGACCGGGTCACCGGGCCGCGACGGCTAAGAGGTGGCGTGACCTGCCCGCGGCGCACAACACGCTCGGGGCCGAGTCCCCGACCGCAGCGGGCGCGGCCCTCACCTTGGCCCGGGGCCTCACGCCGGGCGCCGTGAACACCAGCAGCTTCTCCAGACGCTCCCAGCCCGGGGAGGGCGTCCGCGCGCGCTTGCTCGGGGGCTCAACCTGCTCATCAGGGGCCGGGGGAGGGGTGCCCGGTGGAGTGTCTGGCTGGGATTCTGGGGCGCGCAACTCTTCCCAGCGCAGAGTCAGGGGGTGGAGGCCGTTGACCAAATACAGCGTGTCTCCCACCCCCAGGGGGCCTTCCAGCCCGGGGTGCAGTTCCCGGGTCCCGGCAGTGGAAGGGTTAACGCCCAGCTGCAGAGGGGAGAGAAGGCGGGGCTGGGGCTGGCTCCGCCCCACCGGCAACCTCCTCCAATCAGCCCAGGGAGCGTGCCTTTCCCCACCTGCCAATCAGAGACCCACCAATCGGGACTCTGGAAACGACACAGGCGCGCAGTCCTACCCGTTCAAACGAGGATGGGGCTGGTGGACCCCGAACCCTCACTTGACTAGCCGCGCCCCCTTTCCCTCCCGACCAGCGTCCCCAGGAGCCGGGCTGGGGTGCTGCCGGGCCCCACCCCTAGGCGTTGCCGCCGACTCGGAATCTGGTACCTGTTTCACCGTCACGGTCCGAGTCTCAAGGTCTGCGACCAGCTCCACTGAGGGCCGAGGGAGGGGAGTCAGGATGGGCATCTCTGGGGGGCCGCGCCCCTCACCACCGGGGAGCACGGCCACGGGGCGGGGCACAGCGTCCGCTTGGGAGGAGGCTGTTTATTTCCCAATGGGTTTAGCTACTGCGCGACAAGCCAGAGCCAGCGCAAAGCCTTGGGGCCGCGGGGCGTCGGGCGGGCCCCGCGCTGCACAGCGCCGGCTTCCAGGGGGGGCGCTGCCCACGCCCCCTCGGCGTGACCGCCCCGCCCACGCCCGCCGGGCAACGTGCACCTTCTCCAGAGGCCCGGCTCCCTCTGTGACAAGGGCCCGGCCTGCCCGCGGCCTGCACGGCGGCCCGTGAGCAGCATCCTCTGCCCCGAGACGATGGTCTCGGGACTGGCTCCATCTCCTGCCCGTAAGGGCGGGTATCTAGCAAGTTCCAGGTCAGACACAGGCTCTGCGCTCCCCAGAAGGCCACGACCGACGCCACGACCGCGCCACTCAGTTCGCCTGGGAGCAAAGAGGACCTCGCCGCGCGCACCGGCCTCCGCCCCACCGAGGCCGCGCCCAGGGGCAGCCCCGCCCCGCCCACCTTGGCTCCTGGAGCACTTCCGGTCGGTGACCCGGGTCAGCGGCCCCCGGCCCAGAATTAGGGCTCGTCCGTCCGACGGCAGGAAGATGGGGGACGCCCCTCCCTCGGGGCTCTCGAGCCACAGGCGGCCCTGGGCCCCCGCCTCGGCCATCCTGGGCGCCTGCCGGGGGCAGACAGGTAACAGGCTGGCGCGCCGCGCTGCCCGGCGGCTCCAGGAAGTCCCGCCTCTTCTCGCCCCGGCCCAGGAACCCCTCCTTCCGCTAGGGGCTCCGGAAGTCCCCGCCACTCGCCCCGCTCGGGCCCGCGCCGTTTCCCAGGCGACAGTGCCCCGCTCCTTCCCGCCGAGACCCCCAACTTTCCAGGGCAAAGGCCGAAAACTCGCGCGCCCCTGCCTCGGCCCCATGCTCACCCCTGCCCGCCGCTCGGGCTGACTCGCAACTCCCGTTCAGGGAGGCGCTGGCGGGGGAGTCCGGCTCGCAGTCCGTCGGCCGCTTCCTCCGTTCCGGGGCAGGCGGAAGTGACTTCCCCCGGGGCGAGCTGGGCCGGCCCCGCCCCCGCCCCGCCGAGGCCCCGCCCCCGAGGTGCGCTCCGGGGCACCGCGGCCGTCGGGTCCCTGCTGCAGTGAGAGGCGCCGGCCAGCAGGGGCGCCCCTGCCGAGTCCCCTTGGGGCTTTAAACTGCCGCTGGCTCGGCCGGGAGTTACAGCGGGGGACCCCGTCTTTCCTTGGGTGATCTTTACCAGTTGAAGACATCCTGCCCCCGACAGCGCCCCTAACCCTTAACCCTGGCTTTCTCCTGTGTGAGGCGGGGGTCGCCGTGCCCTGTCGCGGGGAGAGAGCGCGCGCGTGGGTCACTCGCCCCGTGAGCCGGCCCCGCCGCCGCCGCCTTCCGCGACTCACCCGGCCTGGGCGGGGCGGCTGGTGCCCTCACGGCGGGACACCAGCCTCCGCCGGCGACCGCGGACTCCGGAGACTCACTCTCCAAAGATCTCGGGGATCCCCACACCCCCCGCGGCTGGGGCCCCCGGGGTCGCACAGGACGGAAACCCCCCTCCCACCTAGCGACCTGACAGAATGGGGGTGACTCCAGCTGGCAGGTTTGCTCGCGCGGCTGCAGCGGTGTTGAATGAACACCCAGGACGCACCTCACACGCAGGTCAGAGGTAAAACTCTTTAATCTCGGAGAGCCCCTCCCGACTCCCGGCCCCTGCCCCGCGCTCGTCCCCACCGCCAGGGCCGGAGAGCGAGGGCCCCGGGCCCCACGTGGGCGGACGAGAGCCCTTTAAGGCACCTGTGGGAGTGGGGGCGAGGGGCGGGGGCTGGTACCGTCCTCGACGCAAGGACGGGCTTCGATTGGCAGGCTGGAGGGACGGGCCCAGTGGGAGGACGTGAGACGCGGGCAAGGGCTGGGCCATCCCTGAGGCGGGGGCCAGGGACACGCGGTCAGGACTAGGGCACAAAGCTGACCCCAACCCAGTAGTGTAAAGAACGTCAACTTAAGGCCACAGGCCAATCCCGGGAGCAGGAGGAGGGCTTGGCCCCGCCTCCAGAGGCCGGAGCCAATCAGGCGGGAGCGCTCAACAAGGGCCGGTAGTGACTCTCTGAGATTGGTTAAGCCCTTTGGGTTCAAGCCAATCAGATGATGAAGTCGCCCAGTCTCAGCCGAAGTGGCGCGCCACCACCCAATCCTGGGCCTCGGCAGTGTTCTTTCAAGGCATTTTAGGCCAATACCATGCGAGCAATGCCTTGTCGCTAGGCAGAAAAGGACGGGGCGGACCCAGTCAAGGTTTAGAAACAGCCACGCCCCGACCAGGGAGCGAGCCAATCCCTTAATGTACAAAATCTGTCGCTGGGCAGAAAAAAGGCGACAGACCCAGTCGGGGACCGTGTCGGGCCCGCCCCTTGGCACGAGAGGGGGAGGTCGTGGGCCGCTAGGAGCCAGGGGTTGGCGGGGGCCGTCAGTCCTGGGCCCGGCGCGGGAGAGGCCGGTCCCGGACAGGGCGCGGATTGGCGGGCCCCGGGGGCGGGGCGGGGCGGGGGTGTAGTGTGGGGCGGGCGGACACCGGGCCGGGAGGCGCCCTCCCAGGGTCTCAGTATTTCCGCTTCAGCTTCTGGAAGTCGCTGGTGTTTAGCCGCGGCCTCGGCAGGTCCCCGAAGACCTGCGTGTCCTCGGCCTCCCGCAGCACGAGCGCGCGCATGCTCGCCGCGATGCGGTCCAGGTCCGGCGAGGAGGGCTGGGGAGAGGGCCGCAGGCAGACGGGTCAAGGGCTGCCGCTGCACCCGTCCAACCTGCAGGTCAGCGCCTGCGCCCTCCGAACACTTCTGTCTATGCTATGCCCACTGCCAGGAATGCCCTCCACCCTGCTCTGCTCCGTGTGGGGTTCTTCCACCCCACTCAGACACCACCTCCTCCAGGAAGCCTTCCAGCCCTTCTGCCCTTCTTGGCCTGCCCTATATGCAGGCATTGCCCAGTCCCATCACCGTCCTACTTCCTTCTCATGCACTAGCTAAATGTCAACCAGAGGTCACTGCCCCAGGCTTTTCCAGAAAAAAAGGTCCTGTCCCTCTGCCTGCAGTTACCTTCATACTAACCTGTGCCCCTGAGCTGGGCCAGACCCCAGGGAAGAACCAGAGAGCCCACCAGCCGAGGGCCCAGCTCTGAGGGCCTTAAACATCCCATCCATGAGCTGTGCCTCCACACTACGGACAGGACCACAGCAAGCCCGCCTGTGAGTGCAGGCCCAGAAGCGGCGCCACGGGGAAGGGGAGCCAGGGCACCAAAGCCTCCTCCTTTCCCCACCTCAGCTCTGGCCCGAGGCCTCAGGAAAGTCAAATGTATTCCAGTGCCCCGGTTTCTCCTCTGCCTCAGTCTCAGCCCTGAGCGAAGAGCACCCCCCCAATTCAGTCTCCCCCAGGGGCAGCACCTGGGGGAGGACCGGAGAACCACACCCCTCAGCCTCAACTGGAGGTTACAGCAGACTCTGGTGCCCCGCCCTGTTCAGCACAAGGCCTGGCTTCTCTTTACAGCACAGGCTCACATCATGAGGCTGGATGAGGAAGGTGGGGCTCTGGCCCAGGAGCTGGCCTGGGTGGACTGGAAGATCAATCCTGCAAAGCTCCAGGCCTGAAGGCTTCCTGGAGGAGGTAGCTCTGAGTTCTCCCTCCCTCCCCCCACCGTCTCATGTGCCCCTCACCGGCCCATTCTCCTCATCCGAGGACCGCGCTTCTGTCCTCTTCTCTTTGAAGGCCCACACGGGCACGGACACGGGCAGGGACTTGGCGTACTGCTGTGTGGGCAGGGCTGAGGCTGGGGGCACAGAGTAGGCTGCGGGGCCAGCGGGGGTCTCCTCGCTCAGGCTGCCATCTGGAAGAGATAGGAACTTCACCCTCTGTCACTGCCTCGCCCCTGCCCCCAGCTGGGGATGGGCACAGTGGAGGGCACTTACCGTCTGTGCTCTCAGGGTCCGATTCACAGAAGGGGGGCAGGTCCTGGAGTGTGGCGTCCTCGTCCATCACAAAGAGCCCTGGGGATGGGGTGAGAGACCAGGGCGTTAGGCTCTCGCAGCTCAGCTACAGCTATGAATGCCCTCGCCCTGGTGATCTGCCTGGTCTCTCTCAGAAACAGATCTGGTTTCTGTCCATCTGTGACACCCTGGGGTGAAAGCAATTGGCTGCATTAATGTGAAATCTGTAAGATCGGCTGGGGAAAAGCGGACCCAAAAAACAGGCCAAGAGATGGGGCCTCCCTGGTGGCGCAAGAGTTAAGTCTCAGCACTATGAAGCTATCACCAGCCACTGCAGCACAAGTTCGATCCCCGGCCAGGGAGCTGACCCACATGCCGCGGCAGACCTCTCCTGTCTCCCCGCTGCTCCCCTCACCAGTGGATTTCAGTAGATCTGCCTGTTCTGTTCCCTGCTCTGTCTCTGGTGAGTCCTCTCATCCCCACACCTCTGGTGAGTCCTCTTGTATGCATAAGTAAATTAAATGCTTAAAAACTAAACAAATAAACAAACAAACACACAAATAGGGAGCTGGAGGAACAGAGAAGTAAAGGGACGTGTCCGCAGTCCCTCAGCTACCAAGTGGTGTCGTTGGGACTGGAATCCAGGTCGCCAGGCTCAAGCCTATGTCCTCAGACTCGCCTCCAGTGACCATGAGGAAGCCAACCATGTTAGTACCCCAACAAATGAGTAACTCCCGTTTACTGAGTTCTAGAAAACTCCTACTTACTCTTCAAAACCCCAATATTACAGTCCAGCCTCTGGGAAGCATCAAACCTCCATATTTCCCCTACAGTAGCCAGTGGCTCCCTCGCCAGGGCTCCTCAGCTGCCTGTTCTCCGAGGCTCCAGCCCCGCACACATGCAAACACCTGCTCTCTGCCCAGCTCATGAGGCAACTGCCGCCCGACAGCCTCTTCAGCACATGGACCCATGACAGGACCCCAGTTCCCTGGCCACATTGAAAGTCCCTTAGCAAGAGGGTCCATGTCTGGTCTGTGCCCGGCACCTGTGGGCAGAGCTGGCCCAAGGACAGTGTAAGGAAATCTAGGCTGAGGGGAAATGGCTCGCTTGAGGTCACACAGCCTGGGCCCCAGCAATTTGAGACGGCTGCTTTGGTAGAATATCGGGGCTCAGAATTCAGCATATCTCGTCCCCCAGGAAGCCCCACTTCAGCGGCAACGTGGCCAGCCGGAGCATGCCACCCCTCGCCCTCTCACCTCCATCATCGCTGACACCCAGCCGCTCCCCGGAGGTCTCTGTCTCTGTGGGCTCGTCCTCATCGTCCTCATCGTCATCCCTGGCGAGGGGGTGCCGAGGCGGGCTCCGGGCGGGACTGGGAGGCTCGGGCGCTGGCGGGGGCGCGGGTGGCCGGGCTGCGGCGGCAGCCCTGTGGGCCGCGGCGATGTCGTGGAGGCAGCGGCGGGCAGCCTCAGCCAGGGCCCCGCGGCCATGGGCAGCATAGGCGCAGGGGCCTGGCCGGGGCGGGGGTGGCGGCGCAGCGGTCAGCAGCACCAGCTCCGTGCCCGTCCGGGCCCGGAAGCGCTCGGCTGCCCCCACCACGGCCTCCCACAGCTCTTCGGGGCGCCCCGACGCCATCCGCGCCCTGCGGGACACAGCAGGATGGGGGGCTGAGGCTTGGCAGACCTCACTGGCCACGCCCCGCCCTGTGCGCCAACCTGGCTCTGGAGCTCATTCCCCCAGCCCCCACCGTGAGCTCAGCCTCTTCCTTCCAACCCATTACTCCCGGGGGCTTTCCCATCTGCCCCCGCCCTCCTGTCCAACCTCGTCCCCACAGCCCAGTCCTGCCCAATGCGGGAGCCACCAGCCTCGGGTGACTAAGGGGCCCTTGAGATGTGGCGGGTCCAGAGAGAGAGGTGCTTGGGTTTGAAGACTGAGTACAAAAAAGTACATAGAAAAGCATCTCAGCAGGGCCTCCCTGGTGGCGCAGGGGGTTGAGCACAGGCTGTGAAGCTGCCTGCAGCCTCTGCAGCGCCAGTTCGATCCCGGCCAGCGAGAATCCCACATGACGCGGCAGACCTCTCCTGTCTCGCCCGCTGCTCCCCTCAGCAGTGCATTTCGTCAGTCTGCCTCTTCTGTTCCCCGCTCTGTCTCTGGTGAATCCTCTCACCCTCCCGCACATCTGGCCTGCACCCCGGTTCTTGTATGCATGAATAAATGTTTTTTTTTTTAAAAGGCATCTGAGCAGCAACCCAATGTTGACTGTGTGCCGAAGGGGTGTTCCAGATGGACTGGCTAATAATAACGGGGCATTTCATCTACAGGGGCTTTTTCAATTGGGGATGACAGAAAATCCTAGCCCAGCCACACATGGCCTGGAGAGGGTGGCAGGGGGCCTGGCACCGGATCACAGCCTTTCTGCCCGGCATCGGGGACCTGCCTGGCGTGTCCGGGGTCGCACAGCCTCCCTGGTGGCCACCCTATTCCTGGGTCCATCTTCCCCTCACCCCAGCGGGGCGCAGTGCTACCCGACCCTAGGCTGGTTGGGGCGAGCGCCCTTATTGGGCTCTGCCATTGTCTGAGCAACCCTCGCTCCAGCATGGCTCCCCCTAGGGAGCGGTGTCTGGATCCACCCCAGCACCTCCCAACCAGGCAGGGAGCCCTCATGGGTCCACCCTGCAGCCACCGGCCTCGCTCACGACGAGCCAGACAGTGCGCAGGCTGCTCTCCGGCTGGGAAGCCGCCAGGCAAGGCTCCGCATGTCCTCTGACTGTCTTGGCAGTGGCTCCAAAGTCTTCCCTGACCCCTCAGAGTAATCAGAGGTAGACGCATGAAGCTCTGGGCAACCTCCACTACAGTCCATGCCACTCTAGCTGGCAGGTCCACCTGTTTGCCTCCATGAGGCTGAGTCCTGCAGACAGGGCTCTGCCCAGGCCGGTCTGCCCCACGCGGACCACCTTCTGCACATACCTCCTGGGAGGCGAGAAGGGCAAGAGTCCGAGGCTGGCTTCCTGCCCAGAGCGTCTCAAAGCTCCAGCCAGCAAGTAGACTGGCAGTGCCCACTGCCCAAAGGGGTGAGGTGCTCGAGGGAGCACCCAGGGGCCCGGGCTGGGCGGGGTGGAAGCCCAGGGTCTTCTGTGTTTGTTTTGGATCAGGGACACCCGGAAAACTTGCTGGTCCTCCCCTTGTGAACGACCACGGCTGAGCAGGGCGGCTGGGCAGCTGGGGAGCGGAGGCACCCAGGAGAATCCTCGCTGGGCAGGGAGCCGCTTGTCCCGGGAGGGTTCAAGCCGACTGTGCTCCTAGTAGTTTGATTTCGCTTTGTGGGCCCTTTGCAGTTCACAGTCCTAGGCGCTCAATCCGCGCCTGTGAGCACCCACCGTGCAGGGACTCTACCTGCCCACCAAGGTGTCAGGGGAGACAACCGCAGCCCTCCCCCCCCCCCCAGAAGCCACACACAGAGAACACAGCTAGTACTGCCCCGGACAGACCCAGCAGCGAGACTGTCCCGCCCTGCCCACCACAGGCGGGGTCTCGGGCATCATGGACGTTCTCGTCCCACAGACATGGAGGGCAGGGCTCGCACCAACCCACTTTACAGCTGCCAAGCCAGGTCCAGGGAGATCCAGCATCTCGACAGGGGTCACAAGGTGGGGGGGAGAGCTGGGACTTAATCCCAAGTGCCGCTCTTTCTACCTCAAGGAAAGTGTATCGCGCTCCAGTGCAGATGGGGAGCGAGGTTCAGAGAGCTTAAGGCACTGGACAGACGGCACCCAGCTTGATAAGGGAGAAGTAGGGCTGAAGCTGCCGTCTGCCAGACACCCAAACCCACAGAACGGGGAGGTGCCCAAAGGCTCCCACTCTTTGGATCACTTCATAACAGAGGAAACAAGCACAGGAGGGGAAATGACTGGTCCAAGGTCACAAAGTCAGGCAGCGCTAGCCCCGGGGCACTGCTACCTTGGACAGGATTAAATTCCTGTCTGCCCGATATCTGAGAGCAGCCACAGGGCTGAGAAGAGTGAAAGTGGGGGAGCTGGGTGTGAGGGTCCCCCTACTTCAAGGTAGAGCCCTGTGCAAAAAAGACGGGGTGACTCACGCAGACCTCTCTGCCAAAGTCTGGAGCTGGTCACCCAGGCGAGTAGCCAAGCCTGGGGTGTCGCCCGCCCCTTCAGCTTGTGGGGGAAGCCCAGTATCCTCCTAGGAGTTGCGATGGAGGAAGCCCCTGCCTCCCAAAGGGGCAGTCTGTGACTGGGGAGGGCTAGGGGAGAGGTCAGGGGGCTGCTCTTGCAATTCGGTGAGGAGGGAGGGGAAGGCCCCCAGGGCAGGAGGGATGCAAGTGGAGCCCCCCTCCAGCCACCTGTCAAGCTGGCAGTGCCCGCTGCCCGGAGGGGTGAGGAGCTCGCCGAAGCGCCCGGAAGCCGGGGGCGGGGTAGAGGTCCGGGGTCTTCCTCCACCGCTCAGAGACCTTCCCACTGCTTCTTCGGGAAGACCCTCTTCTCCAAGGGAAAAACAGGAAATCCCGCCCAGATGGGGGCCTGGACCGGAAGTCCCGCCTCTGGACGGGTGAGGGGCGCCCAGAGGCCCCCCCGAGCGACCCCCCGACCCTGTGGACACGGCCCACGGTCAAGGTGAGGATTCTGATGGGTCCGGAGGGCGGAGGAACAGAACTGTCTAGGCTTTGTTTCGGGTCAGGCACGACGGTTCCCGCGGGCGACCCCTTCCCAGCGTTCAGCGTGGGTCGCTGCACGCTCTCTGCCCTGTGATCTATGCAGACCATACCCCTCCCGCGACCGGCTCGACCGCCCGGCGCCCCTCTCCGCCCCACGGCCAAATCCTCCCCACACCGCGGTTTACTCGCCACCTCCACTCACGTGCCCGTAGCCAGCATGGCCGGCCCGGCGCCGTCGCCGCCCTCAAAAGACATGGCGGCGCATCGCGTCACTTCCTCGCGATCGGCCCACCTCCACGCTGCACACTCCGCCTCCCCGATACCAGCCGCCCGAGACAAAGATGTCGGCCTAAGAGGCTTCAGCCGGGCAACAGCGACAGCGCGGTGCCCATAAGAAAGATGGTGAAAGGCTTGCGCCTGCGCGCAAGCCAGTTTAGACCACCTAGCTTATGTCCAAGAAGTATGTCCTTGCCTACACATTCTGGGCCACAATGAACTTAGACAAACTGACGTCCCTCACCCAAAACCAACGTATTCCGCAGAAGTGGAGGAAAGTAGTGTCTGTTAATGACATGGTAGCCAGCCTGGCATCTTTTGCCCATAATGTATGCGGCTCTCCTTCCCTCCAACCTAGCCTCCTTCTCCACGTAGGCTGGCAAAAATCCAACATGGTCGCCTTGTTTGCTTCGATGTGCCCGGCTTCAATATGGCGGCTGAGACAGCTTTCTCTCCATAGTGACTAAGGATTTAGTCTGGGACTGAATGTTCCCGGGGATACTGAAGGTTCGTCCCGTTAACCTGCGTCCCTAGCACTTCTTGCGAACAGCTCTTCTCACCCCCTTTATCTGTTTCGCTTTTCCAGCACCTCGCAGGCGCGCCCCGCAGAGACGACTGCCCCGCATTAACATGGCCGCAAATGAACGGCTTTGGCCCTGCCCTCGAGCAAAATGGCACCTGTTTGGCTTCGATGCCAGTGCACAACATGGAGACCGGAGCAGGCGGGCCCGAGGGTGGAGCTCTGGGGTCCGCCCCCTTGTTTACTTCGTGGCGAGGACGGCAGCACTGCGCCTGCGCACTCTCGCTGGCCGGCTCCGCCTTTATCGTTTGCGCCACGTGACTCGGGCTCTCGCGGTTCCAGCTGAACCACCCTGCTTTAGCGATGGTCACACCCGCCGCCGCCCGAGCTCAGGCGAGGGCGCTACCACTGTCGGGGTTTGAGGGGGCTTCTCCTCTCCGGATGTGACAGCACGTTGACCCGGAAACGGAGGAGGCCGGGCAGTGGGGCCGCGGCTATGGAGGGGACCGGCCACAGGGTAAGCACTCGAGGGCGCCTTCGCCCCCGTCCGTCCGTGCGAGGGGTCCCCCCGGCGGCCTGCCTCTCCCGCCGGCCGTGCCGGGGCGCCGGGGGCTCGGCAGAGCTTTTCCCAACACGCCATTGCCTCCTAAACGCGCTGTGCTCCTCCCCGCCGCCGTCCCGGCGCAGGCCCCGGCCCCGCCTCCTGGGCGGCTGCGACGCCCCTCTGGGCCCCGCCCCCAGGGCCCCCCGCCCCCAGGGCCCCCCGCTCGTGTCAGCCCCCGGGCCGCCTGCCTGGGCTTTGGGCCTCACCTCCCCGCCCCGTCCTCTCTGGGGGGCCCGGCCCCGCCCCCTGCGCGCGCCCCGCCCATTGGCTCCCGCGGGGCCGTTCACTCCCCCCCCCCCCCCCCCCGCAGGTGGTGTTTGAGAAGGGGGGCGTGTACCTGCACACCAGCGCCAAGAGGCACCAGAACCCCGACTCCCTCATCGCCGGCGTCATCAGAGTGGTGGTGGAGAAGGTGGGCGGGCGGCGCGGGCTCGGCGGCCCCGCTGGAGGGTGGTGAGCCGCTCCGGGCCGGGACCTGCGGAGGCTGGGTGGAGGCCGGGTGGGGACTCGCGGGGCTTGTTAGGCCAAGGGCTCGGACCCACGAAGACGGGGGAAACTGGCGAAGTGGTTAGGGCGCTTGGAGATCGCCCTCTCAGCCCTGCTCCTCTTGCAGGACAATGACGTGCTCCTGCACTGGGCCCCTGTGGAGGAGACCGGGGACTCCACGCAAATCGTCTTTTCCAAGAAGGTAGGTGTCCTCTGCCCCCGCCTCCACTGGCCTCTTCCTGGCAGCGGCCGTGGAAGGCGGGTGCCAACTCAGATCTACCTTCAGGCCACGTGTGACCCTGATCTGGCTGTGGGGCCGCTCTGACCTGGGTTTCCTCCCTTCCGCGCACTGGGGTTGGGAAGGACGCAGGCGGGGAGGCATGGCTGTCGGGCGCTTCTCGCAAGAGTGTGGCCTCTGGTGCCAGGGGACAGTTCAGCCTGTACATTCGGGTTCACTGGCCACTGGCTGGTCAGAACTGCGGGAAGTGTGGGGTGACCCTGACTCTGGCCGAGACCCCACATCCGCTTCAGAGTGCTGCATCCCTCCCCGGCCCATGTGGGCCTGTCCCCTCTCCTTACCTCTTCTGCTGGGGCTTCTGGGGGCCGGGCCTTTGCTGGACGGTGCTGGATCAAAGATGAGAGCCACCCACCGCTGCCCCAGTCCTCAGTCCACACTGTCGAGAACCCAGTAACTGCGGCACTGTGAGACGAGAGAACCTTTTCAGCAGCAAAAACCTGGAAGAGTTGGACTTGGGTTTGAGTCCAGACACTGCTCTCAGTGCCTTTTCCTGGGGGAGCAGACATTTGGGCCGTGACTCGGGATGAGTCATGAGCGCCCGGAGGCACCAGAGCAGGAGTATTTCCAGATGGCAGGAGGAGGTGTGCTTCAGAACACAGGGGACACTTTAAAGCGTCTGGGCCTGCGTGCCCGGCTGAGCAGCTTGGACTCCAACCTGGGGGCACGCAGGTGTGGGCATGGAAAGCCCCACCTGGGGGGGGCCCCAGAGAGCTGGACAGAAGGACTGAACGGAGGTTGGAGGCTGGGGAGTCGGAGGAGGCAGCTGCAATGGGCCCGGGAGAGAGGGAGGCGCCTTCGCTGGGGTTTTGAATGAGCAGAGGTGAGGGGTGGTGTGCGTGGACGGTCCACATCTGGAGTTGCCTTCACCCCATTGAAGAAGCGGCAGCTGAGATTCGCACTTACCAGCAAGCTCGCAGGCGCTCTCGGGGCCTCTCTCAAGAACATCGCTGTCCTCGGTGTTCTCATTTCCAAGGCCAGGCGTGCGCTGGGGTGGACTCGGGCAGAAAGGGCACAAACACGTTCAGTGTGCTCAGCTCCAAGGAACACAGAGCCAGCTGATGACGAGCAGGTACAGTTTGTCTTTCTCCTCCGGCAAGACACCGGCCAGGTGGATGACGTAAGGGCCTGGATCGTGAGGCTCCATGGGGCTCGCCCTGGTGGCCTTTGAGTGACAGCAGGAGGATGGGGGCCCATGTGCCCCGATGTGCTTGCACCACGAAAAGCAGGCGCACTCCCAGCTCATCTGCATCATTAGCACTTGGGTTGGCTGCGCGGAGTAGAAGCAGGAAGAGCAGCTGCCTGAGCAAGACAGGAGCGCGTCGCCCTCCCTCCAGAAAGCCTGGGCGTCAGCGCACACGCGCACGTGCCCTCAAGGACCCGTCTCCGTCCATGTGCGCTGCCGTCCTCAACGCATGGTAGCCATCGTCACGGCTGCCTCGTGGGGCGAAGAGGCTGCGGGAGCGCCCACCTTTTAGGCTGTCTTCACTCTCTCCCCGCGTGCTGGAGGGTGGCCGAGGTGCTCGCTCAGCACCATCACTCACGCGTGTTGCTCGAGCACCGCCACGGCCATTCTTCGTGGCAGAGAAAGTGCCCAAGCGTCTGGCCTCGGGGGGGCAAAGGGCCCGTCCTGGAAGTGACACAGCCGTGGCACCCGTTGCCAAAGAAGTGAGAGACAGTGTCCTCCCGGCCCCTCAGCCAGAGCCGCCCTTAGCTCCCTCTGCCCGCCCCAGTGCTTGGCGGGTCCCCGCACCTCTCGCCTTCCCCCACGCCAGGCCCCGCCTGCCCTTGCCGCTCGTGGTCCCAGGGGGTGCGATCTGATCACAGCTTTTGATTCGAGTCGCCCCGACGACTGCTATTTTAAGGGCCGTGACCTCGGTGGTCTGGTCTTTGAGTCCTGGCCCAGTCCCGGTCCCTGGCTGTGCTGGGTGACCTGGGGGAATACTGTGTCTTCTGCGCCTCAGTTTCCCTCTTTGTTCACTGGGGCGATTCTCCAGGATGGCCTTGAGGCTCAGAGGCAGAAAGCGAATCCGCGAGCCCTGACTCGTTTCCCTTCGCTCCACAAGGACACCGGTGGGGCCGGCACCTGCACCTCTGAGGAGGAGCCGACCTTCGACCCCGGCTACGAACCCGACTGGGCTGTCATCAGCACCGTGCGCCCGCGGCCGCGCCGCTCGGAGCCCGGGAGAGGTAGGCCGAGCGCACGGCTTACCTCGCTGTTGTGGCTCCCCAGGCCTCACTGCTGCGTGGGGGCAAGACGGTCCCGTCCAGGGTCAGCATGGCCAGCACCTCCATTCATGCTCCGGCGGCTGGCCTGAGGTTCCAGGCCAGGGTGGCTCAGGGCCGGGCTGTCCCACAGCCACGCGGGCCGGGTTCCCAGAAGAGCACCTGACCCTGGAGTGCCTGGCGGGGGGGGGGGGGGGGGGGGGGGGTGGGGACGGCACGGAGCACTCCGGGAGAGGCGCCGCGGGAGCCTGCGCGGGGCTTGGGGTGCCTGCAGACCGCGCCATCCCTGCGTCTGGAGTGGCGAGGGCTGGGGGCGAGATGGGCAGGGGCCAGACCTGGGGGAGCTGGCCGCGGGGCTCCCTTCCCGTCTCAGCTGTGCTCCCGAGGAAAGGTGGGGTGATGACTGTGTCGCCTCTGGCGCCGGACACTGCCCTAGGTGCAGAGCCCAGCTCCTCCCGGGACTCCTGGGCCTTCTCCGTGAGTCTGGGGGAGCTCAAGTCCATCCGCCGGTCCAAGCCAGGCCTCAGCTGGGCCTACCTGGTCCTGGTGACCCAGGCCGGAGGCTCCCTGCCCGCCCTGCACTTCCACCACGGGGGCACCCGCGCTCTGCTCCGTGTCCTGAGCCGCTACTTGCTCCTGGCCAGGTGAGCCGCCCCTGCCTGGGTTGTGTGCCGGGCCGGGCGGGGACCTGCTTGCTCGGCTACAGGGGGGCAGGAGATTGGGCTGGACGTAGGACTTCAAATTCAAGGCTGGCTTGACTCGCGCTTTCGAAAGCGTTGCTCCTTTTCCAAGGTAGCGCCATTCTCTGGGGCCACAGAGCTGCCTCTTGGGGCCAGGGACCCACCTCGGCCACTGTGGTAGGGTTGAGGGATGCCCCTAGGCAGTCAGGACCCTGCGGCTGGACCGGGGGGGGGGGGGGGGCGCGTGCCGGGCTTGCCCAGGCAGCCTGGTACCCGGGCCCCATCTCTGTGCCCCCAGCTCCCCACAGGACTCCCGCCTCTACCTGGTCTTCCCCCATGACTCCTCCGCGCTCTCCAACTCCTTCCACCACCTCCAGCTCTTTGACCAGAACAGCTCCAACGTGGTGTCTGTGAGTCCCCCTCCACCTGGCGGCTGGAGGGCGGTGGGGGACGGCTGGGACCGGCTTGCAGGGGTGGTAGAGCCCTGAGCACTCTCTCCCCCCTCCCCCACCAGCGCTTCCTCCAGGATCCCTACTCCACCACCTTCAGCAGCTTCTCCCGCGTCACCAACTTCTTCCGGGGAGCTCTGCAGCCCCACGCAGAGGGGGCCTCCCCCGACCTGCCCCCACCCCCCGACGATGAGCCAGAGCCTGGGTTTGAGGTCATTTCTTGTGTGAGTATCGGGACCCCTGCCTCCGGCCTCGCAGCTGCTTGCAGCTCCCTCAGCCTCAGTTTCCTCCTTGGCCAAAGCCGTGATAGCGGCCCCACCCCCATCAGGTTGCACGAGCCCCTCACAGAAAGAGCTTTTACAAACCACCTGGCGCTGGTGCTCGCTGCTGACGTGGGGGTGACGGTCATGGGCTCCGGGAAGGAGACGTTTCCTACCCTGAACCGTAACTGTCCCTCGAGCTGAGAAGGCCTCCCCCAGGGACGGGGGCCCCAGACTCACTCACCTGCTGCCCCAGGTGGAGCTGGGGCCGCGGCCGGCCGTGGAGCGGACGCCTCCGGTCACGGAGGAGGAGTGGGCCCGCCATGTGAGCCCTGAGGGCCGCCTGCAGCAGGTCCCCGAGCTGAAGGCCCGCATCTTCTCAGGGGTGAGGTGCCACGTGGATGGGGCGGGTGGGGCAGGGCCCCAGGCAGCCTGGGGGCAGCCCCGCTGAGCTGCTGACCGCTCTGCCCCCAGGGCCTGAGCCCTGGCCTGAGGCGGGAGGCCTGGAAGTTTCTCCTGGGCTACCTCAGCTGGGAGCAGTCTGCCGAGGAGCACAAGGCCCATGTGCGCAAGAAAACGTGAGTCAGTGCCGGGGCCCCTTCCGGCAGGCCCCATGTGCGACTTCCCTGGCCCCCTGAGTCATTTGGGGGCCTTGAGTCAACAGCGAGTTCCTGGCGGGGACAGCCCCTGCCACCTGCCCGTGCACCCACGCAGCCCGCCTCCCACCATCATCCTCCCCACCCGCCCTTGCAGGCAGCTTCCTAGCCCCGTGGGCCCCTCTCCTGTGTCCGGGTCTCTACCCTCCTCGCGCTCCATCCGGTGGGGGTGACAGCCTACTAGGGCGCGCCGGGGGAGGCAAGGGCGGCCCGCCTCAGGCTGCCTGACAGGGAAGGCTCTGAGGCGGGGACCTGGGGGCTGGCCGGCCAGGCAGGGTGGCCCTGGGGGGCAGAGAGGTTCCCTGGCCTGGGTGCCTAGGACCTCCGTCCTCGGTCCCGCCGCAGGGACGAGTACTTCCGCATGAAGCTGCAGTGGAAGTCCGTGAGCCCCGAGCAGGAGCGGAGGAACTCGCTGCTGCACGGATACCGCAGCCTCATCGGTGGGCACTGGCGGGTGGGCTGGGGGGCGCCCCTGCCTTCCCGAGGGAAGGGACAAGGTCCTCTCCGGGGCTGGCGGGGCGGGGGCAAGGGGGCCGGCTCCCAGGGTGCGCCCCCCAGCCCTGCCATCTGCTCACCGAGGCTTCTCGGCCAGTGGGGCCCTGTCCCTGGGCCTTAGTCTTCCCATCATTGGCCGGCTGCAGTGAGCAGCGGGTGCAGTAGGCGGGTGGCGAGCTGGGAGTGTGGGGCACTGCGCTCAGGGGAGCCTTCCCCGGGGATTTCTGGGGGCACTACAGCGGCACAGGCCGCCGGCAAGCGGCGGGGCTGGTGCTGGGGCCTCCTCAGTGCCACGCCTGCCCTGCACTTGCAGAGAGGGACGTGAGCCGCACCGATCGGACCAACAAGTTCTACGAGGGGCCCGAGAACCCGGGATTGGGGCTGCTCAATGACATCCTGCTCACCTACTGCATGTACCACTTCGACCTGGGTGCGGCGCCGGTGCGGGGCGGGGGGCGGGGGGGCAGGCCTTCCCTGGGGGGCATGGGCCTGGGCTGGGCCTGACTGTGTCCCCGCAGGTTATGTCCAGGGCATGAGCGACCTGCTCTCCCCGATCCTCTACGTCACTCAAAACGAGGTGGATGCCTTCTGGTGTTTCTGTGGCTTCATGGAGCTGGTGGTAGGCTCGGGGCCGGGGGGCAGGGCCACCCCGCCAGCGGCCGGGACCTGGCTCCTCACGCGGCCTCCCGCCCTCCGCAGCACGGGAACTTCGAGGAGAGTCAGGAGACGATGAAGCGGCAGCTGGGCCAACTCCTGCTGCTCCTGCGGGTGCTGGACCCCCCACTCTGTGACTTCCTGGGTACGTGTCTGGTGGCAGCAGGGGCAGTGGGGCCTTGCTCGGCCGTGGCTCCTGAGGGGGAGGCCCTGAGCCAAACCGGAGAGATATCCCTGCTCCTGCATAGCCCAGACCCCAACTCGACATGGAAAAGCAGAATTGCAGTGGGGAGCAAACCGCAGCACGCACAAGTGCGCGGGGAGCCAGTGCCCAGCGCCCCTTCTCTCCGGGTGGAGGACCGGGCATGGCCTGACCTCCTCTTACCTGGGGCTGGGGTAGGAAGCGGGTCTCTGGGCTCCAGGGCCTGAGGCTGCTGCAGGCCGGCTACTGTTTTTCATCTCGTCCGGTGGAAAAGGCCAGGGGGTTCAGATAAAGAAAGACGCTGCTGCCGTTACCCTCCGGGAGACTGCCGCGCGCTCGTGGGTGTTTCTTCGCTGACATCGAGGACCCTGGGGAGGGAGCCAGAGATGGCCTCGGCCACCAAGAGGGAACCAAGGCTTAGGGCGCACCTGCCACTCCCGACGGGGCTCGGACGCGGGCTGCTCTGGCACGCACAGCTTCGTGACCACCCCTGCGGGGGCCGCGTGTCCCCGTGTTAAGGACGTGCGAGCGTTTGACCTAACCCGGCGACCGTCTAGGTAGTTAGTGTTTCTCGCCGTGGCGCGCGCACGCCGTGTGATTTCTGTAGCTCTAGGTCCACGGGGTGAAATTGTCCAGGCCAATCCCTACTTTTTCGCAGCTTTTGTAACGTTCATCCCCATCGCTGCTTTCCTGAAAAGTCAGGCCAGCGTGCGTTTTGCGCGCAGAGGCCGAGTGCCAGCTCCTCACGCAGCCAGCAGCCGTGGGTATGGAGTGGTTTCTCCTTGGGTGGCCAGCGTGGAGCTGGTCACCGCGCGTGCAGTCCAGGGCCAGGATGGGGAGGGCCCGTGGCCCGGCCGCCCACACTGGCTGAAGTTACCGGTCCGGCGTGGCGGGGCGCTCGGCCAGACTCCTGGGGAACCCGGTCCGCCCACCGGCACGCTGAAGTGGAAGCGGGTGTGGGTTTGTGTTTTGCTTGCTCTTTGCTAAGCTGCTCTCCACGCCCCCCGACCCCCCCAGACTCCCAGGACTCTGGCTCTCTCTGCTTCTGCTTCCGGTGGCTGCTCATCTGGTTCAAGAGGGAGTTCCCCTTCCCCGACGTCCTCCGGCTGTGGGAGGTGGGCCGGCCAGTCTGGGTGGGAGGACTGGGTGGTTGGGGGAAGGCGGGCAGGGGGTGGGGCCGACCTGGGCCGTGACCCCCTCCCCCTGGCACCCCAGGTGCTGTGGACCGGGCTCCCCGGCCGCAATCTGCACCTGCTGGTGGCCTGCGCCATCCTGGACATGGAGCGTGACGCCCTCATGCTCTCCGGCTTCGGCTCCAATGAGATCCTCAAGGTGAGGCCCCTCCTCCTCCCGGCCCCCACCCTCTTCCTGCTGGTCCTGCCTTGGCTGACCTGAAGCACCAGCTGGCTGTGAGCGTGGAGGGTGGCCCGTGCTGCCGTCCTTGCAGGAGAAGGTTCTCAGGATTGGAGTGCCGCGTGTGGCCCGTAGGCTGTGGGCACTGAGGGCGTGGGGCTGCTGTCCTCACAGCCTCCTGGTCCCGGCTCCCAGCAGTGTCCTCGCAGAGCATGTGGTCCATGCATGAATGGGCAGCGGCCCGTCCCGGGGCCTCTGCCTTCACTGTGGCCTGCATCTGGCCGGCAGCATGAGAGCGCGTGACCTCCCCTGAACCCCAGTTCCACCGTCAGCCCCGAAGGGGCCAGCCCAGTCTGTCTTCCCTCCATTGTGTCCCCAGCACCAGGCACAGAGTAGGCGCTCGGGCGGTGGTGGTGGAGGTTGTGCAGGCAGGCAGGCCTCACCCACCCCCTCCCGCAGCACATCAACGAGCTGACCATGAAGCTGAGCGTGGAGGACGTGCTGACCCGGGCCGAGGCCCTCTACCGGCAGCTGACAGCTTGCACGGTGAGTCCCCAGTCCCCCCAGCAGCCTCCCCTTACTCCCCATCAGACCTCTGACTCCAGCCTCCACTCCGCCCTCCAGGAGCTGCCCCACAACGTGCAGGAGGTCCTTGGTCTGGCGCCCCCCACAGAGCCTCACAGCCCCTCACCCCCCGCATCTCCTCTGCCATTGTCACCCACACGGGCCCCGCCTGCCCCTCCGCCCCCCGTGGACACAGCCCCCCAGCCAGACAGCAGCTTGGAGATCCTGCCCGAGGAGGAGGAGGAAGGCGGAGACTCCTAGCCGACTCAGGTGCCCAGCACTGGCACTTTATCAGGCTCTGGCCCCACCACCCGCCCCTCCTGGAGGCTGGGTTCTGGGCAGGGCGCCCCCAGCGTGCCTCCTGATTAACTGGTTTCTTTAAACTGACACTGTCCGGCCAGCCCCGAGTAGGTGGAGGAAGGAGGTGGCCCCTTCCGTTTGGACGCAGATGGGCAGGGGGCACAGGTGGTCCCCCCTGCTGAGCTTGACTCCATTTCAGCCAAGGAGCCTGAGGAGGCCCTGGGGGCGGGCTTCTGGGCCCTCTCCCCTCTCTGAGTTTGGGGCCTTGAGAGGAGCAAGGAATGGGTGCCCCCCAGGAAGAGAGTGGGTTGGGGCCACGTGTCCCCGACGGCACCCACGTGGCAGGGTTGCTTGGGCTGGGGCTGTCTACCAGCTTGTCCGCCGGAGAGAAATAAACTTGCGTTTAAGCTACTGTGGGCGGGGCCTTCTGGGACTTGCTTGGGGACCGCCTGGGTCGTGGTGGTGGTGGGGTGGGCGCTGCGATTCCCATCCAGCAGTGGTGCCCGGCGCGGTCGTCCTGTTTTCCCCCCCGCCCCTCGGCCACGGAGCTCCTCTGCGGGGACACGGGGCGCCCGGGCGCTCATGGCTGTGAGCAGGGAGGGGCAGGACCACACAGCTGTTTCCGAAATACTTTAATGCGGGGTCCTCTGGTGCGTGGGCTGCTGGGAGGTCAGCTGCAGGAACGGGAGGTAGGTGGCGCCCCTGTCTAACTCGGAGCGGAAGTGGCTGGTGGACGCTTGGCCGAGCACCTCCTCGCCGCCCGACGCCCGGTGCTGGTGCTCGTGCTCGTGCGGGTGCTCGTGCTTGTGCTTGTGCCCGCGCTCCTGCTCCTGCTCCTGCTCCCACTCCCGGTTGTTGATGAGCAACGCGGCGCGCAGCGCCGACTTCACGGCGGTCTCCACCCAGCCGTGCGGGTAGGCCGTGTGCTCCCCCGCGAAGTAGACGCGGCCGTAGGGCACGGCCCAGTCGTAGGCGTGCCGCTCGTCCCCGGGCGTGTGCCAGAGCGTCGGCGGCTGCACCACGAAGCCGCCCTGGCTGTGCGGGTCCTCCGCCCAGCGCTTGACCACGCCGCTGCCGTCCCACAGCCGGTACACGATCGGGCCGTGCAGCGCCGCCACGTCGTCCAGCGCCAGGCGCAGCGCGTCCTCCAGGCTCAGCCCGCGAACGCGGCCGTCGCGTCCGACCAGGTGTACGCGGCCAGCAGCAGCGCGCCCTCGCCGGGCGGCGGGTAGAAGATGATGCGCGACGGGCGGTCGGTGCTCGAGTGGCCGCCCTCGATGTGCTCGTCGTTCCAGAAGGGCCGGCGGAAGCTGAGGAACACCTTGGTGGCCGGCACGTAGTGCAGCGCGCGCAGCGCCTCCTGCCTCTGGCGCGGCAGCGGCGGCGTGAAGGCGACGCGCTGCAGCGCGGGCCCGCTGGCCGTCATCACCGCCACGTCGGCGCTCAGGGCCTTCAGGGTCCGCGCGCCGCGCGAGTTGGCGATGTGCACGCGCACCTCGCGCCTGCCCTGCGTCAGCGCCACGACCGGCGCGTGCAGCAGCACCGGGCCCGACAGCGAGCTCAGCAGCGCGCGCGGCAGCAGGTCCCAGCCGCCCGCGATGCGGCTGTACCTGCGGGGCGGGAGCGTGACGGGCTCGGCCCGGCCCCGCGGCGGCGCCCCGGCGCGGGCTCCCCTTTCCGGCCGCCCGGCCCGCCCCTCGCCTGGCCCTGACGGCCCCCGAGCCCCGGGGAGCAGAGAACAAGGAGACCCGGGCACCCCGCCTCCTGCCTGGACCCCGCCCTTCCCCGGGAACCTCCCGCCCCGCGCCCTGCCGGCCCCGTGGCCGCGCCCCGGCCCGCCTCACCGGAGCTGGTCGCTGAGGCAGCTGTGCGCCCGCAGCGCCTCGGCGAAGCTGAGGTAGAAGAAGCCGTCCTTGGACATCACGTCTCCCAGCAGCCGCGCGGCCGGCTGGCTCATGTTGCCCTCCCCGAGGAGGTATTCCTGGGGGCGGGGCGCGGGCCCGGTCAGGCCCGGGCAGGCGGCCGTGGGGGCCCGTCCCCGCTGAGGCTCGCGGGTCCCCGCTGAGGCTCGCGGTTCGGCGCCGGGACGCAGCCCTGGGCTCTGCGGTTGCCGTCCGGCGCCCCCTTCCCGCGGCAGAGGAGGGAAACAGCCCGGGGCCACCGCCGGTGCCCGGGCTCGCCCCGGACGCACTCACCAGCAGCGTGTGCCTTTCAAACTTCCTCATGGCCTTCCTGCAGCCCAGGGTCTTCACGTCTCTGACGGCCTGTGGGGAGCAGCGGTGAGGCTGAGCTGCCGGCGGGAGGCTCTGCGGGCCATTAGCACCCTTGCTTGAGGCACCCCGCTCTGCGGGACACCCTGCCACCCCGCCCCCCGCCCCCGCCCGCATCTGGCCGCGGTCACGCTGGGGGCGACGCGCCGCCTCTGTCCCAGCCTGTGAGCCCCGGGGCGCGGCGGCCTTCTCAGGCCCCCAGGGGTAACCGTCCCGCATCGCCGGGGGCGCGGGCAGCGGGGCTGCCTCTGCCACCTGCGGTCCTGACCGCGCGCGAGTGCTGAGGGGCTGTCCCTGCCCGGGACGGTCAAGACGGACACAGGTCTGGGTGCGCGGACATGGGTCAGAGCAGCGGCCGATCCAGGCTGAAAGCGGAGGTGTGCAAAGGCGGGGTTGTCCAGGCCAGGGGGGTGGCCGGGCGGGTCCTAGGGCCCTGGCACTCTGGGCACCGGCCGGCAGTGTTCATGGGGAAGGAAGGACGAGCAACGCGGGCGACCGAAGTGACACGCGGCCAGGCAGGTACAGCGGGCGGGCTGGGCAGCGCGGGGAGGGGCGCGAGGGGCCGGCGGGGCCCCACCTTGCTGAGCGCCATCTGGTAGATCTCCTCGGGTGAGCGGCCCCGCTCCCGGGGCAGCAGCCGGTAGCCCAGCTTCTCGGGCATCTTCTCCACCACGTAGTTGCGCAGCTTCACCTCGTTCACCTCGGTCCACGTGTTCTCGTCGTACTGGGTGAACTTGGTCAGGTTGAGCCCCAGGCTCTTGCACAGCTCGTGGAGGATCCTGCGGGCGCCGCGGGGGGAGGCTGGGTGCGCGAGGGCGCCGGGGGGCGGCCGGGCTGGGGGGTCGGGCTCGGGACGCAGCCGGCGGCTCCCACTGGGGGCGACGCGGGGAGCGGGCGGCGCGGCTCGGCGGGCCGTGGCGGGGGGGCGGGCGGCGGGAGGGGACCCCGGGGCGGGCTGGAGGGCGGGCGCCCCCGGCAGGGCTGCAGACAGGAGGGGCTGCATCGGGGCTCGCCCAGACTGCCCTGGGGGGCTCGCCTCCGGGTCGGAGTGGGGTCCGGGCTGGCGCCGCGGGGGGAGCGAGCGTGGCCCGGCGGGGCGGGGCGGGGCGGCGCCGGCTCGGGCCTCACCTGTGCGAGCTGGGCATGCGCATGGCCCCCAGCTCCCCGATCCAGCCCGTCTTCCCGTCCCGGAAGGTCAAGATGCGGCCCCCGATCCTGTTGTCGGCCTCCAGGATGGTGACCTGAGGGAAGAGGGTGCGGGAAGCGGGCACCTCAGCTCCCTCCCCAGCCCCCCACGGGCCAGCCCCCCAATCCCCACAGTGGCTGAGACCCGGCCTCCTCGAGAAAGGCCCCTCTGCGCGCGTGGCTCGTGCTTTAACTTGGCTTAAAAACAGTCTGTTTCCTCCTCCGCGCGCCCCCAGAGTGGGTTCACAGCAGGTAGAGGAAACATTCCCGCGTCCCCCTCTAGGGGGCAGCCCCAGCCGCCGAGATCCGCAAAGGAGCGGGGAGAGGAAAGCCGGCCGGACCCCGCCGCAGCGCTCAGAGCGCAGGGCCAGGGGAGGGGCGTCCCTGCCCCCCACAACACTCCTGCCGGAGCGCCCCGTAGGGTGGGCGGGGGAAAGGCGGCCCCGCGGCCCGGGGAGGGTGACAGCCCAGGGGGAGGAGAAAGGCACCCCACACTCTCCCTGCCCTCCGACGGAAACTGCTGGGGGGCGCGGAAGAAGCGCCCAAAGAAAGATCAAGCAACCCCCCCTCCCCGCCCCCTGGTCTTGGGGTGAGCTGCGGTCCCCTCTGCAGGGCTCCCAGCCCCGCCTGCCCCAGGACCTTGGACCCTGTGAACATCGTGGGATCTCTGCCCGGAGACGCGGGGCTCAGTGCACACACACACACTCTCAAAGGCCCTTCATCACTTCAAAGGCAACCCACAACTCATCCCGACAGGGGCTCTGGCTGGGCTCTGGGCAGCAGGGGGAGAATCCTGGGGTCTCTCCCAGGCCCCGGGGAATCCCAGGGCTGCAGCCACACCCTTCCCCAGATGGGCGCCCTCTGGGCTTCCCCTCCCGCTCCCTCCACATCACACGGTCCTTAGCATGTGGAGGAGGGATCGGAGGCCGCTTGCTGGACACCCCAGAGGCAGCACCTCCCCCCCCCCCGGGGCACAGGACTGCTTATGGAAGGGGAGCCCCTCCAGATGGGATGGGAGAGGAAGGAGCCCACCCCCCCTTTCACACACACACACACACACACACACACACACAGCTTTGCAGGCCTTCGAGAAGGGAGAAAGTGGGTCCCAGCGCCTCAGATGGCCGCTTGAGCCCTCGGCTGGGACATTCCCCCCAAGGGAGCAGTGGCCATGCGGGGAGGCCTGCACCCATGAGTGGGGGCTCCTGGGAAGTTACCCCGGGACACGGGGAACGCGGGACGCGCTGCATTTGTAATCAAGGCAGTTCTGGGCTGTGAGTCAGAGGGACGGGCTAGCGCCTGCCGTTCCCCAAGTCCCTCTCCCCCCTGAGAAGCCACCTTCCTTGCTCGCCGCCCCCTCCCTGGGTTTTCCTGGGAGGACTCTGACCCCCTTCCGACTTCTGTCATGGGGCCACCTGGCAAAGTCTGGAAAGCTCATGAGGAGGAACACTGGGGGTCATTTCACAGTGACAGCCCTCCCGGTGGGAGGGAGACCCCTCCCCAGAAGCCAGCCCCCATCTCTCTCTGGAAGTGGTTCCCAGATAGCAGGGAGCTGGTACCCCCAGCCCCAGGGTGGCCCCTTCCTTTGTCCCCCACCCCAAAACCCTAGCCCAGGGTGTGAGTGGAATGGTGCGAGGGCAGAGCAGAGCACACGTGCGCGGCACCCCCTGCACCCCGGACGGTCTGTTCCTGTGGGGAGGTGGCTGGGAGGGGGGCACAGTAAGTCCTGGCAAGCCGGCACGGACCCCTTCCAGCCTGGGGGCTGGGCAGCCTTCAGAGAAGCCCGTTCTCATTCTTAGATTGCACTGAGAGGGACCGCGGTGAGGCCTTGGGGGCACTTCCCCTAGGGCTTGGGCGGAGCGCCGCGGCCACCAACGCAAATTCCCCCGGGGGTTGGAGGAAGCCCCCGGGGTGAGGATGCAGGGCAGGGACTGTCCAGTATTTCCTTAGCGAGGGGGTTTCAAGCCCCCCAACTTCCCCTCCACCCCGACCGCCCAGGACGGCCCCGGGCCCCGGCGCGGGCCGCAGGCAGGGTGGACGGCGGCCGCTCTCACCTTGTGTCCCGCGTCGCTGAGCACCTTGGCCGCCACCAGCCCGGCCACGCCAGCGCCGACCACGATCACCCTCCTGGGCCTCAAGGTCCGGTTGAGGCCCAGGGTCACGACCTTGAGCAGCTGCTCATAGTCGGGGTCGTGCATGCACCTCTCGAAGGGGTCCTGGCCGTGGGCGGCCTTCCACTCGAGGCAGGACGCCAGGCCCAGGAGGACGGTCACCAGGGTGAGGAGGCGCCAGGCTGGGGGGCGAGGGGCAGTGGGCAGGTGGCCGGGTTGGGGGAGGAAAGCCAGTCCTGGTCCCCCATCCCGGTGACCCCACCCCTCCTTACTTACCCAACGGGGACATGACTCTGGGGGGACGCGGTGTCTGGGGAGGAGGCGGAACAAGAGCCACTGTGACGGGTGCGTGTCTCAGCCCGGCCCGATTCCCTTCAGGGGGTCCCGCTGCCGCTCCCCTCACCCCCGCGCCACTGCTCTAGCGCCCTGTTCCCTGCCTGCCCTCCTCCCCCAGCCCGCGGCCTCTCCCGGCCCCTTCCCTGCTCCCAGCCCCGCTCTCCCCTCAGTTCTCTCGGCCAGGCCCGTCTTCCTCCTCCGCCACCCCCGCCTCTGCCGCTCTCCTCCCTCTCCCGTCCCTGGCCCGGTCCCTCCCGGCCTCTCCACCTGGCTCGCCACTGGCAGCGGGCTGGCCCCGGCCCTCTCTCTCCTCGGCCTTTAAACCGGCCCAGCCCCAGCCTCCGCCCGCGGGGGAACCTGACGGGAAACGAAACCGCTTTCCCGGGCCGCGGGTCAGATGGCCTTGACTGGAGCCCGAGGGGCGCGGGGAAGCCGGGGGCGGGAGGATGCAAATCCATCTATTTTCTGCCTCTTGCCCCAAATAGCACTGGGGCAGCTGGGGGCCAGAAATAAGTGCCCAGGTAACTGCCAGGCGGGGCTGCCCCTGCCGGCGCTGCCCAGCCCCACCCGCCAGCCCCTGCCCTCACAGGGCTCTGCCACTTTCTCTGCTTCCTTGATTCTTGAGGCAGGGGAGGGGGGACCTCTGGCCTGGGGTCTGGCTGCTCCCAGCCTAGGACAGCCTATGGGGCCTCTGTGCCCACTGTCTGTGCCCAGACCCTAAAGAGCCCTCGCCGGCCCCGTTTCCTCCCCGACCTCAGTCCCCCACTCCGTGCAGCGGGCACAGCGGTGGGGCGCCCAACAGCAGCACGGTCAGGGCCGAGGGCTCTGGGCCAGTCTGCCCGGGGCTGGCCTGGCACCTGCCCGCCCAGCAGGGAGATGCAGGACAAGGCCGCTTCTTTCTGGGGCTCCAGTCTGCAGCCATCAAACAGGGGCCACTGAGATGTCGGTGGGGGTTCCACTGTGAGCCCAGGTCAGACACTGTGAATGGGTGCGGCTGTGCCAGGGCTCCGCTCCCCCCCACCCTGCCCTGGGCGCCCACCCAGTGCCTCTGCCTGTGGCCCTGGTACTTCTCTGAGGGGCTGGTGGCAGTGAGGCCTAGGGGCCTGGTTCCAGGGTTTCTCCTGCCAGGCTGCCCAGGATCTCAGGATTTTGAGGATTTACCCAAGGGGACATGTGGCAGGTTCCCCGAAGCGGGTGGGGGCAGAGAGGCAATTTGGGGGCTTTCTCCTGGGGTCGTGAGAGGGCACCAGGGCTGGCGAGGAGGCTCGCTGGGGTGCAGGTTCTCCGCAGCAAGGTGGGAAAGCCCCGCAGAAGGATGTGTAGTGACTGGGGGGGCGGGGGGGCAGGGGGCTGTGAGTGAGTCAGGGCGCACGTGAGGTGGGAGGGTGGAGGCCGTGGCCAAGGAAACTGACAGCCCTGGAGGGGCGGCTGCAAGGGCGGGAGCATCACAGGCATCTGCGTGCTCGGCGCCTCTCACTCCCAAGGCCCGAGCCGGACAGAGGAAGGAAATGGGGACCTCAGAGCCAGAGGCCTTCCCTCGACAGCGCCCGGCGGCCTCCTTCACACCAAAGGAGAAGACAGAGCCGAGGGCTGCCAGGCCCCAGCTAGGAGGAGGGCCGGTCCCCAGCTGAACTCCTGGTCTCCCGGCTCGGGCTGCTGTGCCAAGCCCCCGACTGCACACACCAGCTCAGCTCCTAGGCCCTCGGGAAGAGAAGGGAAGGGCCCAGCTCACCCTGAAGTCCGGTCCAGGAATCGGGCGAGGCGAGTGGCTACCTGCGCCCGGGGCCCGCCTGGCCGGGAGAGCAGGGCTCTGTTGAACCGGCCCGGGGGTGTCCTGGCTCTGGCTCAACGCCCACAGGCGCCATCCCACCCTGTGCCGGGTCACTTCAGTCACCTCGGTGACCCTCTGACAAGGGTCCCCAATGGGACAGCAGAGAAGACGGAGGCCCAGGGAAGGCAGCAGCTGGGAGGTGGCTGACTGAGCTGCTGGCCTAGACCTGGCCTAGCAGGAGCAGCTCAGGCCCCTTGGTTGGGAGGGCCAGGCCCGGCCACCCGGGCACTGTGCACACGTGGGGGTGTCCCGGCACTCTGGGACTGCACAACATCGCTGGCCTCCACCCCCAAGATGCCCTCCAGAGACACCCCCAGGCCTGTACCACCACAAAGGGCTCCAGATTGTGCCATTCCCTCCTGGGGAAGTGGAGGCGACGCCCTGGCGGAGATCCGCAGGGCCAGGCTGCTAGCGGGTGGACCTCCCGGGCGCTGACTGATGGGGTCCAGGCCAGGACTGGCGCCCAGTGGGCAGGAAAAGAAATGCTGGATGGCCCCCGTGGCAGCGGTGGTTTTGGGGTGAGGAGGTTAAGGTCACTGGGGAAGTCTCTCCCCCGGGCTTTGCGTGCGGTCCGCACTCGGCCTGCGCTACTTCAACCATCCAAGTCGGCAGTGGAAGTTGTTTGCGGCAACACATCCGGGCCCCCGCACTCAGCACAGACAGGGCTCTCCCAGTCTGTGGTTTGTCCCCGCTGGTGGGGTGACAGCCTTCCCCACGCTCCTGATGATGCCAGGGGCTTAAGGCATAGGTTTGGGTGGACTCGTCAGGAAAGCAGGGCTTGGATTAGATTTTCTGAGCTGTGGGTGGGGATCCCTTCAGGACAGCGAGTAGTGAGGGGCGACGCAGGTGTGAGGGGTGGCGCAAGTGTGAGGGGCAGGCCTGCACCTCTCTTCCGTTCTCCCCAAAGACCCCATGTGGTCGGTATTCAAACTTTCACTGGGGTCCCAGAGGGGGTGGGGCCAGTATAGGGGACGGGGGGGGGGGGGGGGGGTGGTCCAGGTGGAAGTCAGGGGGTGCAGACCTTGAGAGGCGGGGGTACGGGAAGCAGAGGGCCTGATCTCGGGCCTGGCCCCTGGACAGGGCCCTCTCCCTGAGCCCTTCCCCGTCTCCAGCGCACCCAGGGCACTCACTGCACGGCTGGCTCTGGGGGCCTCTCCCAGCGCCCATGGCCCTTCCAGTCAGCCCGGGATAGACGTCATCGTCCGGTGGGTGAGGAACTGGGGCGAGTGATGCTGGCTTTGTCCTGATCCCCTTGTCAGACCAAAGATGTCAGGGTCCTGGTGAAGAGTCACAGCTGTTGGGGGTGTGGGGCGCGGGCCTCCTGGTCAGCACGCTTTATTAGAGCACGTGTCCAGTGTCCAGAACAGCAGTGGCGGGACAAGGTCCCGGCTCGCGCCACCTCCTGCTGTCCTGTCCCACCCCCGGCTCCGAGGCAAACCCTCTAATTCCTGTGCGGGTGGATGCTGCAGGGTGTGGCTGAATCTGCAGGGCCACACCGCCTGTTGCCTGCACGCGGGAGGGTCAGGGAAGCCTGGTCGGAGGGCCCCCGGAGAGGTCCCTCAGGGGGCCGCTGCCCTGTCAAAGCGCAGACAGACTGAAAATGCGGGTGCAGCGGTGCGCCTAGGGGGTGGGGGGTGGTGGTGGTTGAGAGCTGGTCCTGAGCGTCAACGGTTTGATTTTCCTGGATCTTTTTTTTGGGGGGGTTTGCTCTGCACATCATCAGTAAGAACGTACATACGTACGAGTGATCTTATGACAAAGCTCATACTCAGAGCTCACCCCTTTCTCACGACGCTGACTGCATCTTGTAACGATACGCTCCCCAGGGGCGATCGCTGCACCCATAGGTGGGGGCTGACTTCCCAGACCCCTGCCGGGTGACCCCACCAGGGCGGGGTCCATGCCAGGGGAAGGCTCCTCCCGGGAGCCTCTACCAGCACGCCACTGCTGGGGAGCCCCGACCCCAGCTGACCCAGGTGATTCACCTTTAAGAGCCTCTGATTCCAAACTTAGTTACCACATTAGTCGTCTTCATATTAATGAAGAGGAACTTAGGCAGGGTTTGTCTGGACTGGCACGGCACGGTGGTGTTTTCTTCCTGAAAGGAAAACTGCAATTACAACGGAGCCTGCCCCTGGGCCGGGCCGGGCGCCGATCCAGCCGCCACCTCGGGAGCCCTCCCTGAGGCCCCCTGCACGCCTGCTGGGCCAGGACCCCTCGTGTCGGAGTGCCAGAGCCCATCCTGGGCGGCACCACCCCGTTTGTGGGGACTGTTTGTTCTTTATTTTTTACAGAAAAGCAAGAGATTGACTGGCGGGCAGGACAGGAAAGCTCTCCATGCAGAGGGGTCCTCGGGGCAGGGCTCAGGTGGTGCCAACCAGCCTCCAGCAATGTTCAGACCAGCAATGGGGGGGGCGGGGGGCGGCGGGGTGGTTCTCCTCCAGTGTCCCCACCCCCTCCAAGTGGTTTGTTTGAACAGGATACTTGTCCTTGGAAGTTCAAGGTGATCCAAGGTGCTCCAAGGTCACTTTGGGAAGCCAGATTTCTCAGGTAAACTTTGTAGCCTGACTTTGGGGGATAGGCTGAGGAAGGCTGAAGAGGCAGGCCCCCCGCCCCCACCGCCCCAGGAAGGGGCATCACTGGTGCCTGCAGGAGTTGGAGTGGAGGCGGAACCTGGGCTGCAATCTGGAAGCCCCCTGAAAACCTGGCACCCCGCAATGGAAGCACCGCCACGCCCCACCCCTCTCACTCCCATGGACAGGAGGGGAACGCTCTGACTCCCAGCGACTGAGCCAGGGGTGGTGACAGACTTGGCATTTGTGTGATTTCCAGCACGCAGCCAGAGATCACCTGCGTCGGGGCTTCCACGTGCCTCTCTTGCCGCCAGCGCCAGGGGATCACGGTGTGAATCTGTGCTCCCCTAAACACAGCGTGTGTGTGTGTGTGTGTGTGTGTGTGTGTGTGTGTGTGTGTGTGTGTCGGCATGTGCCTGAGCAGCATGCTCAGTCTTGCTTGTTTCTGAGTCTCAGACAAATGGCACCCCCCTGAACCAGTCTCTGGAGACGGCCATTTATGCTTTCTCTAAGAGAACCACGTTAGCAGCAGCTCTTGGTTCACAGGTTTTATTGAAGAGAGCGACAGACAGCCAGAGGCCTTTCAGAAAGTGCAGCGAAGGACACAGGTAAACACGTAGGACACCTGGGACACCGGCTGGCGACTGCTGTACGGCGCTGTCACTGACCACGTCTGACGTGGCCGGGGAAGGTCAGGACCCAGCACGGGGCAGCCGCTGCCTCCGGCCACCATCTCGGAGCCTTGAGGAGGCTTCACACCAGGTTTCGTCTCCCCTGTTCACGCTCTGCTAAGTGACAGGGGCTGGCGCTCTCAGCGTGGGAAGCAAACCAGAGGCAAGCACAGCCCGCGAGCGTTCCTTGAGGCGCCTGCTCAGAGCAGTGGGGGCAGCTGACCCAGCTCCGGGCGTGACGAGGGCTTCCGGGAGGAGCTGAGGCCCGGATGCGGCGCCTGGGGGACAAGGTGCGGCGGCCAGGCTGCTCGGATGGGGCCCCGTCCTCGAGACCTCCTAACCCGCCCCTGGAGGTCTGCCCCTTCCTCCTCTGAAACGCCCGCTGTCTGTCCTGCGCACAAACCACTTCCCGGTTGCAACCCCCTGCCCCGCGCTGCACATCGGCTGCGGGTGATGTTCTCCACCTCCTGCGCCTGTGACTGCAGAACGGCCGCCCAGCGCGCCGGGCAGGAGCCAGATGGTCTCACCGAAGGCTCCCTGGCCGGGCCGGGCCGGGCCGGGCCTGAGGAAGATGAGGTGGGTGGCGGCAGCAGGTGGAGGTGGGCCGGGCACACGTGGCGCAGAGACCGCACCCGCCGGGCTGCACAGAAGGCTTCCTGCTTGGGAGCGCAGAAGTCAGGGCCGAGAACGCTCCCTCCACAGCAGTCATCGACAGAAAGAACAAGTATTTCATTGCAACCAAACCTAGATAATCCCCCTCCCACCCCGCCCGCCCTGAAGGCAGCGCCCGCCTAGTCGAAGGTGATGCGGAAGCTGCGCTCCTGCTCCTTGCGCCGGCCCTCGCACACCTTGGTCACCTCCTCCACCTTCCGCTGCAGCAGGGCCGAGTTCTGGTCGATCCACTGCAGCGAGTCCATGTGCGCGTTGAGGATCTTGCAGATCTGCTGCAGGGGGTCGCTGGTGTCGGCGGGGCCCCCGGACGTGTTCAGGTGTTCGATGATGTCCTTGAGGTCCTGGGCCATGCGCTTGAGCTGCGCGTCGATGTTCTCGGCCAGCTTGTAGGTCTTCTCGCGCTCCTCGTCGGCGTGCTGCAGGTACACTGTGCCGCTCTGCTCCTTGACCGACTCCTCCAGGGGGCTCAGCAGGTCCTCCAGCTCCTTCTGCTGCGACAGGATGAAGTCGAGCTCCTGGTCCAGCCTCTTCTGGTCCAGCTTCACCTTCTCCACCTCACGGTGCAGGGTGGTGATCTTCTCCCCGTTCTCGATGAGCGTGCGGTCCCAGGCGTTGACCTGCGTGGCCTGCTGCAGGAAGTGCCGCTCCTGGTCCTCCAGCTCCAGGCTCCACTTGTTGATGAGGCCCTCCAGCTGGGCGTAGGTCATGGCGGGGCTCACGGACGCCACGGGGCCAGCAGTGGAGCCAGGGGGAGCCGTCACCGAGGCTGGCACGTTGTTGGTGATGCCGGCAGGGGCCGGTGGTTTCAGATTCAGGGCAAAGCCCGTGGAGGACGCGGAGGTAGTGGCAGTAGCCGCGGCCGTGGCTGTGGGGGTGGCTGCTGCTGTGGAGGCGGCGGAAGCTGCTCCGGGGGCCTTCAAGCTGAAGCCCAGCGTCCCTGCCCCAGAGGCAGCAGCAGTGGTGGCCGGCGCACACAGGGAGAGCCCGGTGGCAGCGGACGAGGCTGGAGCAGTTGCTATGGAGGCAAAGTGCGTGGGCCCAGCACTGGTGGCAGCTGCAGTGGCTGCGGGAGCAGCTGGCTGTGTGGCTCCCACCCCAGTGGTGGCTGGTGTGGCTGCAGTGAAGGGCAGCCCGGCCAGGGCTGTGGATGGGGCCGAAGTGCCCAGGGAGCCGATGCTGAAGCTGGAGGTCCCGGTCTGGGCTGCGCTGCCTCCAGTGAACGAGAAGCCCCCGGGGGTGGTGGAGGGGGCGGCGGTGGTGGTGGTGGAGCCGAACACAAAGCCGGAGGGCCCCGCAGCCTGGCTGGAGGTGACGGTGCTCGAGATGGCATTGGTGAGGGTGCTGCTGCCCAGCCCAAAGCCGCTGGGCGGCGCCGTGGCAGCGGGGGGTGCAGCAGTGCTGCTCAGGTTTAGCTTCGGCGCGCCAACCCCTAAGGAAAATCCAGTGCCCCCCGTCGCAGGCGCTGTGGTTCCAAAGCTGAAGCCCAGGGTCTGTGTGGCTGGAGCAGATGTGGTGAGTGAGAACAGCCCAGTAGATGGGGTGCTGGCCGCTGCTTGGGAGGAAGCCCCAAAATTAAACCCGCCAGTGGAAGATGTAGAGAAAGAAAACCCCGTCGCAGCCGAGGTGGTCGCTGTCTTTGCAGTGCCAAACGTGAACCCGCCTGTGGGGGCGCCGGTGCCTCCAAAGTTAAACCCGCTCATGGCTCCAGCTCTGGCGGCAGCGGCGGCTCAGGGTCCTAGCAAGTCCGCTGGCGTGTGCGACCTTGGGGAGCGACAAGCAGAGGGGGTGACAAGGTCAGTGGCAGTTGCGGAAAAGGCGCCCCGGATGTAGGACTGAGCAGGGCCTGGAGGGGCTGAACCTCAGAGACCCAGAGAGCTGCAGGGCAGGGCCTGAGCTACCACAGGCCTCCATGCGTGACACTCCTTAACATGTGGGAAGACGGGGTGCTTGCTGGAGCCTCGTCAGGGGTGGGTGCGAGGCCCAAATGTCCTGTCGGTGTCTACCAGAGAGCTCCCCTGTTCTCCCCAGGCACTCAAGGGGCGGCTGCCTCCCTCACTTGCAGTTACAGGGTGTAGAACATGCACCCGGGGTCCCGCTGGCCTCTTGGCCACCTGCACCACAAGACGAGTTGCTCCCAGAGACAAGGGCAGAGCAGGGAGCGCGCAGAGGATCTCGTCCCCAGAAGGCATGAGTTGGCAAGGGGAGGTCTGGGAGTGGCTTCCAAGGTAACTGGCATCGCAGCCTGGAGGCAGGGGCTCGGCCCTGAGCTGCAGATGAGGGACCTGGGCTCAGATGGCTGAGAACCTCACCCAGGGGGCCCAGATAGCAAGAGCGGGTAGACCCCTGAACCTCCCGCCCCGTCCAGGAGCCATGCAGAGCCCTCCCTGCACACGCCCGGGAGTCGGTGAGGCAGCAATGCAGGGAAGACAGCGCTGTGCCCAGAGACGGCGGGACAGGAAATGAAGGGGGGGTGTGTGTGTGAGCAGCACGCAAATGCACTAGCGCAACGTGGACAGCCAGAACCGTGGCGAGCGGCCCGGAAAGCAACACACCTAGGTGTGGACAGGGCCTGCGCGAGGGCTCTCCCTGCTAGCGGGCAGCCGCTCCCGCACACTCGTCCTGCCTGTGCAGTGCAGACACGGACGGACGCGCTGGGTTTTGGAGAGAAACCTCGCAAGGGAGTGACTCCACCCTGAGGCGGCAGGGAGTGGCGGCAGCAGCCCTCAGAAGCACAGGGACACATCGCTAGCGAATAAAACAAGCCTCCCCGGGGGTGGCTGAGACCTTGTCTGGTCCTGAAGGTGAGTGGCGACAGGGCAGGGGCCACAGGCCGGGCTAGAGGCAGTGCGGGAGCTGACACCGGCCAGCAATACCGTGCTGGAGAGCCCTGTCTCCCCACAGGCGGGGGCCCTATAAGGCTTCCAGTGGAGTTGGGGTGGGAGGCCACACCAAAGACACGGACCCCCCAAGGACGCCCACGCCCTGCCTCAAACTTAGGACTGTGTTCCTGCACGTGACAAAGGGCCCTTTCCGATCGGGACGCGTGTCCTGGGTGAAACACCGGGCCCGAGAGGCCTACGTTCCAGACAAGAGCAGGAGGAGACCTCAGCCTTCAGAGGACCACAGAAGCCGGACTGGAGTGACGCCCTTTGAACTTGGGGACAAGAGGACAGGGATGCAAGCTGAGGAACGCAGGTGACTCTAGACACTGGAAAAGGCCAGGAAGCTTCTGGAAGGAGCCAGGGGTGCCCACACCTTGACTTGAGCCCCATTTTGGACTTCTGGTCCCCCAAGCAGCAAGAGGGTCTGTACCGTTTTAAGCCACCAAGTTTGTGGTCACTCGTGCAAGCAGTCCCAGGACAAAGCTGCTGGGCACAGAGTGTCTGCCAGCTGAGAGTGTGGCCCGGTGATCCCCGAACAAGGGGCAGCCAGCCTCTCTGAGGCCGCCCCCTCATCAGGGGAGTGGGGTGGTGCAGCTGGGCAGCCCAGGGGAGTCCAGGTGCCGGCTTTCGCTGCAGCCACAGCTGCACTTTTACACTGGGGAGGTCTCTGGAAGTCACTGAGGAAGGAAGAGGAGGCCGCCCGGAGGGGCTATGAATACCCCACCGGGCTGCCAAGAAGTTCCGATGAAGAACCTGCGGCTGACCTCAAATTTAAAGGGAACTTGCGGTGGGGCTGCCGCTGCGCACCAGCCCCAGGTGCTGAGGAGCACATTCGCCGGCCCGCCCCCAGCTGACTCATCGCGCCCTTGAGGCAGTCGGGTATGGCACATGGACGGGACAAGAGGCTTAGATGGAAATACTGGTCAGTTCTTATCCCGAGATCCGGGCCCGGGGCTGGACTGCAAACCCCTCGCTACTGCTACGCCGCCCCGCGGGGGCATGTGGCCACTCTGCCCGCTCAGAGCCCTGCCCCTCAGCTGAAACAGCAGCCAGCCCCCTCCTGCTTTCGGGCGCAAAGCTGGTCTCCAGATGTAAAGAAAAGTCCTGGATCAAAACTGCTTCTGCCACTTACTAGCTGTGGATCCCTCAGCAAGTTACTCCTGAACCCTTCTCTGCCTCAGTTTCCCCACCCGAAACGAGGCCAACTGCCTCCCACTGTGAAGAATTAACCAGAAGCCAAGTCTTGGCCCAGAGAAGGCACCTGCCACCTCCCGCGAGGCCCAGTCTGTTTCTGTGTGCCCGCAGGGAGCCCCCCTCCTACCTGCTGTGCCCCCTCTGCCTTCCTCACAGACACGCTTTCATTGGTCTCCTGCCCTCACAGCATGTGCTTCCGGGAGATGCCGCAAGGTGCTCCCGCGGGGGTGGGCTTGGCCTAGGCCGTGGACCCTGACCGGCTGCCTGCGGGCCTGATCCGGGACAGCGGACGGACACCACTGCACAGCCACGAAGTGGTGTTCCTGGGGGTGGGACCCAGGCCTTGGTGTTCTCACCGAGCTTTCGGGAAGCTTCAGAGATGGCTGTGCCTACTCTCGCCACCGCCCGCACCGCTCCCCACGCGGCCGCCTCGAGCGGGGCCGGTCCTCACCGGCAGCCGAACCTTCCCAGCAGCCGCACCTGCGTGTGTCGGCGCGCGACACCTCAGCCCAAGAACCTTCTGCTCTGAATAAGAGGCGGCCAAGTCTCCCAGGAGCGCGGCGGTACAAGGCTCTGTCGCTACATCCACTGCCTCCGCCCCCTCTGTGGGGGCTGCCGGCTCCAGGCTGCCGGTCTAGCAAGCCCCTCCCGGGCCGGGGTCTAGTAACAAGGGGGACACGCGCGGAGCACTGCCTCAGCCCCGAGCTCGAACACCGCGGCGGGTCCATTCCAGAGAAGGAGGCGAGGCCCACGCAGGCCGCCGGAGGCCCGGCAGACTTGCGGCGGCTGAGCCGGGGCTGCGGCAAGGGCCTGGCCTAGAGGCCAGGAGGACCTTCTGGGCGGCGGGGGAGCGGGCGGCGAGCAGAGGGAGCCCCTGCGCCCGCGGAGCTCGGAAACGAGCCTCACCAGACAAGGAGACCGCAGCGAGACGAGGCCAAGCGTCCCGGGAGGAAGAGAAAGCAGCGCGGCGAGAGGAGCGGCACTGACTCAGGGCGAAGGGCCTAACCCCGCGGGCCGGAGGGGGCAGGGCAGCCCCATGAGGAACCGAGGCGCTCTCCCCTCCCTCTCAGCCCTTTCCCCAGACTCCCGGAACAGGGGCGTTTGTCTGGGAACTAATATGGGGCAGCTCAGTCTTGGGCCAAGAGGACAGGAAAGATTAGGAAGGATATGGGGGGTTGTGTGTGGCCCCCAGACATGTCCCCGCCTGAATCCCACAACTGTGACAGCGTGACCTCGCACATCAGGGACGCTGGCGTGGGGACTGCCCGAGGTGTGCGTGGGCCCTGATCAAGGGGGACCTGCATGGAATGGGGAGAAGGAAGAGGGCAGAGGGGCGCGAGGGCGCCCTCGGCTGGGAAGATAACACTGGGTTCAGCGACCCTGACTGTTGAGAGCCCCCTGTGGTGAGTCACAGAGAAGGCTGCATTCAGGGATCCCTTTCTTGGCCCCACAGCCCGAGGGGATGTTTTTAAGCGCCCCGGCTTCCCTACCACCCCCCTACCACCCCGTCACTCAGTGTCTGCAGAAGAAATGGAGCCCCTAGGGCCCCCCTCAGACTTCTGACCCCCAGAACCCTGAGGATAAATCTGTACTGAGTCAGTAAGTTTGTGATAACTTGTTACAACAGCAACAGGAAACCAACACAAGGATGAGACTGGAAACAAGGAACGGGAGGGAAACAAGCATGATAAGCTGCAGGACAGCCTGCGCGGGGGAGGGGCGGAGAGGGCGGGTAGGTTTTTTTTGGGGGGGGCCTGCAGCCGGGCCACCCCATGGACGGTGGGTGCGGTGACCCCCAGCAAGGATGGCCATCTGTGTACAGCAGACGGGGGCACGCCGGCGATGGCGTATCCCAGCTCCCAGAGCAGCACCCGGCGCACGGGCTGGTAAGCGCTGCCTGCGTCACCCTGCCTGGAGGGAACCAGCTCAGAGCTGGACGGAGCGTCCCCAAGGGCACGCAGCAGCACATGCTGTCTCAGGGGGGACTCCAGACCTTCTAGGGCAGGGAGGAGACAGAAGAAATCAGTCTTGAGGAACGGATGCAGTGACACGCACAGGCCAGCGCCCCTGGAGCCACACCGGGGCCCGGAGGCGGACACCGAGCCAGCCTGTCCACTGCAGACCAAGCTGGGACTCCGTTTCTCTTCCCAAACCCGTGTCTGCCCTTGGTCCTCTCCCCCGGGAAGCCTGAGTGGTCCTCCACACGCATCTCCTGGGGCTGACAGGCTGTCCTCCCTGGAAACGCACATTCATCTGGGGCAGCAGTAAGCGTGCCCAGAGAGCCCCACTCCAGGCCTACCGAAGGCCAGGGGCCGGGCAAGCAGGCCCGCAAGGCCCCCGGAGCCCACATCACAGCGCACTGATGACCGGGGCCTTTTCCTTGGGTCGCCTGGCCGGACCCAGGCCAGCCAGGGGGAGCAGGTGCTGCTGCCCACAGCCAGAGCTCATGACCTCCGCCCCCGGCCGTGGCGTCTTAGCTTCTATGTTCATCCCCTGAGCTTCAATTTCCTCATAAGAAAAATTGGGAGGCCGGCTTGAGAACCCCAGCGTCTTTGCGAATATGAAATGGTTTGATCCACATCAGGCCCGGGGAATGCCAGCTTCTCGTGCCAGCGAGTTCTGGGGACGGACTCTCCGCCGGGGCTCCTGGCATTCAGCCCGCGGCCACCTGGTGGCGCTGCCGACAAGGCCGAGCCCAGGAAGGGCGGGCGGGAGCATCCTTGGGGAAGCGCCTGGGGCCCCCTCTGAATTGGTAAGACTTGGAGGAGGTGCCACCCAGGGCTGCGACCAGAGCAAGGGGAGCGGAGGGGCCCTTGGCCCCTGACCACCCTCTGTCCCTGGCCCAGCTGAAGTCTGAGTCCCGTGGCCCACGGAGCTGCCGGGATCTGGGGCCTGGGGGTCAGAACACCGCCCGCTCCCCTGCCCCGCTGGTCCCCAGCCTCTCCACCGGGCCGTCTCTCCGACACAGCCAACAGAACACAGAACCCGGCGTCCTGCAACCCCCCGCCCACCACCCCCGCATGGAAACCAGCTCGTAAGCAGCGAGGACGCAGCTGCCAGACCTCAGCCGTGAAGGCAAGGCCCCGTGGCAGGACCAGAGCGCGGCAGGGGCCACGGGAGGTGCAGGGTCAGCCGCTGGCCCGCGCCGGAGGACTCACCCGGGGCGCGGGGGGAGGACACTCTTGGAGACGCCAGGCCACCCCGACGGCAGGGCAGCCGCACACCCCGCCAGAGAGCAGAGCGCCTTTCCAAGCCAAGTTGCACCCGCAAAGGCCAGTTTGCTCCCGCACACAGGTGTCACCCACCTGACCTGTTTGTTACCTATGCCCTCCACCCCGTTGGGTCGAAGGACTGTGGCCCTGACTTCCTCCTGCCTGCTCCTCCCTAGCCCTTCGGGGCCTGGTAGAGCGGACTTCGGGGAGTCTGAGGTCTGTAAGCCGCCAGCTGCTGGGGGGCCGTGGAGAGCCTCACCGCCCAGCATGCACCGCTCTCTTCCCTGGGGCCAGGCCGTAGGTCTCCTGTGCCTCTTTCCAGAGGTTTCTAGCGCCTTTAAGCCATCGCAAGGTTTGCACCCTCTCCCTTTGACACAAATGGCTCCGCGTACTGCAGTTCCTTCTCCATGCCCGGACCTGAGCTCACTGCAGCGGGCTGACCATCCTCACTGGACTGAGGGGGGCTGCCTGCACCCCTGCTGCCTCACATTGGTACCTGAGTGCTTCTCGGAGCCACAGTTCTCAGGCTTTCCTGGGTCTTGCTTCCCTGGAAAGTACTATCTCTAAGAAGTGACTTCACCCCTAATTAGCAACTACATTCGCCTCCCTGCTCCTGAGGCCTGGAGGGGCTCCCGGGAGCAGGTGGTGGGACAAACAGCAGCTCTCAGGGGAAAGCAAGCGGGTAAGAAGTGCTGGAAGGGAAGGCAGGAAACCACCAGAAGAGCAGATTGTCAGAGGATTCTAGAACGACCCCTCTAACAGGAACAATGGGATCCCAGAAGACCCAGGAAGGCGGCAGTGCTGGGCCCCTCCCCCGCGCCAAGATAGGCTCCTTCCTTCCGCTCTAGTTGAAAGAACTGTGTCTCAACTGTATCTTCAACACTTACAGTCTAACTGCACAACTAATCACCGACCCCTTGAGAGCCCCCTGTGGTGACAGTCACGGAAGGCTGCGTTCAGGGATCCCTATCTTGGCCCCACAGCCCGAGGGGATGTTTTTAAGCGCCCCTGGCTTCCCTACCACCCCATCACTCAGTGCTGCATCACTGCACAACTTGCCTCCAGCTGCTGCTCCCCACGCCTCCACGGATGGGTATTCAGGAGGCGACTTTTCTCTCTCATGAGCACGCTGCTACAAAGGCGCCTGCCAGCCTTCTTGGGCAGATGCAGACGTATCCCTGGGGCAGAGCCCCCAGAAGACATGCAGGCCGAGGGTACTCACGCGATGGTTTTGCCAGGGATTACCCACTCGCCCTCCAGTCCGCTCACACCTGTTTTTTTTGTTTGTTTGTTTATTTATTTATTTATACAAGCACTGGGTACAGTCAGAAGCGCGGGAGGGTGAGAGAATTCACCAGAGCCAGAGCGGGGAGCAGAACAGGCAGAAGGACCGAAGTACACTGCTGAGGGGAGCAGCGGGCCGCAGGAGAGGTCTGCGTGCCACGTGGGACCTTCTCCCGGTGGCCGGGGATCGAACCGGCGCTGCAGAGGCTGCGGGCAGCTTTGCAACCCAGCGCTCAACCGCTGCGCCACTGGGGAGGCCCCCACACCTGTTTTTAACCTATCCAGTAGTGCCAGAGAGAACAATTTCCCTACAGCCCGCCAGTGCCCAAGATCAGGAAACCTTTGCCAGCTGAAGTACTAACTGCATCTATTAAAAATATCGATAGAGGGCCTCCCCGGTGGCGCAGCGGTTGAGCACTGGGTTGCGAAGCTGCCCGCGGCCTCTGCAGCGCCGGTTCGATCCCCGGCTGCTCCCAGGCCACCAGAGGAGGGTCCCACATGGCGCACAGACCTCTCCTGCCGCCTGCTGCTCCCCTCAGCAGTGTGCTTCGGTCCTTCTCCCCGCTCTGGCTCTGGTGAATTCTCTCACCCTCCCGTGCTTCTGACTGTACCCAGTGCATGTATAAACAAAACAAACAAATAAATAAATAAAACATGCCTCTATTAATAAAAAAAAAAAAATTAAAAAAAAAAAATATCGATAGAAGCACTAACCATTCAGTACCCACTGTGTGCCAGTACGTGTTGGGTAATTTACCAGCGCACCTCATTCCTTCAGTCAACAAACACCCTCTGAGACTCAGGACAGAATAGGGCCTGGGGTGAGCAAACACACAATATGGTCTGGCCACCACCTTCCTCGAATCCAAAATTCTATTTAAATATGATAAAGGAAAAGCTACCGGAATCGGAATGGAAAGCAGTTACTCAAACAGAAACATTTGCACAAAGGCTCACACCCTCATTCCCAGGAGCCAGTGGTGCTGTCATCTCCTACCAGTCTTGGCGGCCATCATTCCACTCCAGGCCCCGGGGGCCTTCAGACTTGCCTAAAACACTCTTGCCTCAGGGCCTGTGCACTTGCTGTTCCCACTCCCGGCCCCAGTGTCCCCAGGGCTCGCTTCTATCCCCTTCAGGTATTTGCTAAAACATCACCTACTCAGGGGTTTCTTCCCTAGCTGTCCTTAGGACTTAGCACCATCCAAAACACTTCCCCAAGGGCAGGATTTTTATCTGCACCCCAATGTCTATAACAATGGCTGGCCACCCCAGGCACTCAGTAAATGCTCATCAGTGGAATAAATGGACCCAGGGCTTGCTCTGTGCCAGGTACTTTGCTAAGGACTTTTGGGGGAACTGACTCATTTAGCTCTCAAGTTCCCGCTACCACGAGGCAGACACCAGGAACATCCCTTTGAGTTAAGTAACTTGTCCAATTTCAACATAAAAGTCAAAATCTGGTTGAATGAGACAAGGTCCCAGCACTCAAAACAGTTCACTGAAGCCACAAAAATAAAACATAGCACAAAGTGGATTCTGAAGCAGCTTTGTTAGGAGCTACTGGAAGCCCAGGGGCGGTGGTGATTAACTCTGCCCTGGGGATGGGTGAGGGCCCCAAGAGGAGGAAGGAGATGTCCAGCAAGCTCAGAGGGCGCGCCCGGAGCGAGGCCCGCCTGCGCTAAGAGCAGGAGAGGTCACAGGAGACTTGGCGGGGTGGTTCTGGGGGCGCTCAGCACCGCTGCTGCCGGGAAACAGTACAAAACCACAAGGAGAAAGGGTCCACACCCACTGGGGTGAGGATAAAAAGGGGCACTGGCTGTCAGTGAGGATGCAGAGACCTGGAACCCCTCACTCACTGCTGCTGGGAATGTAAGTGGCTCAGCCACTCTGGAAACTGGCAGTTCCTCAAAAGGTTAAACAGGAACTAGATCCTGGGGAGTGGGACCTGGGGCTGCTTTTCAGGACAAAGAAAATGCTCTAGAACTAGACTGTGGCAAGGGTAAGACTGTAATAAAGAGAACTGAGGGACCTCCCTGGTGGCGCAAGGGGTTAAGATGCAACCTATGAAGTTATCCGCAGCCTCTGCAGCACGAGTTTGATCCCCGCCCAGGGAGCTACCCACATGGCGCGGCAGACCTTTCTTGTCTCCCCGCTGCTCCCCTCAGCAGTGTATTTCAGTCAGTCTGCCTATTCTGTTCCCTGCTCTGTCTCTAATGACTCCTCTCATCACCACCACCTCTGGCCTGTACCACAGCTTTTTTTTTTTTTTTTAAGATTTATTTATTTATACAAGAACCGAGGTACAGGCCAGATGCGCAGGAGGGTAAGAGGATTCACCAGAGACAGAGCGGGGAACAGAACAGGCAGACTGAGGAAATACACTGCTGAGGGGAGCAGTGGGCGCGACAGGTGAGGTCTGTAGCACCATGTGGGACCCTTGCTGACTGGCCGGGATCAAACCGGAGCTGCAGAGGCTGCGGCCAGCTTCACAGCACTGCACTCAACTGCCTGCGCCACCAGGGGAGGCCCTGTACCCCAGTTCTTGTATGCATAAATAAATCTTTAAAAAAAAAAAAAGACCACTGAGTTGTACACTTTAAGAAGCAGGCGTGAACTAGGCAGTTACCCCCAAAAGTCATTAAACCAACCAACCCAGCATGTGGTGCCAGGAAGGGTTGAGGCACAGAAGCGATGGAGCCAGCCCAGTCCTGGCCTCACCCCAGGCGATAGAGTCACGGCAGCAGGCCTTGTCCCCAGGAGGTGCTGCCAACAGAGCTGGCTGAGAAGGGGCCGGAGTGGGGCACAGCTGAACCACTCCAGTGGGTGGTGAGGACGTCAGGGGCCTCCAGGGGAAAGGCCACCTGCAGCTGAGGTGTGGGGCTGAGAGCACAGCAGGTGCACGCAGGGCACGGGCACTGGCCCCCGGGGCACAGCGTGCTGTCAGTGGGGAGGGAGGCAGGGTCAGCGCAGGCTGGTGAGCACCGCTGCCACGGACATGGCTTCTCGGGAAGCAGTGAGGGCTGCCAGAGGTGGGGCCGAGTAGCACTGGTTCTGAGAAGTGGAACTGACCACAGCCCCCCCCCCCAACATCGCTGGACAGTTACCATGTGCCGGGCAGGCCCCGCTCAGAGCTATTCGCACGGCTCCTGCGGAACAAGGGGGGCCCGTCAGTGCATCCGTTTGCAGACGAGCAAACCGGAGCCCAGAGAAGGACTGCAATGGCAGCGTGCGGCGAGTGGCACAGGCGGGCAGTACTGACCCCAGCTGGCCCCAAAGCTGAGCTGCAGCCTCCCCAGTGTGGACCCCCCCCCACAATCCTGTCATACTTGTAACCCCTGACCATTCTCTAATGACATCGGGTGTCATCTCCAGCACCTTCCAGACTCAAATCCAGTCCAGGGCCGTCAGCACCCCCAGCTGCAGAGACCCCGGGGCAAAGCGGGGAACACCGGCTCTTCCTGCCCTCTGCGCTCAGGAAGGGGTGGCAGGAGGGAGGGGGAAGGGGCCAGGAGGACTCTGAGCCGCTGGCCACGCGGCGGCCCTGTGCTCTGGGCGCCCCTGCACTGCCCTTTCCTCACCCCCGCTGGCCTTGACCTCCCTGCCCCGTGTGCCAGCGTGCCCACCCCCGGCCCCTGCCCCGCCGGCCAGCATGACCACGGCCTGGAGTTCCCCAGCCCGTGCGGGAGCAACGCCCCTGAAGATGGCCTGGCGCCTGCGGAGGGCTGTGGGGTCGGGTTCTGGGAACAGGGAGGGTCCCGCCCTTGCTCTCAGCGCCCGGAAACAGGGACGCAGACATCTGGCTGCGAGGAGACTATGAAAGGAGAACCAGGTGCGGAGGGGCCAGGAGGAGGAACGGCGCGCCCAGGCTGCGGAGTTCTCGGGGAGGCCCGGGTTTACCTCTGCTGCCTCGCGCAGTCGCTGGTGCCCACCCGCCCTGCTCCGGGAACTTCACGACCATTTACCTGCGTGGTTCCCCGACAGCCTGGTGAGGGGGGCTCTTTACCGGTTTCGAGGATGCGAAACCTGAGTCACAGAGACCCTGCCCCAGACCAAGTGGAGTTGGGATGTGAGCCAGCAGGGGGTTCCCGAGCCCACACTGGGCCCCGCGCCTTCCAAGGCCGCATCAGCGAGGGGCTAGGCGGTGTGGGCTCGGGCCAGAAACCGGGTCCATCACGCGGACCCTGCTGCATTCCCATGAGGCAGGGGAGCCAGGGAGAGGCTGCTGCAGCAGCACAGGTGTGTGTGGGGACCCCCTAGGGCAGGATGGGGCGCAGGTCAGAATCAACAGTCTGGCCATTGTAAGCAGAGTAAACACGAGGTGGAAGTCTAGGCCTGGTGGCCTCCTAGCAGGCTACGCCCTGGGCTGTGGATCAGGGACCCCATCGATCCGAGACAGTCTCCACCTGTATGTGGCATGGAGGCCTGGGCTCTAAGGAGCAGCGTGGGTGAACAAAGCCCCTGCGCTCTGGCCTCATTCCTGCCCTCCCTCCTGCTCCCGCACAGGTGCTGCCCCCCTCCCCTTCCCCAAGTGCTCCCTGGCTGTGCTGGATCCAAGACTCCTCTAAGCAGGAGCTGTTGCCAGGTGTGCCAGTGCCCCCAGAGAGCCCTCCTGCTCCCCCTCCCCACAGAGGGCCAGGGTGATGCAACCTGCCTGCAACAGCCGCCTCACTTCCAACGCCTGGCCCCTCCGCACTGGAAAAAAGTCCCTAGCAGCCTCACCCAGGCCCCAGGCCCAGCCCCAGCCCCAGCCCAGCAGCCAGGCCCTGGCCCTGGCAGACCTCTGCAGAGTGGGAGGAAGAGGAGGCATCTGAGCTCTAGGGGCCACAAATTCAGCTCGGGGCAGGCATGGGAGCGGGATGAGGGTGCCAAGACATGGGCTCGCAGGCAGCCGCTGATGACCCACAGGCTGCAAGTTAGGATATGCTGGGAAGGCCAGTGTGGAAACTGGCACCCACCACGGGGACTGAGTCAGGGCTGGGGTGGGGCTGCTGGCACCAGGCCTGGACTCGGTGGGAGCCAAAATCCAGAGAAATAAGCACAGGGGGCTGCCACCCAGGGAAGCGGCCCAGTACCTGCCCATCAGGGCGCCTCATGCAGTCGTGACTCTCGTACTAGGCAAGTTTGTATCTGGTTATTAAAAAATATCCTGCCAAGTCACCTCCTCAAACCCCACACCCGGTCTACCAGACAAATCCAAACTGAAATGCCCAACCAGCGCTCTCCAAAGCCGTCAGGCCCGGGGAAGTCTGAGAACATCACAGGCTCAAGGAGGCAGGAGACAGGACAGCTAAGGGAACAGGGGAGGGTGTCCAGGCCAGACAGGGCCTCAGAGGACAAGCAGTGAAATCCGCACAGAGGTGGCTGCACCAATGCTGGTTTCCTAGCCGTGAGGAGAGAGCACCCCAGAACGGAGGGGTTCCACGATGGGGGAAACTGAGTGTTATTCCAAAACATAGTTTGTTAAAAAAACAAACAACAAAGGGGCCTCGCCAGTGGCGCAGTGGGTTGAACGCAGCAAGGTGAAGCTGTCCACAGGTTCCGCAGCGCGGGTTCATTCCCGGCTGGCCAGGGAGATTCCCACATGGCACGGCAGACCTCTCCCGTTTCCCCGCTGCTCCCCTCAGCAGTGGATTTCAATAGATTTGCCTGTTCTGCTCCCCACTCTGTCTCTGGTGAATCCTCCCACTCCCCACACCTCTGGCCTGCATCCCAGCTCCTCTATGGATAAAAATAAATCTTTAAAAAAACAACTAAACAGGGCCTCCCCGGTGGCGCAGCGGTTGAGCGCTGGGTTGCGAGGCTGCCCGCAGCCTCTGCAGCGCCGGTTCGATCCCCGGCCACCGGCGAGGGTCCCACATGGCGCACAGACCTCTCCTGCCACCCGCTGCTCCCCTCAGCAGTGTACTTTGGTCCTTCTGCTTGTTCTGCTTCCCGCTCTGGCTCTGGCGAATTCTCTCCCCCTCCCACACTTCTGACTGTACCCAGTGCTTGTATAAATAAATAAATAAAATCTTAAAAAAAAAAAAAAAAGCAACTAAACAAACCTAGTCCCTGGACATAACGCAGACCTAAGAAGATGACTAGGGGGCATGGGGTGACTGTGCCACCTCACTGACAGCCGTCTGTCTACGCTAATCCTTAAGTCTCCCTTAACAGGTGGAAGATAAGGCGTAATTTGAAAGCACTCACTCCAGCAGGAGATAAAACACACCCACCTCAACAACCGCCACCACCATCTGCAACTACCATCTGCATGCTGGGCCAGTCTAAGGGCCAGATTCAGGAACTTATTTAACCCTCCTCACAGCCACCAGAAGCAGGGCTAATAATGGTCTCTTCATAGTAGAGGAAACCAGGCCCAGGGAAGCCAGGGAAATCACCAGACACACAGCTAGGAAGTGGGGTGCAGCCAGGATATAAGCCCACAAAACCTGGCCCCACAGTCTGTGCTTTTAACCATGACTCCATGCTGCCAGGGTGCTGGTGGAGCTCCTACAAGCCCGAGGACACGCAGGGCAAGTGCAGACGACAGTGAAGTGCTCCAGGTCAGGGGAGTGAGGTCCTGGAAGGACTTCCAGCCTGCAACAAGGAGGGGAGGGACTAAAGAGACAGGGAATCTTCATTCCAGATAACACTCAAGTCAGGGCTCCCCCACCTGACTGGAGAGGGGGCAGCAGAGCAAAGGACCACGGCCATGCTGTCTGACAGAGGCCAGGGCACAGAGACGGGATAGCTGCAAAGCGCCCTCATTTAATGAGTGTAGACAGCCCCATTTTTGGCAGAGCTGGGCAACTGATAGGGGGAGGGGAAGGCGGGGTGGACCTGGGCTGGACAGAGGCTGAAAAAGGAACAGTTGAAAGGCACAGGATGAACCAGTGGCCAGAGAGGCTGGGTGCGCGCAGGGGCTGCTGAAAGGCTGGGGCCCGTGAGGCTGGGCCTGCTGCACCAGGAGGGGGCCGTGTGTTCATTATCTGGCATGGGGTGGTGGGAATGCTGGAGAGCGAGATCTGGGAGCAGAGGAGGCCCAAGAATGATCTATCAGCGGGGCTTGGGTGGTCAAGCGTCTGGGGCTCCTGCCAGAACCCCAGGAAGGAGGGAACGTTCCCTAACGCGCCCTGAGCTCTACCAGTAATAAAACAGGCAGGACAGGCACGTGGGGTTGGCCTCTGGGCTTCCCGGCACCGGCCAGCTGGGGTGGGGGTGGTGGTTGGCCTCCCCGAACCAGGGCCCCGTCCACGGGCAGCGAGCCGGTGGACTCCGCCCCGGGCCGCGCCGCAGGCACAGGCCCCTGGAGCGCGTCGGGGACTCGCGTGAGATTCCAGCCCCGAAGGTTCTCAGAGCAGCAGTTGGTAGAGGCCGCCGAGCGCGTGGCTCACCGGAAACCCGCGCAGAAGGGGAGGAAGCGAGCGCGACGGGTGCGGGTCTCAGGGGACCGGAGGGGGCGAGCTCCCAGAATCAGACGGGACATCAGACCTCGAGGTCGGGGGGGGGCAGGAGCCCGGGGTCGGAGGGAGCCAGGGACGGGGCCCCCAGCTCCGAGCGGAGGGAGGCCGAGCCCCCGGGCCCCGGGAGGTGGGGGCAGGCCCGCCTCCCGCTGGGGCCGCGCGGGGCGGGGCGGGCGCGGAAGGATCCGAGCGGGCCGTGCTGCGCCGCCCCCGGTATATCCGAGCCCCGTCCCCGGGCGCCGCAGTCCCCGCGCTCAGAGCCCGACCGCCCACGCCGCCGCCGCCCGCCGCGCAGCCCGCCATGGCCCTGTAGCCGCGACCCCGAGCCCCGACCCGTCTCCGCGCTCACCGCGCCTGCGCTCTCCGCTCCCGCCGTCCGTCTTCAGCCGAGGCCGCCGCCGCCTCTCCTCTCCGCAGCCATGGAGTGAGTAACCGCTCGCCCCTCCCTGGCCAACCGCCTTTCCCGCGCTTTCGAAGCTCGCGGCCCTCTCGAGCGGGCCTGGGGGTGGGGAGGCCGGAATGAAGAATCACGGTCGCGCAGGCGCAGAAGAGGGAAGGCGGCTGGCGCCGCGCGAGCGAGCATGCGCGTTCGACCCGGTGGGGCAGGGGAGGGTGCATTCTTGCGGGGGGGGCAGATTTTCCCTGAACAATGGTCAGCGCGCGGTTGCGATCGCGCATGCGCATCATTGCCCCGGAGCCCTTATTTATGGGGAGGGGAGGAACGCAAGCAGGCGCACATGCGCACTAGCGCCCAGGAGGGTGTGGGCTTGGGGGAGCCTTTGGAGCACGTTTGTGACGAACATGCGCTTTGGTCCTCCGCGGGACACCCGCCTTGGAAGGGTGGGAGATAGGAGGCGGTCCTGCGCAGGCCACCCCCACCCTCCTCGCTGCACATGACGCCGGCGCACTGCGCCGCTTCCCTCCCTCTGGTTCAGGACCCTGCCCGGGCGGGGGCTGATTAAGAGTGACAGGATGGGGGCGGGGCTTACAGGGGGTGGGGCTAGGCCCGTAGCCATCGCGATGGGTGGGGCTTGGGGCGGGGCTTACGACGGGGTGGGCTTAAGGGAGCCGTTTGATGAGGGGGTGGGGTTTCGAACGGAGAAAGGGGCGGGGACTCTGGGAGTGGGCGGGGCTACGAGACAGTGAGGGCGTGGCCTGGAGGGCCGAGCAGAGTTCGAGGGGAAGCGTGGGATTTGCGTGCACAGCCTTGAGGAAGGGGCTCCGCAGGGGGCGGGAATTCCCCTGGGACTGATTTGAGATGGCATCTAGAGGGGCAGTGGGGCAGGAAGATACTTAGAGAGGAAGGGTTGTGACTGGGGTAAAATTCCCTGGGATGGAGGTTTTCGTTTTTTAAACAAAGGGGAATCGCACGGGGTAGGAGGGAGGGACGTGGAGAAATTCCCTGGGGAGACCATGAGGTGTCCGCATAGGGGAGGACGGAGGCTGGGAGCTGTGAAGCAAAGTGAGTCAGGTGGGAAAAGAATTCCCCTGGGAGTAGGTGAGGCTGAGCTACTGGGAAGGCGGGGAGAGGGCAGGACTTAGCCCCACATGGAGGAGGAGGAGCCTGTGCCTTGGCCTCCCTGTGACGTGGTGAGGCTGGCCTCTGACCCCATCCACTTGTTTCACAACTGTAGGTCCTCCACTTTCACCCTGGTGCCTGTCATCGCCCAGCTGAGCAGCCTCCAGAGCATCCTCCCAGCTGTCTGTGCAGCGTCCTTCACCACCATCGGCGCCCAGCACCGCCGCTGCAGCCATGTCTCTCCTGGCGACCCTGGGGCTGGAGCTGGACAGGGCCCTGCTCCCAGCTAGCGGGCTGGGCTGGCTCGTAGACTATGGGAAACTCCCCCTGGCCCCTGCCCCCCTGGGTCCCTATGAGGTCCTTGGGGGAGCCCTGGAGGGCGGGCTTCCAGGGGGGGGAGAGCCCCTGGCAGGTAAGGGCAGGTGGTGCATGGGGATGGGATGAGCTGGGGGTGGGCAACAGAGGCGGTGGTGGCAGAGAGATGGCATCCATGCACTCCATGTGTATTCACAGAGTGCCTATAATGTGCCAGGCGCTGTTTCAGGTACTGAGGACACAGCTGGGAACAAGACTAACATGATCCCTGTCCTTCTGGACTCTTACTTTGGTGGGGAGACAGACAGGTGCTATATTGGGATAAGTGAGACTCACTTAGCAGCTGAGTGACAATATGACAGCAGGGACTTAAGAGTGGGTAACCAAAAAAAAAGTGGGTAACCAAGGAGCCTTTAAATACATAGCATTTTGGCAGAGGCCTAAAGGATGGAAAGGAATGAGCCATGAAAAAACCCAAGAGAAGAGCTTTTCAGGTGGAGGGAACAGCATATGCAAAGGCCCTGAGACAGGAATTACTTATTTCATTTGTGTGTCCCAGCTGCTTGGCACATTATAGATTTCAGTAACGAGTGTGAATAAGATTGCTCTTTAGCAATGAGATAAAGGCAGAGAAACCACAGGGATGGAGGATACAGTGGTTGGCTCTTTTCTTGGTTAGGTCATTGGCTGGTTGGCTGATTCATTGGGGGGTTCACAGGCTCATGGGTAGGATGACCAACTCATGCAGCTGGCTGGGTGTTTAGGCAGCTGGCTGCTATAGTGCTTGGTTGATTCATTGCTTCATCTGCTGATTGGCTGGTGGTTTTACTCCATGAACAGGGCAGATGGGAGCTAGCGCTTGGCTGGGTTGAGGATCTGGAACTCTAGGAACTTACTGTCCCCCTCCCATCCTCCAGGTGACGGCTTCTCTGACTGGATGACCGAGCGGGTTGACTTTACAGCTCTCCTCCCTCTGGAGCCACCCCTGCCCCAGGTGCCCTCCCCCCGCCTTCCCCACCCCCCCCTGACCTGGAAGCCATGGCCTCCCTCCTCAAAAAGGAGCTGGAGCAGATGGAAGACTTCTTCCTTGATGCCCCTCTCCTCCCACCGTCCTCCCCCGCTCCGCCACCGCCTCCAGCAGCTCCATCCCTCCCCCTCCCTCTCCCCACCTTCGAGCTCCCCCAGCCCCCTGCCCTGGACACCCTCGACTTGCTGGCCATTTACTGCCGCAGCGAGGCCGGGCAGGGAGATGCTGGGCTGGCACTGCTGCCCCAGCCGCCCCCCCGCCCCCACCTCAGCCCTCTCGCCCTGCCCCCTACCCCCATCCTGCCACCAGCCGTGGGGACCGCAAGCAAAAGAAGAGAGACCAGAACAAGTCAGCGGCTCTGAGGTACCGCCAGAGGAAGCGGGCGGAGGGCGAGGCCCTGGAGGGCGAGTGCCAGGGGCTGGAGGCGCGCAACAGGGAGCTGAGGGAGAGGGCCGAGTCAGTGGAGCGCGAGATCCAGTACGTCAAGGACCTGCTCATCGAGGTGTACAAGGCGCGCAGCCAGAGGAGCCGCAGCAGCTGACCGGCAGGGCTCCCGGAGGGCGGGTCGGTCCCCACTCCCCGCCCCTCATCCTCTGACTCCAGCCTCGTTGCAAACCTCAGGCGCGCGCTCTCTCTCTGTTTACCTTTGTCCTTCTCTTACCCATTTCTGAATTTGCTCCTGTCCTCCTCCTCCCCAGAATCATAGAATGTTTGGCCTCATCGACAGCTACACCCCTCAAGTAACAGCTGAGGGACGGAGGCCCACAGGGAGCTTGGGGAGCAGGGGAGAGCTTGGAAACCTGGTCTTTACCGGGGAAGTGAGGCCAGGTATGCCTATGCAAATGACTATGCAAATGAGTCCAGAGAGCCTTCTGGGGGGGAATGAGGAAAGGGACCCGTATCATAGAAGCAGAAAAGCAAGCCAAGTGACCTTGGGGGAGGTTTGGGGGCGGGGATCCAAAAGATGGCCAAGTTCACAGAGCAGGTGGATATGCAGGCAAGTGGGGAGGTGGGCAGGGCGGGGATGGCCATAGTTGGTGACTGGTGTTCATTTTAGCTCTGGGAGGAAATCAGTGTTTTGTGAAGGTGTCAGGGGAGGGGCTGCAACAAGGTGGGGGGTGTCGAGGGGGGTGGGCTGCCGGAATTGTGAGTGGAAATAAAATGAAGAATTTCCTCTGGCCCATGTATCTTGTCTTTCAGAGACGTTGGGGAGTAGTCAGTCTTAGGCCAAGGGCAATAGAATAATAGAAATGCCAGTACTGGCCCAGCACACACGCTGGGCACACTGCCGAGGTCAAGGCAGGACGGAGCCAAATGGTAGAGAGGCAGGGCCCATTTACTGGCGAAGATGAAGACTAGCCCAGGTGTTGGCTCCACATGGTGCTTGCCACACACTCAGAAGGATGTTGAAACTAGGGGCTGGATGGCTGCCACACATCTTGTGGGGTGCCCTGTGCTGGGGGAAGCAGGAGGTAGCCTGGTAGCCATGGCCAAGACAATGTGCTCCATCTCTTCAGGGCTCAGTGTGTGGCACAAGCAACTGTAAGCACTTTGGATGATTATTTCAGTTAATACAAGAGGAAGGGATTGTTCTTCCCATTGTGTGATGTGCCAGGCTCGGGCTAGAAGGGGAGGGACTGGTCATACAGTGTATACAAAGTTTTCTGCCACCATGAAAGTTACATACTGGCAGGTGTCTGGCAACTGTATCAGTTACAAATGCTTTTGGCTGCAACAACCATTGGCCATCAGTGGCATGCACACAGGAAGTTAATTTTTCTAGATTAAAAAATCTAGAGGGAGGGGACTGCTGGCATGGTTCAAGTTCAGGGATGCAATGCAGCCCTTTTCAACAAATAGAGGGAATCTAAAAGAATTTTGTATAGCAAAGTAAGTAAAAAATGATTTAAAAAAACATAAGGCCAGCCATTTCATAACAGAACACTTTCAAAAGCCAGTGGACATTAATAAACACCCTGAGGGCTCTCAGGTTAAGCAGTGGAGGGAGACAAAACCTCTGATTCTCTTGCTCCTTTTCCTCATGGTCTCAAGATGGAGGCCACAGCTCCGGGCACTGCATCTGAATTCCGCACAGGTGATCAAAACTTTCCCAGCAGATTGTGGTGGATTCTGCTTATATCTCGTTGTCTAGAGGAGGTGTATTCCTAGCTGCAAGGGTGGCTGGGGATACAGGCATTTGGCTGTCTCAGCATTTAGAGTGGAGGCTAAAGGATTGGGAATGGGTGTTGCCTTGAGGCAATAACCGCATTGTCAAGGTGGTGAGACAGCCTAAGCAAAAGAAACTGCGAGCCGGTAGGATGAGCTGCCCCAACTCCTGCTTGAACAAGAGAACTAAATCATGAACTGGACTGCTCATCAGTACCCTTGTATCAGCTCCCTTTGTGCCTGATCCACCTCACCCAAAGCAAAGGATTCTGGAGTCTTCCCGCGGCAAGGTCTTAGCAGGACTCCGCCGCCAGGGGGCGCGCGTGTCTGAGCGGGGGTCCCCAAGGGCAGCCGGGCAGCACTAAGGCTGCCTGCAGTTTCATAGGTTTTGCTCAAAATGCACTTGGCTACCAGGGAGAGAAGAAAAAGGCGGGGGGGAGCCTTGTGTAGATCTAGAAAAAACTTGAGTTGAAAACCAGCTCTTGTCACCCAGTAATTAGTTTTAAGTCAAAATAAGACAGTGTTGGGTGAAATACCAACCTCCATTTTTACAACACACACACACACACAAGCTGACATGCACACTGGGGTGCTTTTCATTGTGAGTTCTGGGGCTCCCCAGCCTACTATCCCAGGAAGGGTGACCCCTGCATCCAGGCTACTGGACCTGGTTTTCAGGCCAAGGAGACCCGGAGACAATGCTGTCTGCAGAAGAGAGGATGGAGGTTCCGAGTTCTGCCCGACCCTCCCTGACTTTGGGGTGACTCCTTGGTCCTAGCACCCCTCTATGTCAATGCCAGGTGGCCCTGGGTCCCCGGGATCACCTCCTCCATGCGTGCTGGCTGCCTGTTAAACAAGATTACTTGATTTGAAAGAAGGGAAGTTTAGGGGACCCGTTTTGCAATTGTGCTGAATTGAAAAATGGATTCAAACTGACAAGGAAGAGTGAGTCACTGACAGAAATGCGGGTGCCCCCTCCACAGAGCCTGTCCCAGCCCCCTTTGAGGGCTGCTGTCCAAAGGGATCCAGGTCGGCTGTGGCTGACAGAGTAGTGATGGCGAGAAGAGGACAGGCAGGGATGTAGTGACCATGGGCGGACATGCCACATGTCGGGGGCACGCTCTGCGGAAGCTGTGAGGCATCCTGGGGTACCCCCTGGACCATGTAGTTAGAAGGGATAAGTCGTCTCATGTTTGAGAGACGTGACTAGAAAGTAAAGGGAGGAACTGGGTACAGAGAGAAGGAAGTGATACTTCCCTGCGCAGCCCAGATTGCGCTGGGCCTGTTTCCTTTTATGTATTTGTGATACTCAGCACAATTTTCCTGGTCAGCAAATTTCCAGCCTAGATGACCTGGGAGCTCATGGGAACAGAGACTTGGGCGGATGTAAAAACAACAGTGAGACCTGACAGACATGGCCTGTGGGGACCCCCTCCTGGCCTGACTCTGGGAGGAAGTCGGAACCCCTACCTAAGTGAGGCCGGCCCTGCGCCTCGAAGGGTTTCTGCAGAAAAACCCACGTGCCTGGGAGGAAATGAAACCAGTCACCTCCCCGGCCTGCTGCAAACGAGCTGGCGGTTACAGGAAGATCAAAACGCGTCCCCAGCCATGAATCTCCTAGCAGGTTAAGGTCAAGGTTAGCTACCCCCGGGACTGCCTCCCTCGATGTGCAGACGGTGCCTGAGTGAGAACAACGGAGGTGGTTCATTCAGAGCCTGCGAATGGAAGCCAGAAACCCACGTCAGATATCACGTCCTGTTGGATCGCTGTTCTGTGTGACATAAAGCGGTGACGCCCTTTTCTCTTTATTCTCTCTTATTTTTCCTCTCTCTTTTTTCTCTTTTGAAACACTGATTTCTACACTACATTCCCTTCTTTTCTTTTTCTTTTTTTTTTTTAAGATTTATTTATTTATTTATTCATACAAACACTGGGTACAGTCAGAAGCACAAGAGGGTGAGAGAATTCACCAGAGCGGGGAGCAGAGCAGGCAGAAGGACCGAAGTACACTGCTGAGGGGAGCAGCGGGCGGCAGGAGGGGTCTGCGCGCCATGTGGGACCCTCCTCCGGTGGCCGGGGAGCAGCCGGGGATTGAACCGGCGCCACAGAGGCTGCGGGCAGCTTCGGAATCCAGTGCTCAACCGCTGCGCCACCGGGGAGGCCCTACATTCCCTTCTTTTCTAAGATATAAACTCTCAAGAAAACATCAAACAATAAAGATAATTTTGGTGACTTTACGGCAAGAGAATTAAAAGCAAAATGAAAAAACTGGGATTACCTCAAGTGACAAAGTTACTATACAGCCAAAGAAAACACAAGCCAATGAGACACCCTATGGAATGGGAGAAGACAGTCACACAATATATAATTGATAAAGGATTAATATCAAAGATAAACAAAACACTCATACAATTCAACAATTCAAATAATCCAATAAGGGCCTCCCTGGTGGTACAAAGGGTTAAGTCTCAGCACTATGAAGCTATCCACAGACACTGCAGCACAGAGTTCGATCCCCGGCCAGGGAGCTGACCCACATGGCGCAGCAGACCTCTCCTGTCTCCCCCGCTGCTCCCCTCAGCAGGGTATTTCAGATCCACCTATTCTGTCTTTGGTGAACCTTCTCACCACCACCCCCCTGCACCTCTGGCCTACACCCCAATTCTTCTATACACACACAAAAAAAAATAGAACATAGTAGGACAAGACCCTCTTGGCCATCTACCCACAGAATATGAAACCATCAACACACACCAGTACGTTCCACCAGGTTCACTGCAACATTACTGACAACAGCTGGGATATGGATGCAGCCTAAATGCCCAGAAAAAATGGATCAAGAAGATGAGGTATATTCACACCATGGAATACTATACAGCCATAAGAAAGGATGCAATGCAGCCCTTTTCAACAAAATAGAGGGAATCAAAGAATTCTGTATAGCAAAGTAAGTCAATATGATAAAAAAAAAATAAGGCAAGCCATTTCATAACACGGAACACTTTCAAAAGCCAGTGGACATTAATAAACACCCTGAGGGCTCTCAGGTTAAGCAGTGGAGGGAGATGAAATATAACGGGGGGAGGGGCCTCCCTGGTGATGCAAGGGTGGTGCAAGTCTCAGCACCATGAAGCTATTGGCAGCTGCCTATCCAGGAAGCTGAACCACAAGGCACAGCAGACCCCTCCTGTCTCCTGCTGCTCCCCTCAGCAGTGTATTTCAGTAGATCCGCCTGTTCTGCTCCCCGCTCAGTCTTTGGTGAGTCCTCTCACCCACCGCAACTCTGGACTACACCCCAGCTCTTGTATGCATAAATAAATAAAAATAAAGCTTAAAAAATTAGAAGATAAAATTATTAAAAATTTCCAGGTGGCAATCTCAGAGCAACACACCTCCATTGTGAGGCCCTTCTGAGGCAACTGCTTCTGCAGTTGCCCCCATTTTTCACTGTGGAAGCAGGAGCCTCAGGCCAGGTCCCAAGACCGGAACCGGGGGCTCAGTGCCCTTGGAGAGCCTCTAGAGGGCACTGGGCTTGGGGGGGAGGGCCCAGACGGCAGGACTTGAATGATCTGCTTGCCTCTTAGCCCCAGCCCCTGGAGCAGGTGCTTGCTTGGCAGATGGAAGAATGAATAAGTGAATAAAAAATGAATGGATGGTGAGTGGGTGGAGGGTGGACGGCCAAGGGAACGGCTGAATGGGTGGCTGGGGGACGGCGGACCAATGGATGCATAAATGGAAGCCTGTTCCTGGCACCTCACCCAGAGAGCCCTTATTTGCTTATTTCCCCTGAGAGCGCCACTTGTGGGGCACCCTCCTCCCCAGGCTGGGGTGAGGGGGTGGCTCCTTCCTGGTTTGGGGAAAGTCCTGCAACTTTTCTCTGCCGTGCTCTTTGCGCCCATGAAAGAAGTGGGAAGAGGGGATCACTGGGGACATCTGTGGTTCCAAGTTTCCCTTTTGGGGACGGTCCCCGTTCCCGCCGCCCCAGAAGCTTCCTGCTGGCGTCTCCTGCAGATTCGGGCCCCGCAGACACCCGCTGGTCCCAGGACAGGCCCAGCCCCTCGACCCGAGATGCTGCTGCTGCTGCTGCCCCTGGTGTGGGCCGGTGAGTGCGTGGGGGCGCCGGCCCGTGTCCCCCCAGGCTCCCCGCAGGGGGGCGCCCAGCCCGAGCTGCGCATGCAGCTGCCCGTGACGGTGCAGGAGGGGCTGTGCGTGCTCGTGCCCTGCACGTTCTCCTACCGCTGGGGTAAACAGACAGACTCGAGCCCCGTGTACGGCCACTGGTTCCGGAAAGGCCCGCCGGATGTCCTCGTGGCCACGAGCAAGCCGGACCAGAGAGTGCAGAAGAGCAGCAAACTCTCATTCCACCTCGGGGACCCCGCGGCGGGCAGCTGTGCCCTGAACATCACCCGCCCCCGGAGGGAGGACAGCGGGACCTACTATTTCCAGGTGGAGAGGGGCAAGATCAAGCACAGCTACACCCGCAGCGGCCAGCTGCTCAACGTGACGGTGACAGGTACGGGGCGGCCCGGAGCAGACCCCAGGGGTGAGCGGGGGCCTGTCCTCGGGGTCGGGAGGGCCCCTCCGGCCCCCGCCGTTAGGGGGCACAGGGGCGCGGGCCGGCTCAGGGCTGGAGTGTCTTTCTCGGAGGCCCACAGGGCCCCTCTCCCCTCCAGCGCTGACGCTGACCCCCGACATCGCCCTCGAGGAGCCCCTGGAGGCCGGCCGCCCCAGCCGCCTGTCCTGCTCCGTGCCGGGGGCCTGTGGCGGGGCGCCTCCCCTGGCCATCTTCTGGACCGGGGCTGCCCTCGGGCCCCGGGGCTGGGACCGCCGTGGTACACCTCCCCCGAGCTCCTGCTCACCCCGCGCCCGCAGGACCACAGCACGGAGCTCACGTGCTGGGTGGGCCGCCCCTGGCCCGCCCCGTGCAGGGCTTGCAGGGCGAGGACGCTCACGCTCAACGTGACCTGTGAGTGCGCGGGGGGCCGGGCGCGGGGCCGGGCGCGGCGGGGGGTGCTGTCATGGGCTGAGGGCGGCTCCTCGCGTCCCTTCTGTCCCTTGAAGTGGGCGGCAGAGGCGGTCACGACCGGGTCCCCGCGCCTCACAGCGCCTCTCCGTCCTAGACGCCCCACAGAACCTGACCGTCCGCCTCTTCCGAGGACACTGCGCAGGTAGGACGGCCTGGCCCGGGCTGTGGGCACAGGCGGGGGTGGGGGGCACGGACGGAAGCCCCGGGTTCTCCACAGACGCGCCCTACAGGCCGGGCATTCTGGCGAGGACGGGCGGCCGAGGAGAGGTGGGCTCCGGGGAGATGGCGGCACGGGGGGGGCAGCGTGGCCAGAGTGGAGCCCTGAACCCCCAGGGCCAGCCCCCCCATCTAGCCTCAGGGGAGCCGCCTCGGTAAGGGGGTGCTGTCAGCCCTTAAATGCACCTGGTGGCTCCTTATTTTCGAGGGAGCTGTCATCGATGGATAAATTCCACGTCGCCACGCGTCACCCACCACACACGAGGGGGGACACGCCCTTGTGGGGGCGTCATGAGAAGGGCCACCCGCCCCTGGGAGAGCCGGTCCCGCCGGGCTCGGTGGCACGGGGCCCGGTCACTGGCCACAGTCACGAGGCCCCGCGCGGCTGGCGCTTCAACTTGCTGCAGGGACACGCTGGAGGGCGGCTGCGCCCAGCTCGCGAGCCCTCCCTCCAGCTGACCGAGGCTTCACCAGGCTGTGCCACCACCCGATCGATCTGGTTCCAGAACATCTTCATCCCCCCAGAAGCCCTGCCCTTCCACGCCGGCCGCCATCATCCGCTTTCCGGCTTCATGTGCTCGTGTCCACGCCGCAGCGCCGAGCGGCCCAGGGCCGCCCACCCACCCCCCCGGCTGGCTGCTTTCTCTCGCGTCACGTGCCCAAGGCCCTCGCGTGGTAACCTGGGCCGGGGCTGCCATCCTGTTCACGGCTGCATACTATTCCATTGAGCAGCGCGGCCACTGTTGGTGTCCGTGTCTTGAACGCTGGGGGCTGGGGACCTCCCCCTCGGGGCTTTGTGACGTGTTCTGAACACCCCCATGCAAGTGTCTGTTTGAGTCCCAGCTGCTGGACTTTGGGGGGTCTGAACCCTGGAGTGCATCTGCAAGGTCAGGGCCTCCTTGACCTTTGTGGGGTGCCTGCCCCCCACGCGCGATGTGGCTATCCTGCTCGCGGCGCCCTGGCGATGGAGGGGGCTTCTGCGGAGCGCAGCAGGAGGGCGTCTGCCCTGCGTGAACGTGGGGGGTGGAGGCAGGGCCGTGCTCACGGGGGCCGCTGGCGGGGGTGGAGATGTCTGGTGCAGCCCCTGCGCCTTCCATTTCCTCGGGTCCATTTCCTCAGGGTCTTGTGACCATGCAGCTTCTGAGCCGGGAGGCCACGGGGCAGGTGTGAGGTCCGCGGATCAGCCAGTCCCGGCGGGTGCCCAGGGCTGCCGGCCACAGCTCGAACGTCTCTCGGTTCTGTGTCCAGGAGCAAAATCGTGGGCAGGGACGTCCCTTTCCAGCGCCCCGTGTGCATTTTACATGGCTCTGGGGGAACGCGCAGGAAGCTGTCCGTCGACATCTGCCGCGGGGGTGGGGCGCCAGGGAACGCCCTGCCCTTCTGAATCCCCTCCCGCCTCCATGTGTTCGGCTGCCAGATGCCCACGCCTGCCTCATGCCAGCGGCGCCCTCTTCCTGCCTGTCTCTCTCTGCCCTCCGTCTCTTCCAGAACCCAAGTACCTGGGAAACGGCTCATCCTTTTCAGTCCTGGAAGGGGAGTCCCTGCGTCTGCTCTGTGCCATCGACAGCAACCCACCTGCCAGGCTGAGCTGGGCCTGGGGGCGCGGGGCCCCGAGTCCCTCCCAGCCCCCCAGCCCAGGGGTCCTGGAGCTGCCCCGGGTGGAGCTGGGGCATGAAGGCGAATTCACCTGCCATGCTCAGCACCCTCGGGGCTCCCTGCACATCTCCCTGCAGCTCTCTGTGCAGAGTGAGTGGGGGAGGAGGGAGGCCCCCTGGGTCCTGGGGAGGGGAAGGCACCGCTGACCCCCCCTCCTCCCTCCCACAGCACCCCCGCAGCTGCTGGGTCCCTCCTGCTCCCCGGAGGACGAGGGTCTGCTCTGCCTCTGCGCTGCCCGAGCCTGGCCGGCCCCCTCCCTGCGCTGGCGGCTGGGGGAGCGGCTGCTGGAGGGGAACAGCAGCAATGCCTCCGTGGAGGTCACCTTCAGCCCCTCGGGGCTCTGGGCCAACAGCTCCCTGCGCCTCAGCGGGGGGCTCAGCACCGCCCTCAGACTCAGCTGTGAGGCGGGGAACCCCCAGGGGACCCGCAGCGCCACCCTCCTGCTGCTGCCCAGGAGAGCAGGTCAGGGGCCGCGGAGCGGGCTGAGGGAGAAAAGGTCCCCATCCCGGAGAAGATGGAGCTTGACGGCTGAGGGGGTCTGGCCCGGAGCAGAGGGAGAGAAGGAGGCAGAATCTGGTCTTGGGTTGGTGGGGCTGAGAATGAGGGCGCCAATTCCCTGGGATGTGGGATGAGGGGTACAGGGGGCCGGGGCCTGGAGGGGAGTCACCCGAAACCCCACTCATTTGCAGACAAACCAGGGCTTGGGAGAGAATTTGTCCTGGGGGCCGTCGGGGGAGCCGGTGTGGCCGGCCTGCTCACCCTCTGTCTGGGCCTCGTCTTCTTCCTGTGAGTGTCACCGGGGCGGGGGGGGGGTGGGGGGGGTGTCTGTGCAGGAGTCAGTGGGGTGTGGGGGGTCAGCAGGGCTAGTCCTGGAACCCCAGACAGGGCGGCCTTGCACAGAGCAGAGGCGGCGAGGCTCGGGCCTGGGTGGGGCAGCACGGGGGTGGGGGGGGTGGGGGGGGGGGTCTGTCCCGGCCCAGCCGTCCGTGTGTGTGTGTGTGTGTGTGTGTGTGTGGGTGCCTGTTCCCACGAGAACGCCCGGGGCAGACACCCCTCCCGGCGCCGGCACCCTGCTGGCCTTGCAGACTCAGCGGGGGGGGGGGGGGGGGCGGGGTGGGGTGGGGGGAGCACACCCCTTGGCCCGGAGCCACCGCTGAAGGCCCAGCCTCCCTCCCCGCCCACCCAGGGTGAAGACCGGCAAGAAGGCCGCCGCCCCCTCCACACCGGCTCCTACCGCCTGGGTGAGCGATGAGCCTCTGTCCATGGGACCCCATCTGGCCACCTCCCTCGGGTCCTGCTCTTGGGTCCCCGACAACCCCATGCCCTAGCGTGGCGACCCGGAAGACTCGGCTGCTCCCCATCTCTCCCGAGCCAGGGGTTCAGTGCCCGCTCCACCCTCCCGCCCTGGCCTCCTCACGTCTCTAGGCAGCCCCACTCCAGTCCCCTCGCCTCCCCCACGCAGGCCCCAGCGCGCTCGCCCCAGCATAATCACCGTCCCCACAAAGGCCGGGGGTCTCCAAGCGCAAGTTCAGGGGTGCCCCAGGCGGTGTCAGGTTCACCCACTCACAGGAAGGACTCAGAACCCAGGGGGTCCCGCTCACAGTTAGGGTTTATTGCAGGGAGAGGCTGGAGACTAAGGTCAGCGGGGGGTGGGGTGCCAGGAGAGGCGCACACTGGGCTTCCTCTCCCCGCCGTGACGTGTGGTGCGGGCCCGCAGCACTGCCACCGCGGAGGCTCAGCCAGCTGGGGTGTCGGGATTTTAGGAGCCCTTCACGGAGGCGGGGAGCCCGCGAGATGGCCGGCCTCAGGCTCCAGGGGCCGAGCTGCCACCTCGGGGCCCAGGGCCCCACCGCGAGTCCCGGGCGGCGCAGGCTCCCGGGGGGTTGCCCAGGCCCCGGTGAGCAGACACCCCCGAGAGAAGGACATTCTGGGCTGTAGAGGGTCCCACCAGCTTTGGGCTCAAAGGTCAAACTTTCCGCCAGGCAACTTAGCCTTCACCACGCCAATCCCTTGAATTTAGCGCTCACAACACAGCTTGGTGACCACGTCTGCCGGGACGCCCCAGTGTCCAGGGCAGTCCAGGCCCGAGCAGGCGCCCGCCCCGGCCAGCTCGCTCTGCTGGCCCATCTCAGCTGCGGCAGGCGGCGACCCTGCGGGCGCTGCGCCACAGGCGGGGGGCTGGGCCGAGGGGCCCACCGCTCAGAGTGCGATCTTGGGGCATCTGCCTGGCCGCAGCTTCCCCATCTGATAAGCGGAGTGGCCCCCGTGCACTGTCATGAGGAATCTGGGCGCCTGGCCATGCCCCCCAAGGACCAAGCATCACCACACTCAAGTGTCTGCTGAGGGACCTTGTGGGTCGGAGCCCCCGGCCCGGCCCTTGTTCGTGGACGAATCAAGACAAAACACTCTGTTTCCAGGTTCTTTCCCAGCCCCGTCATCCTGACCTGACCCCTGTGTCCCCTCCGCGCAGGGTCACCAGCTTGAGTGCCAGCCTGGCGGCGCCACAGACGTGCCAGCGCCCGCCCCCCGCGAGGCGGAGGAGCAGGAGCTCCATTACGCTTCCCTCAGCTTCCTCAGCCTGAGGCCCCAGCAGCCGCCAGACCAGGATGCCACCAGCACCACCGAGTACTCGGAGATACTGACCCACAAATGACGACCCCCAGCCACAGCAGCCTTGGCCTCTCAGGGAAGGGGAACAGCAGGGGAGCAGCGCTTTCTGTGCCAGCAGGATGCCCCCGGGCATAGTGCCCCCTGCGCCAGGGTGGGCAGAGCTGTGCTTGGATTTCAGCCCCATCTCAGGCCACTTTCCTTCTCAGCCTCCCCCGCAAGATGGACACAATAACCCTAACAGGGTTGCCAGAGTCAAGGTGGAAGGAACAGTCCTGGGGAGTCTGCGCAGAGAGCACCTGCCCGGTCCCGCCCCCTGCCCGGCGGGTGTGAAAGAAACCGAAGTTAAAGGATTAAATTGCTCAGACCCTAGAGCGCAAAAGAAAATAAAAAGAACTTATCTACACTTTTCTGTGAGACTTGCTTCCACGGTGGCCCAGGCTGCCTGAAAGGACTCAGCTGAGCATGCGCACTACCACGAACCTCCAGCGAGCCAAGTCCTCCGTGCCCGGGTCAGGCGGGGGTGAGGGGGCGCAGGGGCCACGTGAAGCGAGGGTCCCATCCACAGAAATCCAAAACTCCAGTTCTCTGAAGAAAAGCCTCCTCTAACCCCTCCATGTGAACCACAGTCGCTCGCCAATGAACTTCAGCCACAACTGCGTTTGTTTGCCCTGAGATCCCCATGTCACCAACAAAGTTTAACTCCTTCGTTCTCGACCCCACTCCCCCCCAGATCAGTGTCAACCCCTTCCCTCTGCAGGACAGGGAGGCAGGTTTGAGTTTCCTCCTATCTCCTTGCCAGCTGACTTGCAATAAAACTTTTCACAAAACCGGATGCCATGGTCTCAGCCGCTTGCACACGGGGCAGCAGGCCCTCCGCTCAGTGACGCAAGGGTCCCCGCTCTGGAGGGCTGTCCCAGCTCCAGAGCTCCCCAGAGGCCAGCTGTGGCCGCCGCTGGGCTGCCCAAAAGCTCCTTCTGCACCCCCTCTGCAGACACCACCCCGGGGACACTTGCTGAACACCCAGGATGCTGGTCTCTCAGAGCCCACTTCTTGGAAACCCGACCTATGCGCTTGTTTGGCCACACCAAGATATTTTCACTGATTATCCGAAATAAATGATCATTTATCGAATCACATACCTTTCTCTTCACTCCTAGGTCCCGATGTTTTGATTCTCCTTCACACTTGCTTTTTTGCAGAATTTGCTTTCAGAGTCCCTTGCAGGCACGGCCTATGTTCCACTGACATCGTAACGTAGTTTTAATAGTATTCACATCCAACTTACTGTGTTCTCTTCTCTAATTCAACTTCCACTGAGTTCTGTCCCCCCCATTAATAAGGACACATGCCCAACACTGGCATGATGAGCCTATCTTTTGATGACGTGTTCGCATGAATTTAACAATGCCGGTAACTGCTCTTCAAGTCTGATTTGTTGAAACTCTCAATTCCATCTTTCACGGCACAACTTATTTTGCCATTATTCAGGATTATGTTGTAGCTCTTGATCAAGAACTTTTTTTTTTTTTATAGAGGCATGCTTTATTCACCTGTTTGCTGGTTTGTTTGTTTGTTTTGTCTATACATGCACTGGGCACAGTCAGAAGCGCGGGAGGGCGAGAGAATTCCCCAGAGCCAGAGCGGGGAGCAGAGCAGGCAGAAGGACTGAGGTACACTGCGGAGGGGAGCAGCGGGCGGCAGGGGAGGTCTGCGCGCCATGTGGGACCCTCCTCCGGTGGCCGGGGAGCAGCCGGGGATCGAACCGGCACCGCAGAGGCCGCGGGCAGCTTCGCAACCCAGCGCTCAACCGCTGCACCACCGGGGAGGCCCTTGATCAAGAACTTTTAAAAGGTGTCCCTGACCAAAAAGGAGCCTTGCTGTCATTTTCCATTCCCTTCTTCAACACTTCAACAGCACACCTGCCTCTGTGTTGGCAGAAGTATTTAAAAACACCGATCTAAGAGAGTAACCATCTTCAAGGGCTAAAAACCGTTTTCAAGAGATCATTATGCCACAAGAAAGCCGCACTAATCATCTGTTTCAAGATGATTAGTTTTGAGTCATGTCCCTTTGAAGAATCGCCTCGACATTTAGAGATTTATTTTTCATTAACCCTTTAACATTATCAATGAGTCCTTGGAAGCAAAAGAGCCCTGAACACTTTTGCTCTTTCAATTTGCATCATCCTATTGCTAAGCAGATGGTGGAAAATTATACAAAGTCCACAACTAAAGTATGATGTCAGTGCCTCAAATATATACACGGAGAGTTTTCTCCACCTCCTTTGTTCACGAGACCTACTGAGTTTTACCGAAGAACCGAAAGACCACAGAATTGTACAAATCCTTTAAAAACATGAAGTTGGGGGTACAGCTTCCCCACAACTTCCAAGTGAACATGTAACAGGGTGGTCCCCAGGAAAGGGGGAGGTTCCAGGTTCCCTGCCCCACCCAAGGGAGGGTGGAGCTGAGCAGGGAGAGGAGAAGCTGCAGAAGAGACTGAGGAAGGAGGCAGGATGGAGCCAGGAGACACGTGAAGAAACTGCGCTTGTCTTTTGGTCGTGGACTGGGTGACACAGATGTGGGTGAGACCCATGGGGAGGTGACAATGGCAGCTTTTATCTTGATGTTGATTTTGCTCTTTTCCTTCCGGGCTTGTCTGGTTGTTTCTGGCCCTTTTCTGTGGGTCCCCACTGGAAGATGCCTTAGACTTGTGGCAGGCTTTGGGGCCTTGCTCTGGGCCAATCCCATTTGGATGGACTTTTACCCACGAGGGGACGGGTAACTCTGGATGCTTCATTTAGAAACTAGACTCTTTGCCTTACCTGTATTGTTTCCTAGTTTTATTAAAGTTCCTTCCCATTAAAGTCTCCTATGTTTTGTGTTGATGCGGCGGATGGCAGAACCCATGTAGAATAGGCAGGTTTGCGGGGTTTGGGCTGCCCCTCTCCCTGTCCTATAACAAAGAGAGAAGCTGCCAGCAGGCTCTGAGCAGCCTCATGTAGTAAGCGATGCCTTCCACAGCCCCACTCAGCCCATGCTTCTCCTTCCACAAGCATCCATCCAAATTTGTGCTGTGGGATCAAATTTACAAACACTCGCAAAGTAGTGAAAGTGTTCTCATGAACTTCCAACTCAGTGAGAGCTTTGCAAGCATTTATGACTGCTGCTGAGGTCTCAGTGCTGAGGGATTTTACCGACGGTAGCCTTAGAAGCACGTCTTTTTCACAAGGAAAGTATTCTACCAGCAACGGAAAATCATCTGTCTTTCCCGGCTGCCCACGGGGTCGCGTGCGGAGATGTGCCCCACACCTGCATCGACCGAAGGCTCGGGGTGTTCTGCAGTAAAAATGAATCCTTAAAAAAAAACAAACACCCCCATCATCATCGTCACAAACACCCAGTTCACCATAAGCCGGGGTTTAGCCGCGGGCGGGGGCCGGGTAGAGGCAACACAGATGGCTCCAGCCCCTACAACTGCATAGCATGGGGTGTGTCACTCCTGGTCCTGTGGGCCGTGAGAGTCTCATCTGATTCCAGGACAACACCAGGGGGTGGGGGGTGCTGGGAATGGGCCTCAGAAGCACCTGGCTCAGGAGGCAAAGGTGGGTGCGGAGGTCAGGTAGGGGGCGCACTCCACTCTCCCTGCTCCGCAGACACCGGGTTCCCTGTGACCCGGTGGATGAAAAGAGGACCCGTGGAGGGATGGCTGAGATCATGAAGGGGGTGGGAAGGGGTGGAAGGACAGACACACAGATGGATGGACAGACAAGGGTACGGAAGGCTGGGCGGCGGGTGGTGGGCGGCGGGTGGTGGACGGGCAAACAGGAGCATGGCTGACGCTGATGGTGTGTCCAGATGAAAGCAGAGGTCAAAGAGGGAGGGGGAAGGATGGCAGCCAGAAGAGACGGAGGGCGGGGATGGGAAGCATGATGGATGGGGATGCGAGGGGAGGGCAGTGTCTGGATGACAGGTTGATGGGGAGGATGGATCGAGAAAGGAGCTCAACTTCGAAAGGGAACTTCTTCTGCGGACACTGGACTCTCCACGCGCCAATGAAACCATTTATTACCAAAGCACAGTGTGGCCACAGTAGGGAGCGTCCTACTGGGGGGCAGCCCAGGCCCTGTCCCTGAGCGGGAGTCTCCACCCTCCGCTCCAGCGGCTGGTGCAGGTGACAGCTGCGGGGAGGGGCCGGGACAGCTGAAAGAGACGTTCACATTGTCGGAGCTGAACCGCGAGGTTCGCTGGCACTAGCGGTGCTGACGAGCAGAAGTGCCTAAAGAAGAGCCAGGAATGCACACTGGAGGGATCTTTCTAGAAGCTTATCTGTGATTCTACAGCAGGCTACATGTCACATTTTTCTCTCCTTTTTTTTTTTTTTTCTTCAGAATGCCAGTTGGAAGTTCTGGAAAACAAGAAAATGAAGTGTTAGTGTCTTAATTCCAGGATCACTCTGTCAGCTGCTAATACATGACAGGCATCTTCGAGGGGCTCGGGATACCACCCTGAATAAGGGGAACAGGAAACCCTGGCTGGCCTTACAACTTGGGCGAGGGGAGTGGATATGCTATAAACTGAAACGATGGGGACAGGGACCCTGCAGGAAACGGGTGAAGTGCTAAGACAGCAGGAGGAGCGGAGCCTCACTGGGCCATCAGGGAGGACCTCAGGGTCTAAGAGCCAATGACAAGGAGCCAGATATACAAAAAAAGCCCCACAAAGCCAACCGAAGGGACAAGTGTTCCAGACTGTGGGAACAGCAGGTGCAAAGGCCCTGAGGTGTGATCGAGCTCAGCCTGGTCCAGAACTTAAAGGGAGGACATTGCGGTGGGCAGAGTGGACTGGGGGGTGGGTGAGGAGGCTGAAGGTCAGCTGTGTAGGTCGAGGCAAGGAGCCACTTTAAAACAGAGGCATGGGCCTCCCCAGTAGCGCAGCGGTTGAGCGCTGGGTTGCGAAGCTGCCCGCAGCCTCTGCAGCGCCGGTTCGATCCCCGGCCACCGGGAGAGGGTCCCACATGGCGCGCAAACCTCTCCTGCCGCCCGCTGCTCCCCTTAGCAGCTCAGCAGTGTACTTCGTCGGTCTGCCTGCTCTGCTCCCCACTTTGGCTCTGGTGAATTCTCTCACCCTCCCGCGCTTCTGACTGTACCCAGTGCTTGTATAAATAAATAAATAAATCTTTAAAAAAAAAAAAAGTGGAAAAGACATTTAAAAAATAAATAAACAAATAAAAGAGAGGCACAGTGATCTTCTGGAACTCCAGGTCACTGGCTCCTTAAATCGCATCTCCTTGTCATGTTCTAACCCAGGGACAAATCTGCTGTGAGTCAGTGTTGTCCAGAGCGAGCAGACCTGAAACTGACGATCTGAGAGGGGCGGTCAGGTTTCGGGCTTCTACCGTGCAGGGTGTACAGGGAGGCACCAGTCAGGCCGGCATGCAGGGGATGACGCGGGGGCCTTCTGGGTACAAATGGACTGATGCACGCACGTGTCAGGCCAGGCTGGGCTGTGGGGACACAGAGAGGCCCCTGCCCTCACGGAGCCCACCCCACAGCTGCCACCTCCGGGGCCTCTCGGGAAGAGGATGGAGATGAGACCTAGAGATGGATGAGAAGGGTCCTGGCAGCACCTGGAGGGATGGGAGGAGGGGGCGGGGTGTGGGGGGGACCAAGACAGAGTGCTGGGAGGAGGAGGTCACCACCCTTCACTTCTGGAGGGTGTCACTGGTGCGCTGGAGAGCCTGCCACCCCCACAGGCTGGCATTTTGAGAGCGCCCTGAAGGGGTGGTGCCAAGAGCTTCATGTCCATATTGTATTATCGGGCTTTGGCCCTGGGCGCTAAGGAGCGATCTCAGGAAGGGGGAGCACTTGCAACCACATGCTGGCAGGAAGAAGTCCACCTCAGGACACCCCAAGGCGTGCTGGGCTCAGCCTCCTCATCTGCAGCTCTGCCGACATCACGGTCTCGTCCTGGGCGCTGTGGGCCTCCACCCTTCAGACGCCACAGCCAGAGTGGGCCCCCCCCCCCGGCCCCGCCAGCTACCGCCGGCCCCCCTTGAGACAACATCGCCTCTGCGGAGAAGCTGAGGAGACAATCCTGAGTTTGGTCTCAGGCGCGTGACAGACGACATCTCCACAGAGCAGAGGGCAGCCCGGGCACAAGCAGCTCTGCACATCCGTGTGGCCAGAACTCGCCGAAAAGGCGCTGAGTTTGCTTCTGACCCGAAAGGTCCGGGAGACGCTCAGGCAGCGCCGGGACGGAAGCAGGCCCAGCCCAGGCGGAGAGCCATCTCAGTATCGCTTCTGAAGTGAGAAGGCCACCCAGAGGCGCAGCGCACAAGGGCGTACCCAGGAAAGCCGGCAGGAGCCCACCTGCCGGTTGTCTAAGGTGAGCCCTGCACCACTTGGTGCCATCCAGGGTGGGCACCTTCTGCGTTGACAGAAAAGGCGCGAGACAGAGCATGAAGTGAAGACAGCAGAGGCCGCCCAGGGCGCAAGAGTGAGTGTGTGCGGGGACTCCAGGGAGCAGCCCAAAGGAAAGCTGAGACCGCCGGGGATGGGACGGAGGAAGGGGCAAGAGAGGCAGACAGCGTGTGGAGGGCATTTTCCAGAGCCCAAGTCCAGTCATTCCCAGAGCACCCCTCCCCTGGAAGTTTCCAGTTACAGGAACTGATCAGAACCACCTTGAGTCAGGCTTCTGCTACTTGCCATTCCTGGGGTTTGAAAAGGGAACTCTGTGGGAGAAGCCAGGGTCTCCTGGGAAGTTGGAGGAAACATCCAGGGGCACCTGGGGCTGGGGTGGGGCAGGGAGAAAGTTTAGGGTGCACACTTTTCCCACCGGAACCCACCTATGGCACCATCTCGAGGTCTATGGGGTCGTAGGGTGAGACCCGGAGGTCCTGAAGCAGGGCTTCTAGATTGTTCCTCAGGAGGGTGTAGGGCGGCTTCTCCTCATACTTGAGGGCCATCACCACCTTCAGGTACTCCTGCAGGGTCTCTGTGGTCAAGATACCCCCCAACCATGGGAGAGGCCTGAGAGAGGCCCCCAAGCCAGGGCCTGGGGGCCTGGCTCAGAGACCTCAGGCATGGTGCCCATCAGCTGGGTGCTCCTGTGCTTGGCACTGCCAGAGACACTTGAGCTTGTTTTTGAAACTTAAATTCTTGGGAAACATCAAACATGTTTTGGTTTTCCCCAAAATAAGCACCACACCATTGTCCCATTTTAAAAAGTGCCAGTTAAGATACCAACAACCCCATTTCTAACAGGCCTGGCTTGAGCAATGATTGTTGCGGTGGGGTCTGCTAAAAAGCTTTGCAAGCATTTGAAACTGAGACATAATTAGAAATATATTTTACATTGTAACCCGCTGCCACCTACGCACACACATTCCCGAAACAATGATCTCACAGGCACTTCCTTAACTTCTGCAACTTTCTATTATTGAAAAAAACTTAGCCGGACATGTGCACACGTAGAAGAGGAAAAAGGTAACTGCAAAATAAAAATTAAAAATTAAATTAGGGGCCTCCCTGGTGGTGCAACGGGTTAAGACACAGCACTATGAAGCAATGGCAGCCACTGTACCACGAGTTCGATCCCTGGCCAAGGAGGTGACCCACATGGCACAGCAGACCTCTCTTGACTCCCCCGCTGCTCCCCTCAGCAGTGTATTTCAGTCAATCTGCCTGTTCTGTTCCCCACTCTGTCTCTGGTGAATCCTCTCACACCCGGCACCTCTGGCCTGCACCTCAGTTCTTGTATGCATAAATAAATACATCTTTAAAAAAAAATTAAATTAAAAAATTCATGCTGATGTACAATGGAATTTTAGGACCAATATTGTAAAAATAAAAGCCATTGAGAGTAGATCTTAAAATTGTCCTTCACAGCAGGAATTTAGAAAACCTAAATAAGGGACCAGGAAAAAGACTAATTATAATAAAGTAAAAACCAAAATCAACCAGCAACTATAAACCAGAGACACACTACGGGGGTGGGGGTGAGGGGAGGAGGTATTACTGTCAAAATGGGGGGGTGGGAATTGTATGGGGAATAAAAAAAAATTGTCCATCCTAAGGAAAAAAACCTCATAAATATCAAGTCACTATATTGACAGCTGAAACCAATATAATGTCATATGTCAGTGACAGCAGAGTAATAAACACGAAACGTACCTCCCATTCTTGGCTATTCAACTGACTGCATGACAAGAAGTCACGATGGTAGTTTAAAAATACAGGGATTCTGAGTAACCACAATTTAAGAAGAAACTGATGAAATCTTATAAGCAATGACACAGAATATTTCCAAGCCACCCTCTTTGTAAATGAAAACAAAAAAGCAGGGCCTCGCTGGTGGTGCAAGGGGTTAAGCAACGCACTATGAAGCAATCCGCAGCCTCTGCAGCACGAGTTCGATTCCCAGCCAGCCAAGAAGAAACCCACATGGCAAGGCAGACCTCTCCTGTCTCACCCACTGCTCCCCTCAGCAGTGTATTTCAGTCAATCTGCCTGTTCTGTTCCCTGCTCTGTCTGTCTCTGGTGGATCCTCTCACCACCCCGCCACCTCTGGCCTGTACCCCAGCTCTTATCTGCATAAATAAATAAATCTTAAAAAAAAAAAAGCAAACAAAAAAGCAACCTGTACCGATATATTCTAGACAATGTGGTTCCACTAAACAACCCGCTTCATACATGGTTGGTGCGGTGTGAGGCTGGTTCTGGCCCCGTTCAGGGACGCTTCTGCATTTTGGGAGAAGGTTTCTGTTTTTCCGTGGTGACACAGAGACACATGCAATTTGGAAAACTCACTGGACAAAGCCAAGGGGTGGAGAGGGAGGTAACCCCAAGAGAACAGCCCAGTTGCGCCACTACAGGACATACCTGAGGGGCTGATCCAGCGGCTGCACTGTCCCACGAGGGCCTCCGGGCTGTCAAGAAACCTGACGGGACAGAGCAGATGTGAAGGAGCTTCCTTGCGGGGCGCAAACTTAGGGAACACGCGCCTTGTCCCACTCTCTGTGTCCTGCTCTGTCCCCGGGACCTGGACAAGTGAATCGGGACCTGCACTTTCTGGGAACACAGCATGGGGTCCCCGGAGCCTGCAGCCACAATACTCATCTGCTGGCCACGATACCACCTTGCTCTGTGCGCGTCTCACTCAGACACCTCACCTGACAGGACGTTGACTTGTGCTCGCTGAGCTCGCGGTCAACAGTGCGGAAACTCGCTCTGACATAGGCCCCTCTCCACAGCCCGCTGCGCTTAGGACCCTAGTTTTGTGCCGAACTTTTGAGGAAAGTAATCACCAGTAGAAAGCATGACAATGTGGAAAAGGAGGCTGTAGCTGGGGTAGAACTAGAGCTGTCCAACGCTTGAGTGGCCATGCAGCCGCGGGCGATTCTGCAAACACCTGCAAAGGCAGCCTCATCCAGGAGCGGGAGAGAACCACCCTGGGATCCAGAAGCTCAAAACTTTGACTGTGAAGGTCGGTGGGTATCCAGATGCCAGAGAGTGGGCAAAGGCCGCTTGCAGATCCAGAGAGGACAAGATCTGACCATCCCCTCAGCCATCCCACAAGTGCTGTGCCATTGGGGGGCACATCCTGTGAGCGATTCTCCCACCATAGCCTGCACTGTGGGTTCCAGGGAGAACAGGGACCAAATCCTTCTCCTGTCTGTGCTGTCCCAGCTGAGGGCTCTGCACGCCTAAAGGTCTGGGGAATCAAATTCTGTCCTCTTTCTTTTAGTCATTCGTTCCATCATGCACATTAAAAAAAGATACAGGGTAAACGAAATGCAAAATACCATGCACACCAGTCATTCCAGAGCACAAGCGAGGGTTCAGAAATGTGCACGGGGCGACATCGCCCCCTCGTGGCCACAACTAGGGTCACAAATGTGTGCGGCGCAACGGCGCCCTCTCGTGGTGCCTTTGGTTGCTGCCTCGATCACTGCAGAGCGGCTGGGACAGCGCCTGTGGCAGTGAGGGCAACACCAACACCCCTTGGAGCACCTTGACCTGCCCAGCCCTCGGGGGCGGTGGTCAGGAGTTGGGGCTCTGGAACAAACTGTTACTCATACCGAAATCATCAATGTAAGGTGATCACTAGGATCGCTACCGGCACTTGGAGAGTGCAGGCCTCCAAATGAGGTTCATCTCATTCACGGGTTATCTCGAGCTGAGGGGAAGGTCAGGTAGAGAAGTGAGGCTGGCCTGCTCTTAGGAGTCAGAAGAAGTAGGAGAGGAAGGATTCAACCTAACAGAGCCTCAGTGGGTGGTCTCACTGATGAAAGAGTGGGGAGCTGGAGGGACCCTCTGCAGATGCGCCCGAGTCTCCACCACCGTCTTTATCACTAGCATGACGCCTGCCCTGGTGGGGTGCCCACCCTGACAGGCTCTGCACAGAACCCTCAACAGCCTGCCTGCTTACCTGCTGTGTGGTTCACTCTCTCTTTACTCTGTCTCCCCCCTAGAATGTGAGTTCCCTTAGGGCAGGGAGGCTTGTCTTAGTTATTCCAGTGCCCCTGGGGCCAGAATGGAGCCTGGCACACAGGCACCCAGCAGGTATTTGTTGAGTGAAGGAAAGCTGAGTCCAAGAGCCACAGTCCACCTACGTAAGTCCTGGGGAGGCTGGGGGATGCTGGCGGACGCTGGCATCAAAAGGGGACGTCCCTGCAGTTGAAGAACATGGGACTGAATCCAAAAGCTCTTACTTGGTAGCTCTACGACTTGGTAGTTCTGCACCTCAGGTTAGAAGAGCGCCACCTCAGAGCTGCTCTGAGGGTAACTCTGGAAGCCCTGGGCGCAGTGCTGAGAGCAGACAAGCATATGGAAGCCATCACGTGTAGGCCGGTGTGGCAGGGACAGAAGACTTCCTGAGTATGGGCAAGCAAGAGAAATGACGCAGTGGGGGTGAGGGCAGGGCTTCCTGGGGAGTGACCATTAAGTCAAAACCTGAAGGAAGGTGAGACTCAGGGCAAGGCACCATCAGACCAATTCAACACCCAACAACACGGACTCTGTCAAGGATACAGACACGTCAAAGGAAACCAGCTTAGGTCATACCTACTTTTCAGACAAAGAATCTCAGCACTATGAAGCTATCAGCAGCCACTGCAGCACGAATTTGATCCCAGGCCAGGGAGCTGACCCACAGGGCACAGCAGACCTCTCCTGTCTCCCCGCTGCTCCCCACTGCAGTGTATTTCTGTAGATGTGCCTGTTCTGCTCTCCACTCTGTCTCTGGTGAATGCTCTCACCCCCTGTGCCTCTGGCCTGCACCCCAGCTCTTGTATGCATAGATAAATCTTCAAAAATAAACTAACCCGTTCCTGCACTTCAGGCATGGACAGCCAACCATTTCCTGGACAGCCCCACCAGGATGACTCCTGGGCAACTCTCGCCCTCCAGGTCTACAGCTGCCTTTGGACTTGCAGGGCTACCCTACGCCGGCTGTCCACAGTCCGCAGTGCTGAACCACACTCCAGCGCCTCCCTTTGCACCCAGCTGTTCTGCTGTTCCTGGTGCTGAAGCAGCACGCTGGGCACCTGTCCTTGGTGCTGAAACGCAAACCCATTGAGCCAGTGATCACCTGTCCTTGGTGCTGAACGCTTAAAACAGCCAGCAGGACCAGGTGATTTTATGGGCAGAGGAGTGTGGACACCGGGGGCTGGTGTGGCCTGAGGCCGAGCCTGGCCCATGTCTTGCCTGCTCAGGCTCCCCATGTGTTTATGAGGGGATAAGTGGTTTATGAGGGGATAAGTGGTTTCCTGTGCACAGAGAGCATTTCCCACAGGCCAGAAGAGCACCATACACAGATGCGTGCCTAACTCTTCACATCCTTTCACTGCTCTCAAGTTGGTGCCATCAGGATTCCACCTCATGGAGGACACTGTGGTGTGAGGAGGCTGAGCTGCACACACTACACCCTGTCGTGTGGGGTGTGGTGGGACAAGAGTCCCCAGGCAGCGTGGCCTCAGAGCCCACACTCTTGACATACCTGGGAAGCACAGAGGCCCTGCTCTGCCAGCACCAGCGCCCCTCCTTCCTCTTCCTGTTGGGTCTGAGCTTCTGCCCCACCCAGAGGCATGCCAGGCTAATGCTGGCTCTGCTTATCCCCAGACTCACTTCTGTTTCAGCTTCATGATATCCTCGGTGTTGGGGAGGCATTTTGTCCATGGCAGGAACCCATAGAGCCACTTCAGCATACAGTAGCCCAGGGACTGGAGGTCGCTGCGGCGGGAGGGTGCTGGCGGGGGAGGGAAAAAGGTGCTGGCTCAGTGTGGAAGTGCCACTGGCTGACACATCAGCCCCTTCCCTTTCTCTCACTGACTCAAACGAGCTCTCCCGCACTCAGCCGTGGAAACACAGGGTCTCATCCGTGTCCTTTTGCTTTGCCTGATCTCACTCAGGAGTCTCTCAATCGCTCTCCACCCCCGGCAATCCTTTTACCTCCTCTCTCGTTATCTCTTTCACTGTCACTGCCTTACCTCCTTGTCACTCATCCACACACCCGTGCATTCAATGAGTCCTCAGCACATGCTGCACGAAGCCCTGACCCACATTCAGTCCCAGACATGAGTCTGGTCGGGTCCCAGCTTTTGAGAGTTCAATGGGGAGTAAGTGGGGTTACCAAAGCTACAGAGGAGATGGGACAGGGCGTGAGAGGGCCCAGAAGGGTGGACACTGAACCCAGCTAGTGGGGAGTCAAAGGAGACCATGGGTTTTTCTTATGCTTCCTGAATCATATGATTTAGACAACAATTTGTGTAGATATTCAACCACCACTGAGAGTGTGCTGTGCCAGCCCTGCCCCCTGATGCTGGAGGCACAGGTACCATCCACACCTGGGAAAGCCCAGTCTCGGGGAGTATGTGGGTAGGCACACGGGCTTTAGCTGAGGACCACTAAGATACACAGGCACCTCCATCTAGAGTTTCCTTCCTCCTGTGCTCTAGACATGGACAGCAATGGCCTCCTCAGCCTTTCCTGAGTTACTCCGGGGCAACTCTCACCTTCACGTCTAAACCAGATGCTGAATCTAAACCCTGTTCATGGTTCTGAACCCAAATCAAGCTGTCACTCCTGTCTGGCCATCTGCTGTCGTGGCTGTGAAAACCTAGCGCTACCCTTGTGTGAGAAGTATGTCCTCATGGCCCTGTATCCCTTCCCTGCCTCTTACCACATCCCTTGTGCAGGTCCATGCTAATGAACTCGAGGTCCCCCTCATGTGGGGTCCTGCTGCCTTCAGTGTAAGCCACGTGTTTGCCGCCTGGGGAATAGCGGAAGGTGAAGCCATAGCCTGCCAGGGTCACCTGTGTGGACATGGGGAGAAGCTGTACGGCTCGGAGGACAGGAGCTCAGCTGCCGACGTTGAAGATTTCAATCGTGGGTGCAATTTGAACTAACCCAGTGCCAAATGGAAGGGTATGAAGTGAAAAGAACATGAGTCAGCTAGTGCCTGGGCTCCCTAAATCTAAACAAAAAAAACAAACAAAAAACCCCCCAAAAAACCTACTTCCCAGAAGTAACTACTAGTAAGTTTCTTATGCAGAGTTTTTTTTTTTTTTTAAAAAGATTTATTTTATTTATTTATACAAGCACTGGGTACAGTCAGAAGCACAGGAGGGTGAGAGAATTCACCAGAGCCAGATCGGGGAGCAGAACAGGCAGACTGACGAAGTACACTGCTCAGGGGAGCAGCGGGCGGCAGGAGAGGTCTGTGTGCCATGTGGGACCCTTGCTCGGCGGCTGGGGATCAAAATGGCACTGCAGAGGCTGTGGGCAGCTTCGCAGCCCAGCGCTCAACCGCTGCGCAACCGGGGAGGCCCTGTTTTTTTTTTTTTTTAAGATTTATTTATTTATGGAAGAACTGGGGCACAGGCCAGATGCGCGGGAGGGTGAAAGGATTCACCAGAGACAGAGCGGGGAACAAAAGAGGCAGACTGATGAAATACACTGCTGAGGGGAGCAGTGGGCGAGACAGGAGAGGTCTGCCGCGCCATGTGGGATTCTTGCCTGCCGGCCGGGATTTAACCCATACTGCAGAGGCTGCGGACAGCTTCACAGTGCGGTGCTCAACTGCCTGCGCCATCAGGGAGGCCCTCTTATGCATAGTTTTAACTTATTTTCTTTAAATAATTGATAAATACGCGTGTCTGGAAAAGGTCTACTTTCCAGAGAGGGTGACAGGGCACTTCCCGTTGGACACCAGATCTTTGCACTTTCACTGTGGTTCAGGGTAGTGGCTCTGGACCCAGAGAGCCCAGGTGCACATCAGCGCCCCTTTCACGGCCCTTTTCATAATCATGAAATTTTCCACGTCTTGATTTCTCCATTTGTAAAATGATGACAGCAACAGCTCCCACCTAGCAGGGCTTAACAGAATTTAAAAGATAAAGTGCTTATCTGCCAGTCCCACAAAGTCAACCACACCTGCTTTTCCATGGCTGCAACACCTGCTGAGCGCATGGATGCTGGAGACTGTGGGCTATCTGTGCGAGGCCTTTACCCGTCTCCTGGTCAGTTTGTGACAGGTGATGGGGCGCCTGGACTTTGGCCAGATGTTATGCTGGGTATGTGTGTGTGGACGTTTCTGGATGAGGTTAACATTTAAATCGTCCCCAGAGGTGGGTGGCCTCAGCCAGTTGCTGGCCTGGGTAGAGCAGGGAGGCCAAGTGAAGGGAAGGCTGCTTGAGCAGGACGGCTGGTCTTTTTCTGCCTTTGATTCAAATTGAAACACTGGCCCCTCTTGGTCTCCTGCCTGCGAGATCTCAGACCAGAACTTACAATGAATCTCCCCTGATTTTCAGGCCCTGGACTGGGACTAGAGGCACACTCGAGCTCGCCCGGATCTCCAGCTTAGCAACTACTCTAAGCTCTTGGGGCTCCTGGCCTCCGTCATCATGAGAACCACTTCCTTAGAGTGATTCTTCTTCTGTATGGACACACAGGGAAATCCTTGAGAGCTTTGCTTTATAATTTCAGGAATTTTCTCTGCGATCTCGATCTCTACCTCTTAGTCCATATATTTGAGTCATGGAACACCTGATCCGTTTCCACTGGCATTTCTAAACTAAGGGAATTTTAGCTTAACTTGCTGGCAGTGATTCTGTCACCATGAGGGAAGAGAGACTTCCTGACAGTGAGTGAGCAATGCAAAGGCTGCAAGAGCTGGATCCCCTGTCAGGGCTTGAGTCCTGAGATTCAGCCATGCATGAAGGCCAGAAGTCCTGAATGTTCCCTGCCATGGAACAGTAACTTGAACCCCCTGCTTTTCTTTTTTTTGTGGGTCCCTTGCAGGCGGCTGGGAATGAACCAGCACTGCAGAGGCACAGCCCAGCGCTCAACCACTGCGCCACCAGGGGCGGCCCTGCACCCACTGCTTTTTAAGGCTTTTGTTTTTTTAACTAAGCAATGTTCAATTGGGGCTCTCACTTGCAATTGAAAGAATAATCAGAATTTACTTTAAAAATCTACTTCATCAGCACCCTACCAGGAGCATATATTTAAAGTGTTTCTCATTTTAATCTGCTGTCAATGTCATTGGAACCTTTTGTATATGTATCTTTGAATAGGCACATAAATCTTAGAATTTATAGCTGGGATGCATTCCTAAAATAGATAAATGGGTGGATTAAAAAAGTATTTAAAATTTTGACTGCTGTATCCAAATTACCTGCCAAAAAGGTTACCAAATTTACATTTCCAACAGTATATAAAAAATTTCTGTTACCTTACATCCTTACAAGCAATAGATATCATGCTTTTTAATTCTGTCACCCCAAAGAATGAAAAACAGCACACTTTCATTTTCATTTCTATAATTATCAGGGAAGTTGAGCACCTTTTCATGTATTTAACTAACCCATGGATTTCTTTTTCTATCCTTTGTCCATTTTTTTTTACAAATTGCTACATTTATTTATTCAAAGGAGCTCTTTATATGTGATGGATAATAATTCTTTGTCTGCAATAGGCATTGTGAATTAAATGTAGGTTTGGAGGGCCTCCCTGGTGGCACAAGGAGTTAAGACACAACCTATGAAGCTATACACAGCCATTGCAGCATGAGTTTGATCGCCAGCCAGGGAGCTACCCACATGGCACAGCACACCTCTCCTGACTTGCCCTCTATTCCCCTCAGCAGTGTATTTCAGTCAATCTGCCTTTTCTGCTCCCCACTCTGTCTCCGGTGAATCCTCTCACCCCTCACACCTCTGGCCTGTACTCCAGATCCTGCATGCATAAATAAATAAATCTTAAAAAAAAATAAATGTAGGTTTGCAGATAGATGAGATCCTGAGCCTAGAGAGCCCCTGGGGTAGGAAGCACAGGTTCTTACCTGGCACAGGTCCTCTGGATTCACATAGATATTCTCAGTTGTCACATTTCCATGCACATACTCGTTCTCATGGAGGAATTCCAGGGCATCCAGCTGAAGGAAGAAAGGAAGCACCTCCATGAAGAGCATGAATAACACAGAGTCTGATGCAGGGTCCAGTGAAGGAGGCCTCACTGGTGAGCCTGGCCTCATCAGGCCCTATGGCTGGGGGGCTAACCCGGACTAATTCTGGGTGAAGCATTAGAAGTCCACCCTGATGGCACACCTAAGCACATCTCATAATTAATCTTCTTAAAAATTGAGCATTAGGGGCCTCCCTGGTGGTGCAGGGATTAAAGACAGCACTATCAGCTATCGCCAGTCACTGCAGCACAAGTTCGATTCCCCAGCCGGCCAGGGAGCTGCTCCACATGGCACGGCAGACCTCTCCTGTCTCCCCACTGCTCCCGTCAACAGCCTATTTCAATCAGTCTGCCTGTTCTGTTCCCCACTCTGTCTTTGGTGGGCTCTCTCACCCCCCACACCTCTGGCCTGTACCCCAGATCTTGTATGCATAAATAAATCTTTTTCTCATGTGTGTCTTTTATCTAGTTCTTAGTTGATTGCAAACTCAGGAGGGAAACAAGTTGGCTGCCTACTGCCCACCTGCCAAAATAACTGAACCACCTTATATATCAGTTTATTCTTTTTTCCCCCGTGGAGCTAAAATACCTTTCATTAACCAAGTCACACATTTCACTATATTTTATACCGACTCCCTACTGAGTTCTAGACTCATATATTGAACTGCCTCAGTGCCAGCTATATCCCAGCCCCAGCCTGAGCCCAAGACTTTACTGTCTACCATGTTCTGCTGGTTCTACAAACTCCACTGTCCACCCCCCCATGCCACCCCCATGCAAACTCCCACAGGGGCCATGGGGTCCTCCCAGCCCTCCCCCTCCACTGTTGTCCGTCCTCCCAGGGCCATGCAGATCCACAGCCCAGAGTCTGAGCTCAGTGTCTGAGGAGCTGCACCATCTGGTCTCTGCTGATCTCTCCACACCAACCGCCTCTGACCCGCTCCCTTTCCACGTATAACTGCAGACACTCTGGTGCCCCTGCCATGCCCCTCTCTTGGCAGCAATTTAAATTGCTGCTCTTCTCTGTCACGGCAGGGGACTTTTCTATTCTGCGCATATTCGCCATCTGTGCAAATGTTTAATATCACCTTTCCCACTGGACACAGGAGCCACGTCTGTGCCCCCACCCCGGGACAGTAACCCCCAGCAGGGAGCAGATGTTGAATGAAAGGATGCGTGAGGGAGGAACAACTGCAAGGTGTTCCTCTCCACTTTTGCCCAAGCTGAACTGTGGGCCTGGAACGCTCTCCCCACCTATGCCCACTGCTGATCCACTCGGTGTTTTGCCACTTCCCACTCACCCCACAAGCCTCGGCTTGAGAACCTGCTTCCAATAGAAAACCCAATTGAACCCTCAGTTTGACGCTGGGGTCCTTTCCAGCTCTGTGCTCCCCTGAATGCCACTGCGGTAATGCTCATGTCTGCTCTGAGACCCGCGTCAGTCAGCGTGCCAGCAGGGTCCCCAGAGGGGGCGCGGGGCGGGCATGCTGATGTATAAGCCCACAGTAACCAGGACCCAGAGCCCCGAACCCGAGATGGGCACAGAGCAGCTGCAGGCACACACCAGTCGGAAGGCCACCTGGAACGCAGACCTCACCGACATCACGTGTTTTGGGCTGTCATCCAGGGCCGACTGAAGGCTCCTCCCCAGGCTGGGGAACACCAAGAACCTGGAAGACACGGAGACCCCATGAGGTGGGCGAGGTGACCAGGGAAGGGCACAGAGCACCGGCCAAGGATGGGCCGTGGCTGGGCAGCTACAGATCCCAGCCCCTGGCAAGATTAAGGGCTCCAGCTGGCTCAAACTGGTGAGGCAAGGACGCTACCAATCCAGCCAAGGCTCCGGGGCCCCAGCTGTGCCCAGGAGAGAGCAGAGGGCCACGGAGGTGGGCGGCGTGAGGCGGCTCACCTGTACCTGTCCTGGTGGACGCCAAAACCGACACAGGTGGGGATGGCCAGTAGGGGGGTTGAGTACAGCTTCTTCCACTTGTTCACTGTGGGAGGCAGGGGCTGCAGAGGTTAGCTCACCTAGTCCCAGGCCCACGGGCACAAGGGCCTGTTCTCAGACCAGAAGCACAGGCTGCCGGGCTGCCCGGGCTGGTCAACCTGCTCCCCAATGTGGAGATGGCATCCCTGCCGGGGATGATGGTGAGGGGGTGCAGCAGGGTGAACCCTGCATGTCTGTGATCTGTCTGCTGGTGACAAGGGCAGAACATGGGACATGCAAGAAGGCGCATCAAAGTAGGGGCGAGTGAAAGGAGCAAAGACAGAATCACTTCTGAATTCGTAGATTAGCTCAGGCAGTGTCCACACTGGCCCCTGTGCCACAAGGGGCCTGTCCATGTGTCAGGACCCCAGTTGGATGGGGTGGATCCAGCAGTGAAATGAGGGGCAGGTACAGGCCGGCCCCAGCCCACGTTGTCTGTCCTGAGGCCTGAGGTCTGACAGAGCAAATCTAGGCCCTTAATTCCCATCCTTTGCACCCCTGCTGGGAGAAGCTAACTGTTTTGACCCAGTGGCACCCCCAAGTTCTCTCCCCTTGCCTGCATCCCTGAGGATACCTTGCAAAGGCTTGGCGGCCCGCTGGAAGAAGTTCTGCTCATTGAACAAGCGCCCATCCTTGGCGTCCTAGTGGGGGGTGGAGAAGGCTGTCACGCTAAGCCAGATGTGACAAGGTGTCTAAGACAAGGTGTCAGGCCTCACACCTCAGGACCAAATTCCCTAGGGTGCTGCACATGAACACCTATCAGAGAGGGGAAGTTGTCTCTCCCTGCCCTTTTCATTCTTCTGACAGGATCCATGTGTGTTCCCTGGACACGCAGTCTTCAGCAAAAACTACATTTTCCAGCCTCCCTTGCAGCGAGGTATGACCACATGACTGAGTTCTGGCCAATGGGATACGGTAGAGAAGGTGGGCGTCTTCCAGGTTCTGCATTTAAGTGGCTTGCTTGGGCTGGCTCTCCTTTCACTTTTCTGTTCCAGTTGACTGGAATGCAGATGTGACGGTGGGAGATGGCGCAGCCACCTCTGTCCATGAGGGGGAGGTTATGGCTGAGGATGTTGGAGTGACAAAGGAGAGGGAAAGTGGGCCTCCATCCTTTCAGTCCTGAACCTCTGCCCCTGGCTTATTTAGATATTATTTACAAGTAAAATGTAATTTTTACTTATTCTATTGTTAATACCAGGTCATTTTTTCCCTAACAATCAGACCAAATATTTTCATGAAACACAGTGAGAACATCTGGTTCTTACGAGCACAGAGTCAAAGATCCACTGTTACTGCATTCTTTTTCCAAAGCACCTCTTCGGTGCTGACTGTTGTTCTGGGGTACTCAGGATCCAGCAATGCGCAAAGCAACCTGCATGCTGGTTGCCCAGGGTTGCAAGGGTTGCATGCTCCCATTTCCGCATCTGTTACACAGGGAACACAGCGGCGACCCCGCAGGCTTGTGGGAAGCGCTCAGGCCAGGGCCAGAACAGGCTCTTGACAAGCAGGTGCTAGTCCTCTGCGTGAGCCTGGGCTCCAGAACCCTGGTTCTGAACCACACACAGCCGCCACCTAGCACTGAGTGAGGGCAGCCGGTACCAGTCCGGGTGTCCTGGTTTTCTGAATTGGGGGAGCGGGGGGCAGCCTGGCTGTTCATCACTTTTTCCTCCAAGCCCCCCTCGAGTGCATGGCTCCCATCTGCTAAGGTCAGACGTGACTCACTGGTCCCCAATACCTGGCCCTGCCTACACATGGGTGCTTAGTGAACAACTGCTCTGAGGCAGGCAGACAACGAGCAGGCAGGTGGGCTGTGCTGTGGGTATCACGGGCGCCACCGCACGCGTGTGGAACTGGGCTCTGTGGGGAGCTTGCCAGCCAGAGGCAGCTCCAGCCAGGCTCGAGCGACTGCAGCTCCTGAGGGGTTTGATGTGATGAAGAACCTCGGCCCAGAGGGAGACCTGCACCAGCCAAGGTCAAACAGCTCCTGCAGTCCAAGGCTTTGCTCTGCGGCCTGCCCCAGCCCACACAGGGGCTGGAGGTCAAGGGTGCATCGGCCAAAGCCCCAGACTCCCACTCAGGACGGCCCTCCCTCTCCTTCTGTCCCGTGCCCACTCACTAGTTTGAGTGAGAATCTCTGTATCTTGGGATTCGAGTTGCAGGCGGAGGTGGAGGCGGAGGCGGAGGCAGGTTCAGCTGTGGATGGGCAAAATGAGCACGGTTATCACATGCGGGGGGATGGGGGTCACGTCTCAAGCAGCAGCAGCTCTGGCTCCCTCACTCCCCAGGACAAGTGCACCTGTGGCTTTCAAGACCTGCTCTTTCCTATTTTCAAATTTGGTTCTCTTTCCCCCTTGACTTTACTCCCTCCCTCTGTTAACATCCAACTATGAAAGACAGGGAAGCAGATGGCCTGGCCAGGCTCTCCTTGCAAAGACCCGCCAGCAGGGCTGGCCCTCGGTTGGCATCTTGGAACCTGTGTTTTGGGAGGGTTTGGCATTCCCTAAGCAAGAAGACAGGGCCCAGACCTTAACCCTGCAAACATGGTTTCTGCTGAACTTCCCTTCCCTTCTGCCACGTCTGGACTCTGGGGTGCATGCCAGGCAGAGGGGGCCTATGTGATATTACTCAGTGAAAACTCAGCTCTGGCGAGCTTCCTAGGGAGAAACAGGTCACATGTGTTGTCCCACCCAGTGGCTGGGGATTGAGTGTGTCCATGCAAAGCCACAGGAAAAGATTCGGGGAACTGGGGCTGGTCTCCCCAGGCTGACCACACTGTGGAGAGTCACAGCCACGAGGACTGCACGCTGGGTCCCCCAGTGATATGCACTGTCTGCATATATGGGCTAGCCGCAGACTCCCCTTCAAGGATGCACTTGTGACCCCGGCCCTGCCGCACCTCAGGAGGGCCGTTGCTGGCAGCTTTCGGCCCCTCGGAGACCCCTCATCTGCACATCCCAGGGCAGCCCGCATGACGGGAAGAGGGAAAGCCCCATGGCCCAACATGGGCCCATGCTGAGGGGCCACTCCTGCTCCTTGGACCTACTGGGGCCACTGTGGCCACATCACAGTGCATGTCCACTGCCCCTCTGGGTACTGATGGCCACGGGGCGCTTCCTTGTGTGGGCTGGTGAGCCGGTCCAGCTCTGCTTAGTCACAAACCCTGCCACATCTCTGGCCCTGAGCTCAGCAGCGTGGCCTTCACCGCATCGTTTCCCTGACAACGGCCCAGGAAGCAGGCCACTATGCCGTTCTCACTGCTGCTATCACCCTGAGCCCCCTGCATGGATGAGAATACGAGGGACTGAAGCTGAGCGAGGTCACTCAATGCGGGAGGTAAAAGCTGCGCAGAACTTAAACAGGCGCCCCTGTTTCTCCCACTCTTCCGACTGGCCCTCCCACCCACAGCAGGCCCTTCCCATGAAAGAGGTGCCACCGGAAGCCCAGGAAGGGCAGGGGGCATGGCCAAGGGCTTAGCCATACAGGCCCCTGCTAGACGCCAAGAGCAGCCCGGTGAAGACCCCAGACAGGAGACTGGCACTGAGCGGGGGGCACTGAGAGTGGAGCGGGGATGCTCTTCTGGGGCCCATGAGCATCAGAGGCACAGGACGCACTTGGAAGGCGCAGCTTACCCCCTCCAAACCCTGAGGGTCAGTGCTATCAAGATCTCCACTTTGCAGGTGAGGAAACTGAGGCATAAAGTCACAATGTCAGTGAACAAGGTCAGATGAGCAGACGGTGGGGTAAGAGGTGGGCTTCCCTGTCTCCCCAAGCCTCTCTGGGGCCTCCAGGCCCCAGCTCCCTCTGCTCCCTGCTGGCAACACCAGAATGCCCCACTTCCTGCTGGGTCTGCCGCCCCTCTGGAGGCACTCACTGCCCGACTGCTTCATCGTGGTCGCTGGAAAGGCAGTGCGTAAAGCTAGGGGCACCACCTGATGGCCCCCAGTTGGGCAGCCTCCTGGAGGCATGTTCGAGGTGAACAGCCGTGGCCTAGATGGAGACAGTTTGGTAGTCACAACTGGGGGAAGGGAGGCGTGCTACTGCACCTAGTGGGCAGGGGCCAGGGGTCCCCCCAAGTAGAATTACCCCGTTCTGGTGCCAGTGGCGCCAAGGCCGAGTCCGTATGTATGAGGGCAACTGGCTTATGTAAATCTGACACTAGGGAATCCCAGGGTTGGGGGGGCCATTCTCCCAGAGCAGCTGAAGCTGAGGGAGAAGGAGAGGTTCTGGGGCTGCCACAGGGAGGGACCCGCATGTGTGAGGGGCCGCAGGGGGAGAGAAGCAACGTGGATCTGGGTGGACAGGATTAAGTGAAGGATCCTGAAGGGCAGAGGCTGTCCTTGGTCCAGTGCCTCTGGAACTAGGGGGGCGGGAGAGATCTGACTCAGAGGAGAGGGGATGGGGTGATGTGCTGTGGAGCTAGAGGAGACCTGGGGAATGTGGGTGGCTCTGAAGGGTGGAGCGCCTCCCCTGGACTCTAACGGCCCTGCTCACACCTAACTCCACCCCGTGAAGTTGGTTCCAGACTTCTGACCCCCAGAACCGTCAGGGTCAGAGTTTGCCGTCTGAAGCCCGGTGTTAGTGGTGGCCACAGGACACCGATACAAGGCCCCAAACTCCATGCAGGAGGGCCCAGACCGGGAGCGCAGGTCTGGACTTGAACTCCACCTGCACCTCACAGCAGTGGGTGGTGCGGGCGGCTGCAGTTGCTCAGATAATGGTTCTCTCAAATGCTCCGGGGAGGCGGGGGATGATGGTAAAGTTCAGTACGTGACCACGGAAAAGAGTGGCAAGCCCTCGGGCTGCCATGGGACGAGATGCGTTAACAGATGTGTAGGACTTCAGATGGGCCAGAGGGGCTAAATGACAGCTGCTGCCATGGAATCTTAACCCCAGTGGCCGCTGTCTCCCCATCACTGTTGTGAACAGGATGTGAAGTACCACGTCGTCTGGACTGGGACAAACCGGTGGGAGGTCAAGGCCATCCGGCCGGGGTAATGACCAAACCCCAGCTGCTGGGTTTGGCCCCTCTCACTTCCTCTTCCTCTCACTTCCTTTTCCTCTCATTCCAGATTCCTTCCATTCCCCCTTCTCCCACTCTCTTTTGGCATAATGGCTGAGAAGCCAGACAGCCAGGATTTGAACCCCAGCTCTGCCATGTGCTGGAATCCACACCCCTGCCCCACCCGATTCCTTCCCTTTCTTTCTCAGGGCATTTCAAACCTGTTCTCAGAAGCTTCAATTATGTAAGCAATAGACCTTTCATACCCTCCGGGTCTGTGTGAGATTGTCATTAGTCCTGACATCCAAGTCATTTTTTTTTTTTTGTGGGGAGAGGAGCAGCCATTCAAATTCTGCAAAGTAGCTACTGCATGGTATCCTTACCACTCAGCCACACCAGGTCTGCACCTCTGTATGACAACAGTAGGTAGAGCTGAAAAAAAGGGTCCTCTTAGGATGCATGCTATGCAATTAGCCACAGTCCCCAATACTCCAAATTGCCTTACTCCTTTACCTTCCCTGCAGGTAGGTAGGTTTTCAATCCTAAATCTAAGAGAATTGTCTAGAGGCAGGTATGCAGCTGGGATATGGCTTCCATTCCCATTTTCAGAAGGGGTCATTTTACCCTCACCCTGATCCCTGATGCTGAAAAAAAAGGTCTGCAGACAGAGAGTACCTTCATAGAGAATGCCCTGGTCATCCCTGCCCTGGAGAAATCCCAGCTTCCAGAGCTGCCCACTCTTGTCTGTCACCACCATGCCCGAGGGCAAAGCCTCGAGGGAGGAGGTCACCCGGCTCCGCTTCAATGTCTGAGGGCTTCGCTTGGTCGTCTGTGGGCTGCTTTTGGGGGTTGGGGACCGGCTCCAGGACCCTGCAGGATGTCAGAATAAAAAAGTGGCATCCAGGAGAGAAAAGGTGGATGGGGAATGAGACAACACTCATGATACTGTTCACTTATTCCGCTAACAAATGCTTCCTGAGGCCTTTACTTGGTCAGGTCTTTGCGTGACAAAGCTGGGGTCCCAGCCATAAGTCAGAACCAGCACCTACCCTGAGAAGCCCCTAATTTAGCAGGGTAGTTTGACCTGGACACAACCAATCAGAGCTGAGTCTGAGAAAAGGCAGTATACAGAGATATGAGAGAGCCTGCCCCTGGAGAAGTCAGGGAGGCTTCCTGAAGGAGGGAACAGTCAAGCTGGGACTTACTGGATGAAGAGAACTTTGCTGGGAGCAAAAAAAGACATTCCAGACATGCAACCAAAAACACCCTGAAACAGGACCGGGCCTTGTCCTGTGTGTGAAGAGAGCCCTGAAATTTATGTTAGACTGAGGCCCTGCTGGCAAGACAGGGAGGTGGGTGCAGTGAGGAGACAGGCTTGGACACAGGGTGGCCAGGGGATGTGTGGCCCGAAGGATGACAAAGAGGCCACCACTTCAGATCAAAGGGCTGGCGGTGGGGAAACAGACTCAGCCAGAAGCCTCCCACACGCGCTGGTGGGCATGGGGCAGGGCATGCAGTTGGGTCTGCCTGGGCCCTGAACCCTGAGTGTGGGGAAGACGGCACCACACCAGGCAAAGGGGGAAGATGAAAGTGCCCTGGGCCGAGGGAACAGGCTTTGCAAAGAACAGAGGCAAAACTTGAAAAAATATTTTCAAAAATGGAGTTTTCTGCATGCAAGGTTGTGGTGAGCTCAAACAGGAAGCAGACCACCATGTGAGAGAGGCCAGGCCGGAGAGCTGAGACTGTGGGTGATAGGCCCAGGATAGGGCTGTGAGCCGGGAGGGTTGGGGTCGGCTCAGGCCATGGGTGAAGCGGAAGCCTGGAAGCTAGGAGGCGGCTGGGGGTGAGGGTCCAGGTAAGGGGAGGTGATGCCTTTTTATCCTGGTAGAAGGAATGAATTCCCCCGAGTTGTCAGATGTATGACCTCTTCCCCAAGAAGCGTCAGACCAGACCAATCCCAGCTCCTACCTTTGGGTTTCTCACAGGAACTCAAAGTCTCCTTGGCCACAGAACTGTCACAGTCTGTGAAGAGGGGTGGCGGGGGAGAAAAGACAGCGCCAGGCCACTTCATATTCTTGGGAGAGACCTCAGAATCAGCCTTCAGCGTTCTCCTTGAGCCTAGAGAAAGGCAGACCCAATGCAGACTGGATTTAAAAAGGAACCTTAATTCTGACACCTCGAGGGCATATTCAACCACTCCCTTCCCTTTGGCCTGCACAGCCAAGTCTTGTTTCTCCCGTCATCTAAATCTCTGAGCAAAGCTTTCCTTCCTTTAATTCTTTCCAAACTCAAATCTGCCTGATCACTTATGACTAACTTTTGTTTCTTCATTATATTTTTTAGTTTTTTTTTTAAAGATTTATTTATTTATTTATTTATTTATACAAGCACTGGGTACGGTCAGAAGCGCGGGAGGGCGAGAGAATTCACCAGAGCCAGAGCGGGGAGCAGAGCAGGCAGAAGGACCGAAGTACACTGCTGAGGGGAGCAGCGGGCGGCAGGAGAGGTCTGCGTGCCATGTGGGACCCTCCTCCGGTGGCCGGGGAGCAGCCGGGGATCGAATCAGTGCAGCAGAGGTTGAGGGCAGCCTCACAACCCAGCGCTCAACCGCTGCACCACCGGAGAAGCCCTATTTTTTAGTTTTTATATCTTTAAACTTGTAAAATGGGTCCTTCACAGATTCTTGTTTGCGCCAAGGTCTCCAGTCATTGCAGCCTGATTCTGCAGCTCACTGCTTCATTGCTTCTGGTATCTTTGCTGATTGGCTGGGAGCTCACATGCCTGTGGGAATTCTCTAAGATCTCTTTTTTTTTTTTTTTTTTTTTAAGATTTATTTATTTATACAAGCACTGGGTACAGTCAGAAGCGCGGGAGGGTGAGAGAATTCACCAGAGCCAGAGCGGGGAGCAGAGCAGGCAGAAGGACCGAAGGACACTGCTGAGGGGAGCAGCGGGCGGCAGAAGTCTGCGCGCCATGTGGGACCCTCCTCTGGTGGCCGGGGAGTAGCCGGGGATCGAACCAGCGCTGCAGAGGCTGCGGGCAGCTTCGCAACCCAGCACTCAACTGCTGCGCCACCGGGGAGGCCCTCTCTAAGATCTCTTTAAAGAGTGTTCTCCAAGAAAAGATTGGCTTCTGCTGGGGAGTGGCACCCACATCTTATCACTTTACATTAACTAACATTAACTCTGGGTTTTTGTGAGGCCACACAGATGAGGATGAACTCTGGCCCTAACTGGTGATAATGTGAGTTCTTTTTCTTGGTTAAGAATTCTCAGGAGGGCATTTTCAACTAAGGTTGAGATAGAGACAAATGTTTCCAACAATTTTCTCTTTGGAGTAATTTTTTTGGGTCCCCAGGAAAGTGAGCGTGATTTCATTTATCAATGAAACTTCTGTGCCTAGGTTTCCACTGGCCAGGACCTCCTGTTGACACTTCATTCCTTGACTCAGTCCATCAATAAAGTTTCCAGCACCCAGCTGTGTGTAGGCGCGGTCCTGGGTGCTGTTCGAATTGCAGGTCCCAAACCACAATCAACACAACTTACAAACCACGGTACACTCCTGTCCTTATCGAGCATAAGGAGGAGAAGCATTATTGAAGTAAAACACTGTGTTTAATATCGACACTTACAAGGACATAGACGCAGTGGGGAGGCCAGGAGAAGGTTCTGCAAAAACATTAGTGAGAGTGGAGGGTGGGGTGGAGCAGGGTGAGGGGAGAGGAGGTGGCAGGAAGTGGGTCAAGTCAGCAGTGATTTTAAAGGGAGGGCTAACGAGGTTTTCTGTGGCCTGGAGTTGTGTGTCTGTATGTGTGTGTGTGGCTGGGAGGGTGTGATGAGGACTTAAGGATGACTCTAAAGTTTGGTCTGAGAAACTGGATAAATGATGTGGCCGTGGGGGATAGGGAGATCTATGGGAGGGCAGGTGGGGGCAGCAGTCATTTCGGGAACTCAGTTCTGGGATGTGCAGATGCCGACAGGACATCCAGTAGACACCAAGCAAGCAAATCTCTGGTTCTTACCTTGGCAAGATGACACACGGGGCTTGACGGAGGTCTGGGCCCCCTCATGCTCCTCTGTAGGCAGAGGTTTCCCACAGTAAGGGCAGAATTTGAATGCTGCTTTGATATTTTTGCCACAGTTTGGACAGAAGGTAATCATGCTAGAAAACAGAAGGGGGTGGGGGAGATAGTAAGCTGAGAAAAACAAGATGTAATCCACTGTAGCAGATTAGCCACCCAGGTCCCCCAGGATGGAGAGACTGCAAAACGGAGGAAAGTAAGCCGTGACCTGAACACGCTTCTAAAGTGAGTTGCTGGGCCTCCCTGGTGGCACAAGGGATTAAGCACCACACTATGAAGCAATCCTCAGCCTCTGCAGCATGAGTTCGATCCTGGGCAAGGGAGCAACCCACATGGCGCAACAGACCTCTCCTGACTCTCCTGCTGCTCCCCTCAGCAGTGTACTTCAGTCAATCTGCCTTTTCTGTTTCCCACTTTGTCTCTGGTGGATCCTCTCACCTCCCGCATCTCTGGCCTGTACTCCAACTCTTGTATGCATAAAGAAATAAATCTTAGGGCCTCTCCAGTGGCGCAGCAGTTGAATGCTGGGTTGCAAAGCTGCCCGCAGCCTCTGCAGCACCAGTTCGATCCCCGGCCGCCGGGTGAGGGTCCCACATGGCGCACAGACCTCTCCTGCCACCCGCTGCTCCCCTCAGCAGTGTACTTCGGTCCCTCTGCCTGTTCTGTTCCCCGCTCTGGCTCTGGTGAATTCTCCCACCCTCTTGCGCTTCTGACTGTACCCAGTGCTTGTATTAATAAATAAATAAAATCTTAAAAAAAAAAAAAGAAATTAAAAAAAAAAAAAGTGAGTTGCTATCCATATTCTGAGCCTCTAGCCACCAGGGTAGGCCCAAAGCAGAACAAACTGAAACTGCAGGCCTCACAGGAGAATGTGGAGTGGCTTGAGGTCATGGAAAGTCAGGTTGAGAAACCATACCCATCACAGAATCAGCAATGAGCTAGCAATTAAATTGCTGGGGCCTCTGGTGGTGGCACTAGAGAAGCCACTGCTTGTTGCTCACAACTCTGGCTTGGACCCCAGTCTCTGCTCAGTGGATGCTATCTGGGGCAAGGCAGATGACACTGGGCCATGTGCCAGCCAGTAAATAGTTTCTCTTTTTCTCACTTCCTGTGTAAATACCGTTATTATTATTTCATACTGTGCCTATTTTCCTGTTGTGTCCTGTAGTCATAAGAGCCTGAGTAAGGACCCACCAATTGGGTCATTTCCCTGGGGGTCTGCTCAGTTTCAGTTACTCCTGGGAATGAAGTCTGGTAGTAGCAAGCCAGAGGAGCAGGCTGTTGGAGGGAACAGGATGTTAGGGGTGTGTGTGAAGGTCGGGGAAACAGTACCTTTATGGGGTCTCAGCTGGACCTTGGATTCACTGTGCTGGCAACTCCATCTTAACAGCGACCTGCAAGAGAAGGAAGGTGGAGAGGCTGACTCAGGTGCATCCCCTGCACATGAAAGACAACAGTTAATGTTTAGTGAGCACTAGCTATGTGACCTACATGTGCTAAGTTCATTTATTCAATAACTATTCACTAAACCAGCCTATGTCAGGCACTGGCCATACAGCAGCAAAGGACAAAACACAGGATGGGCCCATGCCCGTGGGGGAAAACAAGACAACACACAGAGGACCGAGTAACTGTTTAATAGGTCAGGAGGAGCAGGGCCACCATAAACGCTCCATAAATGGGGGTGGAAGAAAGCAGGGAGACACCTGGTGCTGAAGTCTCCTGTCTAAGGTCACCTGGCTCGTTCCGGGCTTACACCCGACACATTCACAACAGTGTTTCTCCTTCATCCTGGATTCCCCGCAGGACGTCAAACGCTCCCAAGCCCCGCCCGTCTCCCCGCGAGCCCGCCCCGAGCCCCCCGCGGCCCACAGCGGCCGGCGCGGCCTGACTCGTCCCTCCCTAGACCCGCGCCCCAGGCCCCGCCTCCCGCAAGGGGTGGCTGACGTCACCACGCGGCTGGCGGAACGGACCTCCCCCTGCTCCTCCCCTCGCCCCCGGACTAGGTGAGCAGGGAGGTGACCCCGGTGTCGGCGGCCAGATCCTCAGATCCTCCGCGGGGACTGGGACTCACCTTCTCGGTTGCCCCGCGGAAACTTCCGCTGGGGCGGGGAGTGCTGCGCGCGCATCCTCGGCCCAGTGGCAGGACTGCGCCCGCGCAGACGCCGCACTCTCCCGACGGTCCCCGGGCTGTGCCTTACATTGGAACTACATCTCCCAGACGCCCGCGCGGCAGCCCCGCCCCTTCGGACTCGTAGCCGGAGGAGGGATTATGCCATCATCGCCCATCTCCATTGGGACGCTGCTTGGTTCTACTGCGCATGTGCGACAGAGGAGCCAATCGTAAGCAGGGATAAACTTTGCGGCATCTCTGCGCCAATCGGACAGAGGCCTTATTTTCGTTTCTCCGGCCTCAACTCCGCCCCTTGCTCCCGAGCGCCTCCTCAGGAATTCACCTTTCGCCTCAAAGCGTTTCTCTGGTAACCTCCACTTGTCTCCATCAGCCATGGAAAAGCCGCCCAGTCTTCTAGAAAAGGCAAAAGATGCCGTTTAGGTTGTCCTTCAGGGTAAAAGCTGGACCACGAAACCCAGGCGCCCCCTAACTTCGAGTCTTTTTACTCTGTTTCCCAGAGTGCTCAGCGGGACCTCTAAGAACAAGGAAGCGAAGGGCAGGCGGCCGCACAGCCCCCTGGGAAGCGGAGTCCTGGCGCAGGCGCGGAGACTCCCGGGGGCGTGGCGGAGGCTCCTGGGAGGAGATTCGCGCGCTCTCGCCAGTGGCTGCGCGGAGGCGCCTGTGAGCGGTTTTGGGTGATCGGCTCCCTCGGGGCGGGGTCGCGCCTGTTAATCCGGCGGACGACGGCCCGGAGGTGAGGCGACGCCGAGGCTGGGGTCGCCGAGGACTCTGAGGCTGGGGCGCTCCATCCGTCGTGGGGGTGACGCGACGCCAAGGGGGCGACTTGGGCAAAGGGCGCGTCGCGTGGGGTGGCGGGGGGCTGCGGGCGAAGCCTTGCACCCCTGCCCGTCGTGGGCCTGGCTCCCACCGGGGGGTTTCCAGCCTCACCCGCAGCCCGGAGGGGACTCGATTTATGTTCTTCAGGGTTGAGGACACTGAGGCTGAGAGGGGCTGAGTTGCCTGAAGTGGTTGGCACAGCTGGGCGGGGACGAATGGCAGCCCTTGGGGGGGGGGTCCAAGCATGTGACAGGTATTTATTGGAGCGCACACTGTGCGCCACGCCCGCCTTGTTCTCGTATTTTCTGACTTAGCCTGGGCGGCAGCGGAGAACACTAAGTACAGCCCCTCCGTATTAGTGGGTACCCCTTGGCACCAGGGTCTACTGGGAAATCAAGAGTTTTTTAGATTTTAGAATGTCAATCGGGCACATAGCTCGTAATCAGGCACCCTCTGAAGGGCGATCTGGGACAGCTCTTGGAGATCAGTTTCTCAAGAAAGGTGTGAATATTCACATTGGAGGGAATCAAGACTGTCCCTACCCTGTGGCTAAATGTAGGTTAAGTTTTGCCTCTAGTTTATGGATTAAGTTCTGGATTCCAGAGCATTTTGGCTTTGAGAATTGCAGATCTGTTTATTTGCCCCTTTTGGACCTATGGTAACTGAAGTGCAAAGAGGGTCACCCTAAGAGGCAAAAATGCCGACTCCAGGAACCAGGGTTTTCAGCTCATTATTTTTTGAGCTGAGGTCAGACTGGGTGACCTTGAGCTTCATTCCAATTTCTTCTCCCAGGGCTGGGAGTGTATGGGAAGTGGACCCAATTAGACAGGTCTTAATTCAGGGTGAAGAATAGAATCTGCTGAGGGTGAGGGCAATGAGGATATTGGGGAGCACTTTCCCCATCCAAGGGGGTAGCTTTAAATGGGCTCAACTATCTAATGTCATGGGAATGCATCCCCAGTGCTGCCAAGTTGTAGAATTTTTCATAGATGGGAAATAAAATTTGTAGATGAAAGTTCCCAGTTTTCAAGTTCGGAGATACTTCAGAGAATCTTCTTTCTAAACATCCTTTCTGCCAGCAGGGGGCCAGTTAAAATTGATGAGTAAGGTAGACTTGGTCTAGGCTTAGCATCTTCCCTTATCAGCAATCACAAAATCTTGAAAACTCCCAAAATCAAACATTTTTTACATGCACCTGGTCAAACTGCTGTGATATATAACCTTTAATTATCCTCCCTATGCTCTAGAAATACCAACCGGTTCAGTTGCAAAATACTCCCAGCCCCACACTGCACCGGGATCTTGTTCATATTTTTTACTGCAGTAACATTGTGTAAATCAACATCTGTTGAGACTGCGTTATCTTCACCACTAAAATTTCACGTCATACACACGTCTGTATACACACCCTCATACAATGGACTCCTTTTACTTGGCTTACCCACCCTCTACCCTCTTCCCTACTGGTATACACTTATTTGGTCTTAGAGTCTAAACATTTTTCTCACTGTGATTGCAGTGAAATACACCAAGCGACCACGTGGGTTGCTTTTTCAAAATCGGGACATTTTCTGAATTTCAAATTACATCTGCCCCAGAGGCTTAAGCATTGTGGGACCGTGTGCTTGCTGCTTCATGACGGGAGGCTCTGAACACTCCAGACTACTTGGGAAATACGGAGGCTACAAATGTGCGGGGAAAAACCCATGGCGCGGTGCTTTGGCTTTTATAAATACATGCAGTAAATGCTGCGTGTTACAGTAGAGATATGACTCACTTGGCAGAGACCATTTTTTTCTTTTCATGAAGTAAAAGCAAAAGAGACCAGAATGGGAAGCTGCTCACTGCCTTCTGCTTAGTGAGATTGGGGAGCGTTGTCTCAGGGAGCTTTTGTTTTGTTACATTTGTGCATGAGGAGTCCTGGTGATAGAGATTCCCTTCATTACTGGGGGGTCATGATATTTTTTTAAAGAAAAGCTAACAAACTCTCATGTGGTAGAAATAGAAGTTTGGAAGCTGACTGGGGTTGAAATCCTAGAGATGATGATCAGAAAGCCAGGTGCATGGCCTTTCCTTTAGAAAGACGCTTTGTTCTGTTAACAGATATTTAAAAAGCGCCTACTGGGGCCTCCCTGGTGGCACAGCGGTTGAGCACTGGGCTGCGAAGCTGCCCGCCGCCTCTGTAGCGCCAGTTCGATCCCCAACCACAGGGTGAGAGTCCCACATGGCGTGCAGACCTCTCCTGCCGCCCGCTGCTCCCCTCAGCAGTGTACCTCTGTCCATCTGCCTGTTCTGCTCCCCGCTCTGGCTCTGGTGAATTCTCTCACCCTCCTGCGCTTCTGACTATACTCAGTGCTTGTATAAAAAATAAATCTTTAAAAAAAAAAAAAGGTAGAGAAAAAAATAATATAAAAAGCACCTACTGTGCGCTGGGTACTGTGCTGTGCTGAGACAGTGGCGAGCAAGACAAGGTCCCTCAGGGATGCTAAAGCGTTGTGGCCCAACTCCCAGCGAGCACACTGACTGGCAGCGCCGAGAACACTTGTTGCTGGCGGGCTCCGCCAGTGGAAATGTGAGCCTGGGGTCATTTCAGTAAATGCAGTTGTAATTCTTGCAGGAATCTTGGCCTTTCTACCTCTGGACACTTTGGAGGCTCATCCAGCATGGCCAGGGAGTCCGCTCTACGAGGAGGAGAGGCTTTTCCCCAGCTCTCTTCTCCTTCTTGCAGCCCTGCTGGCCGGAAGCGTGGCGGGGAAGGAGGGGGAGCTTAAGCCAAGACTCCAGCCCCCGCCCCCCAGTTGGCTATGACTGAGGTGAGTCTAGGGTCCTCTGTCCTAACCCATGGTCCCCAAAGGCTAGTGCGGTCTCGGGTTTCAGGTGGAGTCAGGTGGTGCCTGGGATTAACTGGGAAAAGTTTCAGTAAAAAAGAAAGGGGAGGGAAGAGACTTTATAAAATGGACAAGGGTTAGTAGGACTGGAAATTGGGTGATGGAGACGTGGGGTCTGTTACGTGTATCTGTACTCGCCTGTGTTTGAAAATGTCCATCCTATTTAGTCATGAGCAATCACTTAAGTCAAGCAAAGCCAGCACAGACGGGTTTTCGGATCAGCCAGTCTGGATTTCAGTCTTGCCGAGGGGGCCTTGGGGACCATCATGTCCTCTCTCCAAGACTGTCCTGACCTATAAAACACAGGGCTGTCCACTCATAGGAGTCAGGGCTCTCGCTAGATGATCTTTGCCAAAGACCTGGCACCTTGACTGCGGGTGGGAGGGGACGCGGAGTGAGCTGCACCCTGCCCTGAAGTGCCTGACAGGGCGTTGCATTTCAGGAACTTGTGACCCTAAAGGACGTGGCCATGGACTTCACCTTGGAGGACTGGGAGCAGCTGGGACTGGATCAGGGGCACCTGTTCTGGGACACGGCACTGGACAACTACCAGAATCTCTTCCTGCTGAGTGAGTGTCCACCCTCAGCCTGGGGTCGGGCGGTCGCTGCCCTGCGTCACGGCCACCCATGGCTCCCATCACACAAGGCACCCCTCTTAGCAGTTAGGGAATAGCAGGAATAGACTTCGGGATATGAAATTGGGGTTCCCAGACGCCAGCCTTGCAACTGTATTAACCTGTGAGCCTGCCGTGTGGACCCTCTCACTGGGCGTGAACGCCGGCATGGGTCCCGGGCAGCTCCAGGGCCACAAGGCCCAGCTCCACATTCATGTCCCCTCAACCTGGTTGATTCATTTCCCTTCTGTAGTTCCTCAGTTCTTTCTTTTCCACAAGCAGAGAATAGTTTCAAAAGATAAAAAGAAAATCTGTATACTTGAAGCTCTTTGTTGATGTGACTTCACGCTGGGGCTGGTTTTCTCCCAACTGCTGAGCGCACCACGGACGCAGGTCTGGGGGGGATCTGACCTTGGTGGCTTTCGGATTTTTGAACCACCGTCCATGGTAGAAACACATTTGCCCTCCTCCCTGCATACGTGTGAGCACATACGAGTGACGCGGTCAAGGTCCTGTGATGACGGGACTGGCGGGGCGCACATCAGTACGTGGCCGCACAGACCCAGGTGCAGCCTGTCAGCGCCACCTACGAGTCCCAGGTCACCCTGGCCGGAAACTCAGTGACGAAACTCAGTGACGCGGCGTATAACTGCCCCGGGCTCCTAATGCTGCCTCCACGCGCGCCGTTGCGTTTGAACAGACACTTGAAACGAGGCACATTTATCCTGACCGTTGGGGGTCACCAGTGTGAAATGGGTCTGAGGGGGCAAAATCAGGGTGTTGGCGGGTGACGCTCAGGGAGAGGATCTGGTTTCTCAAGGTCAGGTGCCTGCCTCCACGGTTGGCTCCAGCCCTCATCCTCAGCCCACCGGGGCTCGTCCTCCCCATGGCCGTGGCCCTGGTGATGACTCGGCCCTTGCTGGAGGAAGCTCCGCCGTCACAGGGCCTGGCCTCGGAGCTGGGGTGAGTGCACCCGCCACCGAGTGGGTGGGTGTGCGTGACTGAGCATGTGCCTCCGGCTGGCAGAATGCTTGTCGCTTAAGGGGCCCTGCAGGTCCTTGTGTCCCCAGCCCCGGCTGTCATAGCTCTGCCCGCCCTGGTATGCCTCAGTCCCTCCTCCACCGGACCAGGAGCCCTTAGGGCTGGCATCCTGGGCCGGCCCAGTGCAGCACTGGCTCTTAGCGGTGGGCTCCCGAGGAAGCATCTGCTGTCGGGAGACCAGAATGTTCCTGCTGGATGGGCCGCCACATCCTGATTGATGAAAATGCTGTTCTCTCCCTGCAGACCCCACCAGGCCCAGTCTCATGGCCCACCCGGATGGTGGGGATGAGCTGGAGGCTCAGCAGAGAGGAAGCCTGGAAGCCACGGGCCCAGGTGAGGTGGGGGGGGCCGCCAGCCACTGGGCTGAGAGTGCGGGTCCTTTGTGTGCACTTTCTCCTCAGAACTTCCAACCAGATGTTGCAACACTCGCGTTCTGGGGTTCATGCTCACCGGCTTCTGTCCTCTTGTCCCCAGCACAGCTGCATGCCTGCTTGGCCATTCCCCACAGCCTTCAGCATGTGGCCGTCTCAGTGCCTTTTCTCTGCTCCCTCTTCAACCCTGCCAGACTCGGCGTTGGTGGTGGGGTGGGGAGAGGCGCCTCACCTTCTCCCTGCGCCCTCTGCGCATTGTTCCCCACTTGCGTCATCCAGTCTCCCCTCTGGCCCACAGGATACAGGAGATGGCCACATCTGTTAACTCATGCCTAGGCCTGACTGCCCTCTCCCAGGCCACAGCCTTCCTGGAGGCTCAAGTTAGGGAGTGAGGAGTCCAGGCATTCCCCTGGTCCGGACGGCCCCCATGGGAGAAACCAGTGATGGGCATCACTAGGTCACTAGCATGCGGGAAGGGCCTTTACTGGGAGGCCATGCAGCACCGACTGACAGCGCCTCTCAGCCCCACTGCCCCCCCCACCCCCGCCACTGCACACAGTCCCGGGCTTGCCTCCCTAGGGCGTGTGCCTCACCACCCTCCCCTTGAGCACACTCGTCTGCAGCAGCTGGGGTCTCTGTCTCCTCCACCTGGACATGTGGGCGGCCACACTCAGTGGCAACCAGATGTGTCCACTACTAGTCGCTCCGCCCCTTGAGCAGCGCTGAGTCCCCACAGAGAGGTACCTCCCTGGGCCCGTGGTGGCCAGCAGCCCTCCTGAACACAGCTCTGTTCCTTGGGGTGCCACAGCCAGGTCACACTGTGCACTTTCTCCTTTGTCCCCTTGACGGACGGGCTGAACTCAGGACCCATCTGTTCCCGTCTGGGTTCGCACTCTCCCACTTCTGTCTTTTCACCCCGGGCGACAGGAGCCATTGGAACTTTCTTTTCTTTCAGATGCAGCTGAGGCCAAGACCTCCCTGCCACAGGACTTTTTGGAAGAAGGACTCTCCCTGGAGATTGTGGAGACATTTTCCACGGATGGCCTCATGAACCCCAGTCTGGGGGAAGCCAGCATGGGCGAGAGCTGGTTAAACAGTTTCCTAGAAGATCCAGAAAGTGTTCTGCACTTTGACGTTGTCACCAACAAGGAAAGCCCCACGGAACGCAAGAGTCACAAATTCCAGAGAGCCCCGAGTCCTGAGTCCCTCCTTTTCACAGGCGAGGACTTCATGCTGCACGGTCTCCCTGATGAGAGCCCCGCACCGGCCCGGTCTCAGGGATGTAGCAGTGACTTTGGCCACTGCTCAGATCAGGCCCGGCAGGAGGCGGCCCAGCCGTCCCGCGGGGAGAAACCCTATAAATGTAGTGAGTGCGGGGTGAGCTTCGGCCACAGTTACCATCTCATCCAGCACTGGGTCTCTCACACTCGGGAGGGCCCCGCCCTGCGCCAGGAGTGCCAGGATGGTCTCAGCCAGAGTCCCTGCCTCTCCGTGCCCGGGGCTCACGTGGGCTTCAGAGCCTGTGTGTCTAGCCGACGTGGGCAGGACCCCGGTCAGGGTACACAACTGAGGCCAGAGAAAGCTCACTCTGGAGAAACACCCCCGAAGAGCAGCCGCAGTGAGCACGCCTCAGGGCACAGCCCGCTGCCTGCAGAGCCCCAGAAAACGCAGCCAGGCCGGACCTACCAGTGTGGCGAGTGCGGGAAGAGTTTCGGCCGGGCCTTTCGTCTCAGGCAGCACCAGAAGACCCACACTCGGCCACGCTATGCGTGTGCCAAGTGCAAGGCCACGTTCGGCTTCCGTAAGCACCTCCTCCTGCACCAGAAGACCCACGCTGCGCAGGCCACCTCTGGGCGCCGGGATTTGGGAACGGCCTCGGGGCGGGGCTTGTCGCGCGGCACGGACCCGTCGGCGCCAGGGAAGCCTCATAAGTGTGCCGAGTGTGGGAAAACCTTCCGCCACGCCTCAACTCTGAAGATCCACCAGAGGGTTCACAGCAGGGAGAAGCCCTACCGGTGCGGCGAGTGCGGGAAGGCCTTCTTCCGGGTCACACACCTCAACGAGCACCGGAGGATCCACACGGGCTACCGGCCCCACCAGTGTCACAGGTGCGTCAAGAGCTTCAGCCGGCCCTCCCACCTGATGCGACACCAGTCCACCCACGCCGCGGAGGGGCCCTACGGCTGCCCCAGGTGCAAGGAGACCTTCAGCCGCAGCGAGCACCTGGCTCAGCACCAGAAGATCCACGCTGTGGAGACCCCCTATGAGTGCCAGGAGTGTGGGGAGCGCTTCATCTGCCGCTCGACCCTGACCTGCCACCAGAGCCTTCACACCAGAGAGAAACAAGGAAGTGATGAGGGCGGGGGTGTCTCGAGTCAGACCCCAGAACAGAGGGAGCACCCAAGGATCGATGAAAAGCGCTTTAAGTGCAAGAAATGCGAGAAAACCTTCACCTGCCAAAAATACCTCACTCAACACGAGAGGATTCATGCCAGGGTGAAGCCCTTCAAGTGTCATCAGTGCGGGAAAGCCTTTGGGCAGAGCGCACAGCTCGTTGGCCACCAGAGGACCCACTCCAGGCTTAGGCCGCACGCGTGTGGGGCCTGCGGGAAAGCCTTCGTGCGCAGCACCGCCCTCGCCAAGCATCAGGCTGTCCACACCGGCGAGCGCCCCTTGAAGTGCGGCGAGTGCGGACAGACCTTCAGGCAAAGCGCCCTCCTGTTGGAGCATCAGGTAGTTCACACCACAGAGAAACCCGTTAAGTGCAGTGAGTGCGACAAGGTCTTTGCCCACAGCCACTACCTCATTCAGCACCAGAAGAATCATGCTGCAAAGACTTGTGAATGTCAAGAATGCGGGAAAACATTCCAGCGGAACTCGTGCCTTGCTAAGCATCAGAGAATTCACACGGGTGAGAAGCCCCACGTGTGTGGCGACTGTGGAAAAACCTTCAGTCTAGGCACCCAGCTCACCCGGCACCAGCGGGTCCACACCAGAGTCAAGCCTTACGTCTGTCAGGAATGCGGAAAGGCCTTCAGTCAGAGCTCATGCCTTGCTGTCCACCTGAGAATCCACACTGGGGAGAAGCCCTACCTGTGTGCCGAGTGTGGGAAAGCCTTTACCCAGAAGGCAAATCTGACACAGCACGAGAGGATGCACACTGGGGAGAGGCCTTACGTCTGCGACGTGTGTGGCAGAGCCTTCAGCCTCAGCGCCCATCTCATTCAGCACCGGAGGATCCATACCCAGGAGAAGCCGTACCGGTGCCAGCACTGCCAGAAGGCCTTCCGGAGCTGCTCTGGTCTCAGCCGACACCAACGGGTCCACACTCAAAAGTAGGCCTCTGGGCCCTGCCTGTGGCTGCCAGGGGGCGGGGGGGAATCTCAGACACCGGAGGAAGTAGTCAGCTAAGGCCGGAAGTTGAGATCATTACATGGCAAGCTTCCCCTCCCTGAACAGGTGTATCTGTACTAATAAAGGTTGATGACAGGTTTCACAGTTTCGTCAGGACAACGGGAACAGAGTGGCGAGGATCTAGTGGGTCGGACTGCAGAGGTAGAGACGCTAGTGTCTGCTGAGCTAAATCCTAACTAAATCTGCTCCCTAGACGGCCTGGGAAAGAGTCGCAGATCCCCTGAGCCTCGGTGTCCTCATCTGTAAAATGGGCGTGCTAACACTTCACCTACCTCAGGGCTGTTTGATGATGTCATGCAGAAACGTAAGGTGCTGAGGATGAGCACCCAGTGCACAGCACTCCGCAAGGGTGGCTGCAGGTAGCGTTGGGTGTGACAGAAATGGCCTTGCAGTTTGAAGGGAAGAAGTAGCTCCTGTCTCGACTTTCTGTGGTTAATGTTCTTATTAATGTTCGCTGCAGCTTCTGACGTTTTTCTCCAAAATGCCCTTTGCTTAATTCAGTTCCAATTTCTTTTTATGTTGAGCCTTTTCTTCCTTCCCTCCATCTCTTCTACTTTTTTGCTTCATTAACCCTCAGAAAGCCAAGGAAAGCTTTTAAACTAATGTCAAATGGCTAGAATTTTCTATTCCAAAACCTCTCACTCGGAAGGAACCCCTTCCACATTCACATGCCCCCTCTTAAATCTCCCCCCTCAAGTTGTCATGCAGCGCGGGACTGGGTTTGATGATGGATGAGTCTGGAGTCAGTTGGGGGCGCCTCAGTTAACACAGTCCGCAGAGGCACTCGCTGGCACAGTTCGTGACGTGGAAACTTGCTGGGATGTTCCTCCTCGTTTAACTAATCTGGCCGCTTGCTGGGGCTTTGCTAGATCCCAGGGCTGGGAATACAATCCTGCCTCTGCCTTGAAGTTTCTCTCACTGAAGGGAAATCAGTGACCCCATTTTCAGAGGATCCATGTCCGTGCACTAATAACATCTTGGAGTAGCACACTGCTCACATCACAGCAAGTTCTAGGACCCCATGTGGAAACCCTGTTACTGGAGCCCTGGGACCCACCACTCACCTTGGCCATGCTGAGTCACCTCAAGAACCCCGAGAGCAGCTCCCCCTCAATGGCGCCTCCTCACTCAGGTTCCTGCGTCCTCTCCGCCCAGGGAGCTGGTCACGCTGCTGGAACACAGACCTTGTGAAGACGCAGACACTGACACCTGGACTGCTTCCTGACTTTGGTGCTGAAGATGTTTTAGGGGCATGTACCCCGGCTTTGTCAGCCTCACACCTGCTTAGTTTTGTTGAAACTGGGAACATATTGGGCTCACAGTAGGGTGCCAGCTAGTTGTGCAGTGACCCAACATTTAACCGCCCGCCCGTCGGGTGACTGACCTGCTGTGTGGCAAGTGGGGTGGGATCAGGCAGAGGAGGGGCTCAATTTGATAAGTCTATGTTCAGTATGTTTTGATACCCTAAAATAGAGGTGAAGGCTGGTGGGAAATTGACAGCCAGGGGCAGAGGTGGGAGACAGAGGTCTGTTGTTTGTGCCTTACGTCGCTGTGGGTTGGTGTAGAGCTGCCCTCCGTGTCTACAATGAAGAAATGCTCTTGTACGCGTGTTTGTTCTCTGATTAAAGTTTTGAATCTAAAAACAGGTTGCTTCTTTGAGCTCACGCCAAATACATGGGCAGATGCTGGCTAGCCCAGTCCCTGCCTGCCACGAGTGTCCCTGTTGGGGTGCGGGTGCTTGCACTGGGAAAAGTGCCCCATGAGGGGCAGGTCAGCCTGTTGCCCTGGAGTCTGGGTGGAACATGGGCCGCCATTCAGCTGGCCCTGAGATGGGGCATCAGGACACGCTTCTGGCATTGTCCCTGTGGCAGGAGACCCCATGGATGGTGTGTTGTCCGCTCCCCACTCAGACGCAGCCAGGCTTGGGCATTAATTGCAGCTGGAACAATTATTTTCCTGTGGATGGTTATTTAAATCCTCTCCTGTTTTCCCCCCCTTCACTGACAGGAGAGGGGCCTCAGGGGAAGCTGACCCCACCCACAGCTGCACCTCACACCTGCAGCCTCTGGAGCAGTGAGAAAATGCAGCTGCCAGACAGGGATTGTCAGGGCAGCCCCTGCAGACTAGCCAGTAATGTGCTGCTAAACTACAGGACACCTGAGCGGTCGTTTTATCGTTGTACGAAGTTGTGGGGTGTGATCCAAAGGAGTAGATGGTGCTGCCCACCTGGGCCATGCACAGGGCCCATTGTGCACACCAGATCTGCCACGAACCAAATTGCCCAGTATCACAGGGCTGTTCAAACAACATTAAGTTTTTAAATGACAGGTGTCTGATCTTCAAGCATTTTATTTTCTGTCATTGAACAAATGCACACTGAGGGTCTACCAGGTGCAGGCACTGTCCAAAGTGCTGGGGATGGAGTCAGGAGTCAAACCACCCCTGAGGAGTTCACATTTCAGTTGGAGAAGAGACAGACAATACGTAATAGGTGAAACACAGGATCCCAGATACACCTTAGGGAGAACAAGAAAGCAGGGAATGGGCTACAGAGGTTCAGGATAAGGGGGACTGCTAATTGAAGAGAGGGGCTGGGCCTCCCCGGTGGCACAGCCAGTTGAGTGCTGTGAAGCAGTCTGCAGCTTCAGCAGTGCGGGTTCAATCCTGGCCGGTCATCGAGAATCTCACATGGCGCAGTAGACCTCTCCTGTCACATCCGCTGCTCCCCTCAGCAGTGTATTTCTGTTGTCTGCCTTTTCTGCTCCCCACTCTGTCTCTGGTGAATCCTCTCACCCTCCCGTACCTCTGGCCTATACCCCAGCAATTCTATAAAAATAAATCAATCTTTAAAAAAAAGAAGGGGGGGGGCTAAGGAACAGCCCTTCTGAGATGAATGAATAGAGCCCCAAAAGAAGGAAATGTGTAACAAGCATATCTGTGAGAAGAGTTCCAGGCAGAGGAAACAGCAGAAGTGAAGGTACTGAGATGGACCTAGTGCAGTAGAGAAGCAGCAAGGAGGGCCACGTTGCTGGAGCCACCATAAGGGGAGAACCTGCCTTGGAATGAGCTTAACCAAAAGATAGCAGAACTGACAGGTCACCTGGATACAGCTGTTCCTGAGGCAGGAACACTTCAATTCCATAATTGAAGTCTGTAAAATTCTCTGTTTCTTAAGCAAGCAGAAAACTCTTGGCTGATAATAAATACCTACTTCATACCACAAACCATAAAAAAAGCACAGATGGGGTAAGATTTTATTTTATTTTATTTTATTTTATTTTTTTTTTTTTTATATAGACGCATGTTTTACTTATTTATTTATTTGTTTGTTTTGTTTATACAAGCACTGGGTACAGTCAGAAGCGCGGGAGGGTGAGAGAATTCACCAGAGCCAGAGCGGGGAGCAGAGCAGGCAGAAGGACCGAAGTACACTGCTGAGGGGAGCAGCGGGCGGCAGGAGAGGTCTGCGCGCCATGTGGGACCTTCCTCTGGTGGCCGGGGAGCAGCCGGGGATCGAACCGGCGCTACAGAGGCTGCGGGCAGCTTTGCAACCCAGCGCTCAACCGCTGCGCCACCGGGGAGGCCCCGATGGGGTAAGATTTTAAAAATTAAATTTTAAAAGATGCTAAAAATTAAAAAGTTCAGAAAATAAATAATCTCAGGGCTGAGGAAAGCCTTTTCCAGCATGTTAGTAAATCTGATTGCTATAAAAGAACATACGAACAGGGCCTCCCCGGTGGCGCAGCGGTTGAGCGCTGGGTTGCGAAGCTGCCCGCAGCCTCTGCAGCGCCGGTTCCATCCCCGGCTGCTCCCCGGCCACCGGAGGAGGGTCCCACATGGTGCGCAGACTTCTCCTGCCGCCCGCTGCTCCCCTCAGCAGTGTACTTCGGTCCCTCTGCCTGTTCTGCTCCCCGCTCTGGCTCTGGTGAATTCTCTCACCCTCCCGCGCTTGACTGTACCCAGTGCTTGTATGTATGTATGTATAAATAAATAAATAAATCTTAAAAAAAAAAAAAAAAGAACATACGAACAGATCTGAATATCTAAAATTTTTTTAAAATTTATTTAGGCATACAAGAGCTGGGGTACAGGCCAGAGGTGTGGGGGGGGGTGAAAGGATTCACCAGAGACAGAGTGGGGAGCAAAACAGGCAGACTGAATTACACTGCTGAGGGGAGCAGTGGGCGAGACAGGAGAGGTCTGCTGCGCCATGCGGGTTGCTCCCTGGCCAGCCGGGGATTGAAATGCTGCAAAGGCTACGGATTGCTTCATAGTGCGGTGCTTAACCCCTTGCGTCACCAGGGAGGCCCTGAATATCTAAAAATTAAAAAATTCTGTATAGCAGAGTATATCACAAAATTGAGAAGGAAATAAAAAGCTGGGAGAATGTGTTTATATGTACAAACACCTGCCTGTTTGTTTATACAAAAAGGCAGCCCAGTGAAAAATGGGCAAAATGCATGAAAACGCAACCCACAGAAGACAAAACATCAATAAACTCATAAAAAGTTAATTCATTTCACAATTTTAACCTGTCTGATCAGAAATGTAAAAAAGAGAAGAACACTAATACCAAGTATCTGTGAAGGAAGTGGAGGAACAGAGAAACAGGTACTCATAATGCCTCCAGAGTCATGCAGGTTCACTGCTTTTGGGGGGAGAGTGTTTATTAAAATTTTAAACATGGACATTTATGATCGCATGAGTTAATTTCTAGGAATTCATGTAGAAATTCAATGTCCAATGATGGAAAAGAAAACAAAACCACCTAAATTTCCATTAATAGAGATTAATTAAAAAAATTTAAACCCTAGCCTAGCATGAAATGGTATGCAATTATTAAATGATTCTCCTGTCTCCCTGCAGCTCCCCTCAGCAGTGTACTTCGGTCAATCTGCCTGTTTCGTTCCCCACTCTGTCTCTGGTGAATCCTCTCACTCCCCACACCTCTGGCCTATACTCTGGTTCTTAAGAGTCTACAAAAATAAATAAATCTTAAAAAAATAAAGATCACAGATGAAGACACTTCCCATCCACAGCACCTATTTTTACACCATGTATGAAACGTTTTTTATGTTGTCATAAGAATATGTTCACATGATGTCAAATGAAAAGTGACTTCTAAAATCTGACGGATGCACTTGATTTGTACTACAAAGCTTATATATTTATATACGGAACATCAGTTTTATAAAAACAAAAAGGGAGGTTCACATTCATAGAATAAAGTTTAGAATCTTTGGGATGGAGATTTATAGAGCTGTAGGTTTCTTCATGTTCTGTTGTCTCAATTATTCACAACAAATGAGTATTACTTCAGCCTCAAAAACCACCACAGAATGGTGGCGCAGGGGTTGTCTCAGTACTATCAAGCTATAGGAAACCACTGTGGCCTGAGTTTGATCCCTGGCCAGGGAGCTGACCCAGATGGCGCAGCAGACCTCTCCTGATCCACCTGCTGCTCCCCTCAGCAGTGGATTTCAGTCCATCTGCCTGTTCTGTTCCCCACTCTGTCTCTGGTGAGTCCACTCACCTCCCACACCTCTGGCCTGTACCCCAGTTCTTACATGCATAAATAAAATAAATCTTTAAAAAAGCCGTCATAGAAGATTAGTGGAAATAACCTGGTTAAGACCTTCAGGCCTATTAATAGTTACACGGATGATGCTGGCGAGCCACAGCCAGAGCCAATCAAATTGCTAACTGACACAGAATTTCTGGGAAAGCACTGGCCCCACACAGGGGTCACAGAGACATTTCATGTGTGTTACATATATGGAACATAGTCACCTGAAGCGTGCAGAGGGTCCAGAGCGAAACTTCTGGAGCCAGACTCCTAGGGCTTAAATGCAGTCTAAGCCACCTCATAGCCCTAAGACTTTGGCCACTTCCTGTGCCTCAGTGTCCTCACCTATGAAATGGAACAGTGCTCATGGTGTACTGAAGGGGTGAAACCAACATTATTTCTACACCCAGAACACCAGGGTTGTTGAGAGAGTGAAAGTAGTTCACATGGGCCAAGGGTTGAGAAGAGAGCCAAGCAAGATCCAAAAAGAACCAGTCACTTTATGTGACACATGAAGAGATGATGTGATTGGCGCAGTGGGTCTGGGGGCTCACCCCGAGTCTGGCAGGCAGATTAGGTCCAGCCCTTGGAAGGCAGTAAGACAACGTGTTTCAGGAAGCAGGAAGATGGTCAGCGTGTAGATTCTGTCATTCTTACCCTGAGGATGTGACTTAGAGAAAGAATCCCCTCAAAAGGAGAGAGGAGGGCCTCCCCTGGTGGCTCAGCGGTTGAGTGCTGGGCTGCGAGGCTGCCTGCAGCCTCTGCAGCGCTGGTTCGTTCCCGGGCCACCGGCGAGGGTCCCACAAAAAAAAAAAAAAAAAAAATGGAGAGAGGAAGCACAGAAATGCTCATAGTAACATTCATAGTTGCGAAAATTCATGTACACCCTGTAGCAGTCGGGTACAAAGTCTAAATGGAGGGTGGATTTATAAGCCATTCCACAGCCATCGATGAGTATGAGGTGTGTGTGGGGACGAGGGCAGTGCTCATGGCATGATGAAGGAAAGAGAAGCCAACATTGTTTCTACACTGATCACAATTAAATAAAATAACATTTCAAATATTTGGATGGAAACATGAAAAAATAAAAACAGGTCTACTGAGGGTGACCTAGTTGTAGGTAGAGACATTCACTTTTTTTTTTAATCCCCAAAGGTCAATATATAAAAATCCCGTGGCGCAGGGGTTAAATTCAGCACTATCAAGCTATCCTTAGCCACTGCAAGCTGAGTTCGATCCCTGGCCAGGGAGCTGACACACATAGTGCAGCAGACCTCTCCTGTCTCGCCCGCTGCTCCCCTCAGCAGTGTGTTTCTGTCAGTCTGCCTGTTCTGCTCCCCACTCTGTCTCTGGTGAATCTTTTCACCCCCTGCACCTTTGGCCTGTACCCCAGTTCTTGTATACATAAATAAATAAATCTTTAAAAAAAAAAAAAGAAACTAAAATCAGGCAGTTATTTTTGTTCAGTTATGCCTATCTGAAGTTTTTACTGGAATCTTCACAGCTATGGTTTTCCGGGGAACTTTCAGGCTCCAATTTAATGAATGGTTGATAAATGAAAGCGACTCAGAGAGACCACTTCTTATTAAAGTTCACAGATGAAAGGCCTCCCTGGGGGTGCAAGGAGTTAAGACACAAACTGTGAAGCTACCTGTAGCCACTGCAGCACAAGTTTGATCCCTGGCCAGGGAGCTACCCACATGGCACAGCAGACCTCTCCTGTCTCCCTGCAGCTCCCCTCAGTAGTGTGTTTCAGTAGATCGGACTGTTCTGCTCCCCACTCTATCTCTGGTAAATCCTCTCACCCCCCACACCTCTGGCCTGTACTCCAGTTCTTGTCTCCATAAATAAATCAATCTTAAAAAAAAAAAAAATCACAGATGAAGACACCTCCCATTTAGACCAGCCCCTAGGCACCCCACTATTTGGGGGTGTTTCAGGGTTGACAAATCCATGGAGGAAGCTCCGAAATTGAAAAGAAGCTGTCCCAGCTGGCACCATCCTTCCTCTAGGAAACAGAGAAACCAACTTTTCAGTGTGTTGTAGAGTTCCCCCCCACCCCAGGAGGAAGTCACTAGCATGAGTGACAGCTGACCAGAACCTGACAGAACAGCCAGTATGTAACCCTCAGGCCTGCTAGACAGCGGGAGTCATCTGACAGTCAGCAAGCTACAGGTGCCAAGCAAAGGCCTCCTCAGCTTCATTGCAGACACAGGCATTCTGCACAGTGTGAAGTCTGCGATGTTCAGTTAGGTGTGAACTCCAGTTGAAAGCCTCTCCACATTCTCTACACACATAGTGTTTGTCACCCAGATGAACTTTCTGGTGTTGTATAAGGTGTGAGATCTGGGCATAGGTCTTCCCACAGTTGCATCTATAGGGCTTCTCCCCAGAATGAATTCTCTGATGCTGGATAAGGTGAATGCTCTGGTTGAAGGCTTTCCCACACTCCTGACAGGCATAGGGTTTCTCACCAGTGTGAATTCTCTGATGCTGCGTCAGGGAGGACTTGTGACTGAACATTTTCCCGCATTCCCCACACTTATAGGGTTTCTCGCATGTGTGGATTTTCTGATGCTCAACGAGGTGGGTGCTCCGGCCGAAGGCTTTCCTACACTCACCACACTCATATGGCTTCTCTCCGGTGTGAACCCTCTGGTGTTGAATGAGGTGGGAAATCTGCGTGTAGGCCTTCCCACAGACTTTACACTCATAGGGCTTCTCCCCTGTGTGAATCCTCTGGTGGCGCGTCAGAGAGGAGTTCTGGCTAAAGGTTTTGCCACACTCATTACATTTGTAGGGCTTTTCGCCGGTGTGAATTGTCTGATGCTGAGTGAAGGATGAAGTGTGGCTGAAAGCCTTTCCACACTCGTGGCAGACATAGGGCTTCTCCCCCATGTGAATGCTCTGGTGCCGCATGAGGTGGGAGATTTGTGTGTAAGCTTTCCCGCACTCATTGCAGCAGAAGGGCTTCTCACCAGTGTGAATCCTCTGGTGCTGAGTCAGGGAGGAGCTGTGGCTGAAGGCTTTGCCGCACTCAGGGCACTCGTAGGGTTTCTCTCCAGTGTGAACACGCTGGTGCTGGGTGAGGGAGGAGCTGTGGCTGAAGGTTTTCCCACATTCATTACATTTGTAGGGCTTCTCCCCGGTGTGGATGGTCTGATGCTGCCCCAGTGAGGAGGTGTGGCAGAAAGCCTTGCCACACTCCCCACACTTGTAGGGCTTCTCCCCTGTGTGGATCTTCTGGTGGCGGGTGAGATGGGAGACCTGCGAGTAGAACTTCCCACACTGACTGCACTTATAGGGCTTCTCCCCGGTGTGGCAGCGCTGGTGTTTGATGAGGGAGGAGCTCTGGGTGAAGGCCTTTCCGCACTCCGTGCACTTGTATGGCTTCTCTCCGGTGTGGATCCTCTGGTGCTCGGTGAGCGACGAGCTCTGGGTGAAGGTCTTGCCACACTCGCTGCACGTGTATGGCTTCTCCCCGGTGTGGATGATGTGGTGCTGAATGAAGTACGAGCTGTTACTGAAGGCTTTCCCACAATCCTGACACTTGTAGGGTTTCTCCCCGGTGTGAATTCTCTGGTGGAGCACATAGTCTGCGTGGTACACGAAGGCCTTCCTGCATTCTGCGCAGCTAAATGGCTTCTTTTCCACAAAGGTCCAGTGGCATTTCAAGCTCTTTCTTGGCCTCTTCCTCTTCAGAGGCCTCTCTCCACCCAGCACTCTCTGCTTCCTCACGAAGGCAGAGACACGCCGGAGGCTTCTCCCAAGTTCTTTATAGCTAAGGCTTCTCTCCCCACAGGTGTTTTCCTTGGGAGGGGCAAACAAACATCCCATATGCCTCTCTTGACTTCCCTGGTCCTCTGACAGACAGGGGCCCAGCCTGGAACATCCCCACTTGGCATCTCCAAGTACAGCCCTCAAAATTCCCTCCACCTTCCCCAGCTGGGAAGCTGCCTCTTCAGAAATACTCTTTTTTGGACAAGTCTCCTGAGCAGACGCAGAGCTTGACGCCAAGTCTGAAAGAGATGGAAAACATGAAAGTCGTATACTCCGGGACACAGGGCGCCGACTGCAGCACCTGCATTGTGCACTTAAACAGTTTCAAAGTTTCTGTTGCTCTTTGGAGAGGTGTGAGGGAGATACAGTCACACTGTGTCATGGAAGGAAAGCCTCAGTGTATTCTAAAAATGAAAAGAACCGAGTTGCAAAACAGTTTATGCGCACACAGCTTTATTAGCCACAGTATATAATAAATGTTTACAAATCAGCGAGAGAGAAAAATCTAGTAGACAGTGAAGAATATCACTCAACAATCCACAGAAGGAAATCAAGGGGCTGACCAGTGTGTGAAAAGACGTTTGACGCCGGTACCGGTCTAAATAATCAACTATGGTGTCGTCTAACACCTTTACGCAAGAAAATCTTAAAAACGGCAAAAATAACCAGAGTTGACCAGTGTTGTAGCGGGGGCATTCCCGCCAGGCTGGAGGGAGTGTGCAAGGGGAGAGTTCACAGGGCTGGACAGCCAGGGCCAGGACCTGATGGCTGTGGTGGGTGATGGGGGATAAGGCCTGGTCACAGGGTGGGGTGAATAGTGGCAGGAGACAAAGATGCTTTAGTCCTGCCCTGTTGGAGTTCAGGCCATGGTGGGGTGTGTGTGTGTGTGTGTGTGTATGTGTGCGTACATGTGCAAAAATCTGGTTTCTTCCATTTCCCCAACAAGTCAGGCCAGGCCTCCCCACTCCTTGGCCTTTTCCTGGCAGCTCCCACGAAATAACCACAGTGATAACCCTCGTGGCCTACTGTGACTGCACCAGGCTCAGGGGTATGCTGTGTCTTAGCTCACTAAGTCCTCCCAACCCTAGGGATACTCACCCCATTTTGCAGGTGAGGAAACTGAGGCACAGCACAGCTCAGTGACTTGCCCAATGGTCTGCCAGCCCAGAGGCGGTGGGGCTGGACTTGGGGCCAGAGGCCCACAGTGATGGCCAGACTGGCGGGCACTGGGCACAGCAGGTGGCTAAGAAGACTAGACCCTGCCGGGCCGCACCCACCTGCTTGGGTTGCTCGCTGGCTTCCTCTCTCCTCCATCTTGGGCTCTTCCCCTCTCTCCAGGTATGAGATCACATCCGGTGTAGGCCCCAGGAGCCCTGTCCCTGGAAAAGGCAGGAGACTTAGCACAGGTGAGGATGGAGCCCAGGGGCTCCGCTATGTGGGGCTGAGGGGCGTTGCCAAGCAGAGAAGGGGACCTGAAGAACAGGTGGAGGAGTTCAGAGTGGGGTGTAGCGACTGTGAGGGGCCTGGATGGACAGGAGGCTGGTAGGTGGGTGAGCATAGTACTGGGGGCACATTTAGAGCAAAAAGCCATGTGCTTTGGGAAGGAAGTTCCGTGGACTGAGAAGACCAGTGACCTCCTGGAGCCAAGACACCAGATGCTGTGAGCAGCCTGAGGCCATGGGTCAGGGGAGGTTACCACGTGTGGAGACAGAGGCACGAGAAGAGGTTGGGGGCACAGGCTGAAGACCTTCTGGGACAGGCTGAGGACTCAGGGCCCTTGGGGAAGCCAACAGGGAAACAGACAGAGGCCACGCAGGAGGGTCCTGAGGAAAGAAAGAGGCACCTTGACCCCAGTGAGTGACACCGGGGGGTCAGCAGGAGTTGGGCACAGTAGAGACGAGGGCCTACGGGGGTGGGGGGTGGGGGGTGTGTGTGTGTGTGTGTTGCTTCCTGGGGAGGCGGGAGTGGGGCCTCACCCAGCGAGAGAAGGTTCTGGTAGTTCTCCAGCATCACGTCCCGATATAGCTTCCTCTGGCCGGGGCCCAGCTGGCCCCACTCCTCCCGGGTGAAGTCCACGGCCACATCCATGAAAGTCACCGATCCCTGCAAAGGCCAATTTCAAATGCTGGAGGGGTACATCCTTCGAGAACTTGGGGGCAGGAGAATGAAGAGCCTCCACCTGCTGGTAGTGGAACCACCTGGAACATTCTGAATCAGATGTGACAGGACTGGATCCAAGTGACCATGGAGTACGGAAAGGTTGAGGGACCTTGGCAGAAAGTAAAACAAGGCCCCCCTTCACATGCCTCCTCAGGGCCACCGGCTGGAAACCCTTCAAATAGAGCAATCCCTTCAGTAGGAGACGCTGACTGCTCTCTGCGTGCAGCTGCCATCTCACACCCACGCAGGAGGCCTGCGACATGGGCGTGCAGCTGAGGTGGGGCAGTTGGTGCAGTGCGCAGCCTGCACACCTGTACCTGGCAGTGCTTTTTTTTAACAAATAGGCTGTTGAGCATTAGAGGTTGATTCGTATTATTTATTTTAAAAATGAAACCTGCATGGATTGGTCACTAAGCATCATCTAAGTGCCAGGGTCACAGCTCCACTCCTCAATGTGGGCACACATCCACCACCTTGCCCCAGGGTTCTGCTGCCCCCCAGCGCCAGGGGACGGATTCTGAGGTCACCCCAGAGGATTCACATCAACACGCCCTGACCCTGGGCTCCTCTCCCCCAGCCCTGAGCTCCTCCCCTCAGGGCCGCCCCAGTACCGGGGAGCAGTGCAAAAGCTCTTCAGGCTGCACACGGGGACAGGGAAGAGGGAGCCCGGCTCACCTGGTCCTTGGCCTCCAGGGCCCTGGAGGCCATTGCTGAGGTCCCAACTCGCACGTCTGGAGGAATGTCCAGGCCTGAGTCTGTGCAGCTGGAGGAGAATGGAGGAGGGAGGGTCAGTTCTGGCCGACAGACAGACACACTGTCCCTAAAGACAGAGACAGAGAGGGCCCTGGCTGCGGGCTCAGGACCGGCTGCCTGCTGCGGAACCCCATTCTGTACCAACCAGCAATCATGGGGTTCTGCTCCCTGCACCCACAGTTCTCAGGACAGGAACTTCAGTTATCCACGGAGGAGGAAATCAGGGCACAAGGGGTCAAGGCACTCGCTCAAGGTCACAGGGACACCAAGTGTCAGGGAGGGACTGAGCTCAAGGTCTGGTCAGAGAGCCAACCCAGCCTCTCTTTTTTCTTATATTTAAAAAAAATACATATTTGCTCTATGTATTTTTTTTTTACGATTTTTATTTATTTAGTTATTTATTTATACAAGCACTGGGTACAGTCAGAAGCGCGGGAGGGCGAGAGAATTAACCAGAGCCAGAACAGGGAGCAGAACAGGCAGACTGTCGAAGTACACTGCTGAGGGGAGCAGCAGGTGGCAGGAGAGGTCTGCGCGCCATGTGGGACCCTCCTCCGGTGGCCGGGGAGCAGCCGGGGATCGAACCGGTGCTTCAGACGCTGCGGGCAGCTTCGCAACCCAGCGCTCAACCGCTGCGCCACCAGGGAGGCCCCTGCTCTATGTATTTTTGTGGAAAAATCCACATACTATAATATTTGCCCTCTTAACCATTTAAACCTAGTTATGGGAAAAGACACATACCATAAAGTGGACCATTTTAACTGCTTAGGGAGAAGCAGTTAAACATGAAGTACGATCACCGCTTTCTAGTTCCAGTACAATTTCACCGTCACCGCAAAAGGACAATCTCCACCCACTCAGCAGTCATTCCTCCAGGCCCGACCCCCAGTCTACTCGTCTGCTTCTCTGGATCTGCCTCCTCAGGACATTTCCCAGAAGTGGGGTCCTACAACATCTGACACAAAGGGGGTCTTCCACGTGACAGCAAGTGTCCCTGCTTTCATGGCTGAATGCTAGCCCACCCGACGGAGAGACCCACTCTCCAGAGTTCCTTCTGTCTGTCGTTCTGTCCCCTCCTCCTGCTTAAGTATCCTGGACACCTGCTTAAGATGTTCCACCTGCTGAAATAAACTTGCCAATGAGAAGTGGAGGGGTCGTTCATTCATTCATCATTCATCAGACACACTCAGAGTATGCTGGAGTGAGAGGCTCCATCCAGGCAGGGTTAGGGGCCAGAAAGGTGAGAGCAACCTGGCTTAGCCTTCCCGAGCTTCCCTGACTGGTGAGGGAGACAGATCTGGACACTGACCAGGTGGGGGCTGAATAAGGACCCCGAAAGATATCCTAGGAAGCTGTGATGGGACTAAGTCAAGCATCTTTCAATGGGAAGATGATCCCGGATTGGCCTGGAAGAGCCCTAAATCCCAGGTGTCCTTAACAGAGCGGGGTGGAAGGAGGCTTGACCAGAGGAGGCAGCCATGTGACAGGAGGAGGAAAAGCAGAGTCGGAACGCAAAGTCACTGTCCCCCGGGTGCTGAAGGCAAAGGATGGGGCCACTACCTAAGCCATGCAGGCAGCCACAGCAGCTGGGATGTCTGGGTGCCTCCAGAAGGAGGCTGGCTCCGCTGAAACCTTGACTTCAGCCCAGTGGTTTACACCACTGAGATCATGGTCCTTCGTTACAGCAGCAGCAAGACCCTGATACATTCCAGGAGTAAGAAGACTCTGTGCCTGGCCTGAGTGGGACAAATTCCATGGGGTACCAGCTCTGGAAGCTGTATCCAGCGGGTGTTGTCTTGGTGAGGAAACGAGGAACAGAGCCGTACAGAGTCTTAACTAGCTCCCCTCCAGTCGCGTATTAATCCCAGAAAGAAGAGGCTAACTTTATAGAGGGGAGGGCCCTGGCAGACACTGCCTTAGCCAAGAGGTCAAGGCTGAGGTGACCAGTGATGAGGCAAACAGAGAAGGACGAGGCATGGCTCTTGGGGTCCTCCTGCCAACAGCCTACAACCTAAGTCTCATTGTGAGCAAACAGCGGAGGGACGTTCTGGAAGGAAATGTTCTGTAACCTTCAAAACTGCCAAGATCAGGTAAAAGCGGGACTGAGGGCTGTTCCAGCTTAAAGGAGGCAGACAAGACCTATCAGCTCAGGCTGAGTGGGCTGCGCCAGCACTTTCTTTTGCCAGTGAGGACGGTGTTGGGCAGTGAGCAGAGTTTGGAGGAGGTCTGCAGGTGAGCTGATATTTATCAGTGCTAACTTCCTTTTTTTTTAAGATTTATTTATTCATACAAGAGCTGGGGTACAGGCCAGATGTGTGGGGGCTCTGTGTGTGTGTGTGGGTGTGTGTGAGTGAGAGAGAGAGAGAGAAGATTCACTAGAGACAGAGTGGGGAGCAGAACAGGCAGACTGACTGAAATACACTGCTGAGGGGAGCAGCAGGTGAGACAGGACAGGTCTGCCCCACTATGTGGGCATCTCCCTGGGCGGCGGGGATAGAACCTGCACTGCAGAGGCCACAGGTCAGCCTCACAGGGCTGCGCTCAACCGCCTGCACCACCAGGGAGGCCCTCAGTGCTAACTTTCTAACTGTGATCATTAAGGACGAGAATGACCTTGACTTTAGGGGGAAAAAAAAGACTGGAGCACAGAGACCCAGAAAACGGGGAACAGAGATGCAGAGAGAAGGGGGACAGGGGCCTAGAAAGAGGGGGACAGGGACCCAGAGAGAGGGGGGACTAATGATGGTTGGGAGGGTAGGGGGAGATCACAGGGAGACCGAGAGACAGGGACGATGCTCAGGGTAAGGGGCCAGAGGCCGGGGGCGTCACTGCGCAGGGCAGCTGAAGCTTTCCCGTGAGACTCCCCAGCGTGTGACCCCCCCAAGTCCGCGGCTCCCACGCTCTGTGACCAGGGAGGCGCTGCGGGCGGGGTCCCAGCCGTTCCTTTCCCTGGGAGGCGAGGAAGGCACACACTCCCCCCGGGGGCTCGCGGACTCCGGCTCACAAGGGCGCCCCGCTCCCGGAGCTGGGGCTTGCGCCCACCAGCAGGGTGGCAGGAGGGGGCGGGGGCGGCTCCCTGCTCGCTGCCCTCCTGTCCAGGCCGACGGGGCTCGCCCGAGCACCCGCCTGCCCGACCGCCCGCACCCACCCGCTCCCGCTCGGGTTCGGGCTCGGGCTCCCCGAGGCAGCCAGGACTCACCTGAGCTGCCAGGCCTGCACCGCCCGCGGGCCGCGGAATGCGCCTGCGCACTCGCTGTCCCGGACCTTTAAATGCTGTTGCTAGGCTGGACTACACTTCCCAGAAACCATTGCGCACACGCTCTTCTCAGCCTAACGCCTCTGAGGGCGACGGAACGCTGGGAAATGAAGTCCGGCAGCAGGGTAGAGGCAGTAGAACGCGTTCTAAATTCACAGCATCTTTGCAGCTGAAGGAAACCTGGTCTTTGGGAAGTGTCTGGCTGCCTCGGCACCGCGAAGATCCCCATGTCAACCAGTCTTCACTGACTCTCACCGAAGGTGACGACATAGTCCATTTAACCCATCCAAGCCCACGGTCTTCTAAATTTATTTTTATTGAGGTAACACTGATTTCCAACACTGTACGATCTAGAGGTACAGGATCACCCCGTTCAGTTATTGTTACCACACTGCACCCACCACGAAGACACCCTAGTCCTCCACCCTAGGCTGCTGTGCTCCCCACTTTGTCCTCCCCTCTTCCCTCTGGTACTCTCAATTCTATAGTCACTCCGCAATGATTGCAGAATGCATCTTGGTCTGCTAGCCGTTTGGGAAATAAACTAGATACCACACTACTTAAGGAGAGACTTCACCAAAAACTCGCAAGTTTGGGGTTCTATTGAAAAATACGACGCTCTGAAGGTGCTGAGGCTGGAGTGGAGGATTTCCTCCCTTTTTTGAGCGGGACCTGCAGTTGTTCACTTTACCTACAGGGGCCCATGAAAAATGGGAGGTTTCAATCCCACACCCTGGGAAAACCTGCAAGCCCCTGCCGCTGGCCTTTAAAGCCCTTGCGTGCAGGCGTCAAGGCCGACTTCGTGGTTTTTGCCTCCACCACCGCCATGCCCATTCACGCAACAAATGTCTTCCAAGGGTCTGCTCTGGGCCCAGCAGAGTGCTGGGCACCGCATCTCCGGTTAAACTCCGCCTTATCACCCCCGCCCCCTCCTTCCCAGGCACTTATCGTTGAAATCCGGAAAGGGATATTAGCGGTTTGGATCAACTTGTACCAAGAATTCGGGCAGCGAGAGATTTACATGAATGCCACCCAAACCTATTCAGGAACTCCGAGGGTGAAGATGGAAGCGTTCAGGTAGGGAGGCCCCCTGCATTCTCCACATGACCGCTGGGTCCCTCTGTGTCCCGAGGGTCCCCCCGCAGTGTCTTTACAGGATGCTCCCTTCCCCGGCCAGGAACCTACCGTGGGCCCTTCAAGCACCCCTCCCCCCGCAGGTTGCCCATCCCTCTTGAAGGTGGCTTCTACTTTGAATCGGAGTGATTTGTCTCTACAGATGAGCGGGACCTGGTCCCAAACCTTGAGAAGCACCCAGCCGGGCAGTTGAGGGGCGCGTCCCCCCAGAAAAGGATGAAGTCGCTGAATTTGTCATAGACTTTATCAAACTTCTTTTCCTTTCCCCTTACACACTCCAAAACCACCATCTCACTGCAGCAAGAGTTTCCGGTTTTGCCTGTATGTGACAGCCCTGGTTAGAGAGAGCGCGGAGGTTAGAAGACAAAGCTCAGCCCCGCCAGGTCCGCGTCCAGGGCCCGCCCCCAGCCAACTTCCCTCCAATCACTGGCTTAGATGGACGTCAGTGACGTCATGGGTCTCTGGGCAGCTTTCCGGGGGCCTCAGCCAATCCATCTTGGCGTACGCGTAGAGACCAGTGGGGTGGGGAGTGAGGGTAAAATGTGCAGGGGAGGGTGAAAGGTGGAAGCAAGCCAGGTGGGGCAGAGATACAGGACGACAGACTCAAAAAAAGCCGGAGGCAGCGAGATAAGTGAGGAGAGAGAAGCAGCAGGCAGCAGGCTGGGTTGAACTGTGTTCCCCTAAAGCTGTAACCACATCCTAACCCCCAGTGCCTGTGCAGGGGACATGATTCCGGAAGGTCAAATCTCTGCAGAGGTCTCCAGTGGAGGTGAGATGAGATGACCCTGGATTCAGGCTGGACCCTACATCAAAGACTGGCGGCCCTACAAGTGGAAGTGATGAAGGCACCGCAAGGCCAGAAACTGGAGGTGGGGAGGAAATGATTGACTCAGCCACAGAAATGAAAACGCCTCAGGTGCAGAATGCTCCGGAAAAGGCAGACCAGAGGAGAGATCTGACTTAGCAGAGAGGGACCGACAGGTGGGGAGAGAGTCCCTGGGAGTCACCCACACTCAATGGGGGAGGCACGAGGTGGGGCAGGAGTGAGGGTCCCGGTTGGAAGGAAGGTGATGTATGACATACTGGGACAGGACAGGGCAGGGGAGGAGAAAGCCCCCGGGAGAAAAAGGGGGAGGGAGACTGTTTTAGGGAAAGAGAGAAGGGGGGGCACAGCACACTTCACAGTGAGCCTTGGCACTGAGGGCAGGTAATGCTCACCTGAGCAGGAGGTAGGGGTCGCCCCCACTTTGAATAGGAAGCAACGGGACACTAGGATGACTGGAGGAGGCAGGAGAGATGGATAGAAATGAAGCATGATAGGAGAGGAGGGGAGCTGGAGAGGGGATGAGTGAATGGGGTGACAGGTAGACAGGGGTTGGGAGAAACCCTCAGAAACAGAGAGGGGGTGCAGGGGCCCAGGGAAAGGTCCTGATTTAAAATGCTATGAAGAGCAGAAGGAAATAAATGTACAGATAATGAAAGAGGCACAGATAATGAGAAAGTCCAGTTTGGGTTATGCAGGACTTGACACCAGCACAGCCATGAAACGTGATGTTTGGTTTTTCTGTTCTTTGTTGTTTTGGCTGCTCTACGGAGGAAGAGACCCACAAAGGCGGAAAGTACTGAAGACTTGGGAAAGACGACGAGGTCGGGGATGGGGGGAGAGGGAAAGAGAGAGAGAGACATGAATTGATGGGGATAGCCTAAAGGACATGGTGACCGATCCAGGGACCTGCCAATTTTGAGGGGCCCAGAGGGACATCTGGAGACCTTAGGAGAGGGCAAGGATGACTCACGAAACCAAGATGACCCCCAAGAACAAGGCAGCCAGACACACGACGGCAATGCTGCCGAGCAGGGCCGAGTTCCGCATCTTTCTCTCTGTCCTGTAGTGCAGGGCCATGCGGGGTTGCCCGTCCACTGGGCCAGCAGGGGAGACCACACAGACCCCCCAAATCAGCACCCATCCATGGCCACCCCCCCCACCGGGGCGACCTGGGCACAGGTAGGGTCCCTCAACTACCTACTTGACCCCTGACCTCTCCTGGCGTCTGGCTGTCCATCTGCTCCTAAAACTCTCTATGGCAGGTGGGGTTCTAGACCTTGCTAGAGGGCAAGGGCATTTCAGAATGTCCAAACGGCTTCTGAACCACACAGTAACTGTGAAGGGCAGGATTCCAGGCTGCCTGGGGTCCCCAAACTCCACAACCCATGGGACACGACTTTTCATCTCTCACCAACCTGTCCCAGGTCTTCTCCAGCCCCAGGTACTTACTGAAGCAGTACTTTTTTTTGATGCATTGTGGGCTGATCTTCTGGCAACGTAGACAGTCCATGACCTCTTCTTTTAGGAAGTCTGGGGAGGGGAAGGGAGAAGTGAGATGAGGGCAAATGGCAGAGGACTGGCAAGGGGCAGAGAGGCAGAGAGGGAAGAGAAGTCCCCAGCCCTTCTGAGTTTGCGCAGTGCATGCAGGATGAAAGGTGCTGATGATTCACGCTGAAAACACTTTTTTAAAAAAAAGATTTATTTGTTTGTTTATTTATTTATACAAGCACTGGGTACAGTCAGAAGTGCGGGAGGGTGAGAGAATTCACCAGAGCCAGAGCCAGGAGCAGAACAGGCTGATGGACCGAGGTACACTGCTGAGGGGAGCAGTGGGTGGCAGGAGAGGTCTGCCCGCCATGTGGGACCCTCGCCCGGCGTCCGGGGATCGAACCGGCGCTACAGAGGCTGCGGGCAGCTTCGCAACCCAGCGCTCAACCGCTGCGCCACCGGGGAGGCCCTGAAAACACTTTCTATATCATGGAAGAATGGGCTGAGCGGCAGTTGTCCAGCTGACCCAACATCCTGCTGGTAAACATTTATAAATTCTGTTTGCACTTCTTTACTCCCATTTTGCAGCTCAGGCTGGAAGGGGCTGGAGGATGCGCACGCCTCTCCTCCTCTTCCTGTGCACACGGGAAGACTACATTTCCCAGGCTCCTTTGCAGCAGGTTACAACCATGTGACCGAATTATAGCCAATGGAATGGCTGCGACTTCCAAGCCTGACCATAAGTGTCCTACTTTCTATCCCTTATGAAGTTAGCAAAGAAAACACACAAAGGTGGGGCCTGGATTCCTAAGTCACCCACCACTTGGAAGAAATGCTCAACTCTCGGTGGAATCTGCATTAGCGAGAAACCAACTTTTGTTAAAATACTGAAATATTGAGGGGTATTTGTTAACATGACATCCATCCCTCCCAATTATTTTTGCAGGTTGCAACCATTTTCATACACCCTCAAAAATCAGCTCTTTGAGGCATTCTAGCTTCGGGCTTGGCAACCACTGCATGGAGTAGGTGTGATATGGAGTTTAATTTGGGGAAGTGGGTTAAAGAGGTAGGAGGGCAGAGAAGGGAGAGACAGAGAATCAATCCACGACTCACGGCAGGTTTTAGGGTCGCAGGCTGCAAGAGAAAAGAGCTGGTGTGAGTTCAGTTGGCACAGCAACCTGAGAGCTTCAGGGGAAGGGACTAGGAGCGGGAGGGAGCGGTGAGTCTAGGGAAGGAGGGAGAGGATGAGAAGTCGGATTAGATTATTGGAGAGGGCAATGGGGAAGGAGTCTGGGAGGGAAAGTGGATGAAGGGGATGGAGTAGAGGCGAGACAAGAAGGGGCTAGTTGGGGGAGCGATGAGCACCTTTAAATTCATATGATATTAAAGCTTTCTTGAGCCTCTTGAGCACCCTCTCCCTAAGAGCCACCAGCTCCTCCATGAGAGGCACATCTGAGGAGAGAGAGACCCTTGTGGATGGGAGGCGCTCCACAAGCCCTCCCATCTGCAGTTTCAAAGAGAAGGGGTGGGAAAGCTCCTTTTCAACTGGTCTGCTGGCCAAATCCATGGCCTGGGAGGGCCTACTCTGGCTTCAGATCCCCTGTGGGGCCCCGGGCTAAGCTGTCCTCCCTTGGCCTCAGTTTCCTCATCTGGTTAGTGCTAAGGGAGTGGACTCCAGAACCTCTGTCCTTCCCTCTACTCCCCGCTCCGCCTCTTTTCACTGTCTACGCTCGCTCCTTCATACTTTCATCCAGTCCCACGGGTCTATACCTAGACCTGCCCTGCCCAACAGGGTGGCTGGCAGTGCCACAAGGTCACTGGGTGCTGGAAATGGCTGGTCTGAATTGAGCTGTACTGTTTGTGTAAAGTATATGTTAGATTATAAAGCTATAGCATGAAAAAAAAACCTAAAAAGAGCTCAATAATTTTTGTGTTGATTGCATGTGAAAACGCCATATTTTAGATATTGGGTTAAATAAAATATATTACTGTGCATTTCACCTAAAACATTTGGCTACTAAAAAGTTTCCCATGACATACGTGGCTTTCACTTGTGGCTCATCTGATTTCCACTGCACAGCACTATCTTACACGCTGATGCTTTCTGAAGTTTCTATCCCTAGCCCAGACCTGTCATTCAAGTTCAGATTCATTTATGCACCTGTCCACTCAGGATCTCCACTTGCAAGGCACACTCAATAAATGCCACACTGCACCTCTGATATTCTCTTGTCAGCGCTCTTCCAGCTCCAGAGTCTTCTCCAGCATAGCAGAAGGCGGGGCCGGGATTCTCTTTTCTTAGTCCCCAAATCTTGGTATTTTGCTCCTTTCTCTTTCTCACCTCTCATGGGAGATGCAACTTGCATGTCAGAAAATCCTGTTTAATAGTCAATATAGATCCAGGAATCCAATTCCTTCTCATCCTCTCTGCTGCTACCACAGTCTCTTCCCCGGTGGTTGCTACACCAGCCTGCCCCCTCGCCCTGCTCATCCCCACAGCCAGAGGGATGCGACGGAAACCCATCCGCTCACTCATATCACTCAGAACCTTGCCATGTGACCTGGGACCAATGTGCCAACGTCCTACCTGAGCTACCCATCCTCCCCTGAGGTCCCCCGACCTCATCTTCCACACCTCCCCTCTCTCTCCACTCTGGCAGACCCTGCCAACCTGAGTTCTGCAAATAGGCCAAACACAGTCCCAAGTCAGGGATTGCATGGACTGTTCTTTCTGCCAGCTTCCACCACAGACCCCCTTGTGGCTGCCCCCCACCCCATTTTCTTTTTTTTTTTTTTAAAGATTTATTTATTTATTTATTTATTTATTTATTTATTTATTTATACATGCACTGGGCAGCGCGCCATGTGGGACCCTCCTCCGGTGGCCGGGGAGCAGCATGGGATGGAACCGGTGCTGCAGAGGCTGCGGGCAGCCTCGCAACCCAGAGCTCAACCGCTGCGCCACCGGGGAGGCCCCCCACCCCATTTTCAGGTTTCACAAGCTGACTTTGCAGTGACGTCTTGGCTGCCCTATTTTAAAGTGCACACCCCACCCTACTCCTAGCACCTCCTATCCCCTGGTCTCTGCTTTATTTTTCCTCCATAGTCTTTGTTCCCATTTGATTTCTTATACTGTGCAGCCAAGGATTAACTCAGCGGTTCTGAGCTGCCCAGAAAGAGTTGGCTACACATTCCACAAAGAGTTGGCTCCTGCCCGGCTCCTGGAGGTGACCTTCCAGGCTTTGGAATGGCCAGTGTGGAGAGTGTTTCTGTACTTTGGAGCCTTGCGCCACACCGAGAATCTACACCAACAATGAGATACACGGGGGGCGGGAGGGGGGCACAAGGCAGCAGTTTGGTCTCTGGAGGGGCTGAGGGGGACTGGGTAAGGTCAGTCCCTCAAGCACTGCCTGCCTGTGTAACTGAGCCCCATTAATAATCATTTCTTCAAAAGTGTGACTTTCGTAATAGACAATTGAAGGGAATGTGAAATCACAGATCAGGACAGATCGAGGCTCAAAAGGCAGCTGGGGATGATGGGGGATCTGCAGAGGACTGATGGGGTGATAGTGCGGAATCAGTGTTAAATGACCCCGTTGCGCTCACTGATTTATAGAGCCAGTTAAATCAGAGTCCTGGAGGTTGCTTCATTGTGTACAAGAATATCCTTGTTGTTAGGCAGCTTTTGAAAAAATTCAAATGAGAAGTTATATTGTACTATTCTTATAACTTCTCATTTGAATTTTTTCAAATATAAAATTCTCCCTTTTCAGGGGGAGAGCTTTAAACATTACTGCTATTCAGGCCCAAACCCCAAGATGCTGATTTAACTGGTCGAGCTGCCTTCTGCCTGTTTTACATGCTACCCCAGGTGATTCCTTATGTGGGGCCTCATTCGAAACCCGCTACTTTAAATGCTTTCTGTTTAGGGTCCACGTCATCCACACGGTCAGCTTTGGGGGGTACATATCCCTGACCCCAGCTGGGCTCTGCTTGGAGAGCAAAAGCAGCCCCACAGGCAATTCTAAGTGAACGGGTGTGGTAATGTGCCAATAAAACTTTATTTACAAAAACCAGAGGTTGCATTTTGTCCCCGTCTAGAGGCAAGACCCAGCATCACCATCATCAAGCTGACACTTGGGGGCACTTCCTGGGTGCAGACTTTGCTGTCAGTGCATGTTCACAAACACTTCTAGGTAACTATGCCATGAGAGCTGTTATTCCCATTTTAAAGATGAAGAAACTGAGGCACGAGGTGGTTAAACAGCTTGCTTACCGTTGGCCAGGCATCAAACCCAGAGGAACTGACCCTTGGGGCCTCCCCTCCACCTTCCACACTGTTGTCCAAGGGCTGAAATGAGAACCCAGCCTCCCTGAGAAACATGATCTGGTGGTTAATTCTATTTCATTTCCCGAGGAGTCGGATCACAGGGGACTACATATGTGGGTCTTTTCTCTTGACAGCTTTATCGTGATATAATTAACTTACTATCCAATGCATCCATTTTTTTTTTAAAGATGTATTTGTTTTTATACAAGATCTGGGGTACAGGCCAGAGGTACAGGAGGGTGAGAGGATTCACCAGAGACAGAGTGGGGAGCAGAACAGGCAGATGGATCGAAATACACTGCTGAGGGGATCAGTGGGCGAGACAGGAGAGGTCTGCCATGTCATGTGGGAATCTCCCTGGCTGGCCGGGAATTGAACCTGTGCTGCAGAGGCTGCAGACAGTTTCACAGCGCTGCGCTCAACCCGCTGCACCACCGAGGAGGCACTGCAATGCACCCATTTAAAGTGTACAATTCAGCGTTGTGTAACTCTCACCACAACCAACTTAGAATATTCACTACTTCAGAAAGCATACTTAAAAAATTGGCCTCTCTAGTGGAGCAAGGGGTTAAGCAAAGCACTGTGACGCTATTCCCAGCCTCTGCAGCACGAGTTTGATCCCTGGCCAGGGAGCTACCCACATAGCGCAGCAGACCTCTCCTGTCTCCCGGCTGCTCCCCTCAGCAGTGGATTTCAGTCAGTCTGTCTGTTCTGCTCCCCACTCTGTCTCTGGTGAATCCTCTCACCCCCCAAATCCAGCACATCTGGGCTGCACCCCAGCTCTTGTATGCACAAATAAGCAAATCTTAAAAAAAAAAACTAAAATATTTTCCTGTTCATTAAATGGAAGAGTAATTCTAAAAAATGCGATGATTGTTTTTTTTACATAATTACAATGATTACCATTTCTGATTCTATGACCCAAGGCCTGGGGAGAAAGGAAAGGGCTGGAAAACGATCAGACTTGGACGAGCACAGGGGAGGGAGCAAACATCGCTGACCGGTCCCTTTACACCAGGGCCTGGGCTTCAGCGCCTTGGCGGCCCCCCTTCCGGGCATCCCCTTATACAAAGCACACGCATGTTTCACATCTTCCCAAAAAGGTGGGCTCTTTGGGGAGTCCTTCCAGCCCCACCCCTCACAGCAAGGCTAGGCGTTTGGGGCGGGGGCGCCAGTCCAGAGTCCTCTACCGCCCTCTGCCGGGAACCTGCGGTGGTCACCGGGCAAGTCTCCACCTACTAACACGCCCGGGGGAACCGGGGCCGGGAGCCCCCAACACCAAACCAGAAAGACAGGCCGCGGGGCGATGGTCAGGAGTTTGGGCCAGGTATTCTGGGCTCAGATCCTCTGAGGTATTACTCACCAGCGGTGTGACTTTGGGCATGGCGCCTAACCTCTCTGAGCCTCAGTCTCTCCCCCTCTGTAAAGGGGGGCACCAAGGTGCCCCCACAATGGACTGTCGGAGACTTTCTGCACAAGGCACTTTGACCCCTGCCAGGCAAACAGCCAAGGCGCTCCTGAGCTGGCTTTCGTTTTACAGCAAGAGGAGGCGGGTGGCCATGGCGGGGAGGTCCCCCCTCGGCTCCTACCTCTCAGAGAACTCCGCTGCACGGTGTTCGTTTCATTCCTGAGGAAGGTCACCACCTGTTCCAGAGGATCTAAGCCTGGGGAGGGAGAGGGGAGGAGGCAAGTGACCCCCCATCTTTCTTCAGCCCTGGCTCCCGCCCTCCCCTCTTGGGGGCGTGGTGTTCCCCCCAAGCTCGGAGCGACCCCCACACGAGTCCTTCCCGTCAGGGCTGTTCCCTGCACGCACCCACTTTCCCCACAAACGCGTGCAGCGAGTAGTCCCGGAAGAAAGGCCCCTCCATGGCCAACAGCAGGACCTGCGCGCGGGTGCGCAGCTCCTGCAGGTGGAAGCGCTGGGGGATGAGGGCCCCGCGGAGCTGCTTCAGGGCATCCACCACCGTGACCTCGCACTGCAGGCAGCCCCCGCCTCCGCGGGCGCCCAGGCCCAGCAGCAGCAGGAGGGCCAAGGCCGGAGGCATGGCCGGACCTTTGTGGCGTCACAAGAGCAGCTGGCCGCCCCGCCCCCCGCTGGGGCGAGTCACGTGTTTCTTGAGCACCTACTGTGTGGTCGCTCAGGGCAGACACGTGTTTGCTAAGCACCTACTATGTGCTAAGGCGGGTGCTAGGAGAGAGAGGTAGAGCTGAAAAAAACAGGCGATCCCTGTCAGCACTTAAAATCATTATTTCAACAGGTATTCACTGCGCACCTGTGTGCCCAACCCTCTATGCCGCCGGATATAGAACTGGGGCAGAGACAGCCTCTTCTCATCCAGATTTGTTCAACAAGTGCTGTAGACATATGAATGTCAAGGGAGCACCTACTGTGTGCCAAGCACAGGAGATAGACTAGGTAAGATGAACACAGTCCTCCTGGTGGAATTCAATCTAGCAGGGGTGGAGAGAAATGTCAGTCTCGGTAAACTTCAGTATATACAGATAGTCAGGCGTCCCTTAAGTGGCCATGTTCTGAGTAATGCCTCGCTGGGTGATTCCCTCCTGGTGAGAACAGCATGCAGTGTAATTACAGGCACCGAGGTGGGCAGCCTCCCACACTCCTGGCTTGCATGGTGCAGCCTGTTGGGGCCACAGACCTGTATGTGGAAAGTTCTGGGAAGCAAAGAAACAGTGGGATATGATGAGAGGTCCCGGCAGGCTTGAGCCAGGCGAGAAGGGGGATGTGGTTCCCACCGGGCACGTACCAGGTGCTTAGTAGGTAAAGAAATGCCGGACTATCTGTTCTTCCAAAGGAGGGAAATTCTGATATATGCTACCATATGGATGAACCCTGAGGTCATTATGTTAAATTAAACAAGCCAGTCACAAAAAGACAAGTACTGTATGATTCCATTTACAAGCAGTATCTAGAGTACCTAGGGTAGTTGAAACTACTCTCAGAATACTTCACACAGGTTTGATGAGCTCAAGCATATTCAGACTTTCCTAAATGCCTAACGCTACTCTGCTTCATATCACCTCCTCCAAGAAGTCCTCCCAGATTGCCCCCATTGTAAAAGCATGTCTTCCTTTGTTAGTCTTTGTTTTAGGGATTGGCAAACACTCTCTGTAAAGGGTCGGGTTGTAACTATTCAAACTTCTGTGACACACAGTTCTCCACAGCTGTTGTAGCAGGAAAGCAACCCTAGATAATATGGAAATGAATGCACATTGCTGTGTTCCAATGAACTTACTTACGGACAGTGAAATTTGAATTTCATGCAATTTTCATATGACAAACTATTATTCTTCTTTTGACTTTTTTCAACCATCTAGGAATGTAAAAACCATTCTTAGTTTGAAGATACTATCATTAACTTCAACTCATTTATCCTGCCGGTTTCCAACACAGCACTAATTAAGATGGACAATAATTCTTTATTTTTATTTATTTATTTAAGATTTTATTTTTTTTTTTTTTTTTTTTAAAGATTTATTTATTTATTTGTACATACAAGCACTGGGTACAGTCAGAAGCACGGGAGGGTGAGAGAATTCACCAGACCCAGAGCGGGGAGCAGAGCAGGCAGAAGGACCGAAATACACTGCTGAGGGGAACAGCGGGCGGCAGGAGGGGTCTGCGCGCCATGTGGGACCCTCCTCTGGTGGCCGTGGCCGGGGAGCAGCTGGGATCGAACTGGCGCTGCAGAGGCTGTGGGCAGCTTCGCAACCCAGCGCTCAACCACTGCGCCACCGGGGAGGCCCTATTTTTATTTATTTATTAAAGATTTTATTTTTTTATTTATACAAGAACTGGGGTACAGGTCAGAAGCACAGGAGGGTGAGAGGATTCACCAGAAACAGAGCAGGGAGCAGAACAGGCAGACTGATGAAATACACTGCTGAGGGGAGAAACGGGGAGACAGGAGAGGTCTGCGAGGTCTGCTGCGCCATGTGGGTCAGCTCCTTGGCCGGCCGGGAATCAAACCCATGCTGGAGAGGCTGCGGACAGCTTCACAGTGCTGCGCTCAACCTGTTGTGCCAACCAGGGAGACCAAAAATTCTTTTTTAAAAATCTCTCCCCATACCATCCCAAAACCTCTTGAAGCCAGGAACCAGGTGTGTTGCTCACCACTATGTTCTGTTTAACCTCCTTGTGCCTCAGGAAACCTCCAGTTTCCTCATCTATAGTTAGGAAAGGACGTGGCATACAGGAGAGAGGTACTCAATGAATATCTGTCAAGTGAAAAAAGTCAGTATCTCTTTCTGAGCCTCAGTTTCCTTCTCAGTAAAATGGGGATAATAACATAATGACCTTCTCCCAAAGGTAAGATGGGCACAAGCCACTGTTTGCACTAACTGTTCTGCAAGCTGGGCATCATGTGTGGTGAGACAGGGAACTGAACTTTTCCTTTTATTTGTAATTTATTTAAAGTGAAAAATTTGGGCCTCCCTGGTGGGATAAAAGTCTCAGTGCTATCACCCTATCACTACAATGGCCTGAGTTAGCCAGGGAGCCACCCACGTGGTACGGCAGACCTCTCCTGTCTTCCCACTGCTCCCCTCAGCAGTGGATTTCAGTCAGTCTGCCTGTTCTGTTCCCCACTCTGTCTCTGGTGAATCCTCTCACACACACACACACCCCATCTCCTCTGGCCCATATCTCAGTTCTTGTATGCAGAAATAAATAAATAAATCTTTTTTTTAAAACCTGAAAAATTTAATGAATTTTTAAAAAAGAATCAAAATGTGAACCCTTGACTCAGTTACTGGGTACGCTTTAAAGGTGATTGGATTAGTGTGAGTTCCTGAATGTGATTCTCCAGCTCTAAGTCTTATGAAATCTAAACAAAGATCAAGTATTTCAGGGAAATGTTAGTGTCTGAATTGATACAAGTGGCGCTGAGCATTTCGAAGACTTAGTACCAAATAAGTATAGTACGGGGCCTCCCTGGTGGCGCAGGTGGCTGAGCGCCGCAGTGTGAAGCTGTCTGTAGCCTCTTCAGCATGGGTTCGATCCCGGCCAGCCGGCGAGAATCCCAAACGGCCCAGCAGACCTCTCCTGTCTCCCCTGCTGCTCCCCTCAGCAGTGTATTTCGCCAGTCTGCCTGTTCTGTTCCCTGCTCTGTTTCTGCTGAATCCTCTCACCCTCCCACGCATCTGGCCTGTACCCCAGTTCTTGTACAAATAAATAAATCTTTTAAAAAAAAAGTATAGTACGGAAGTAATTATTTTAAGTAACTATTGTGTGTTGAAATGATATTATTTTGGATATATAGTTAAATAACACTATTAATATTACCTGTCTCTTCTTATTTTTAAAATGTGACTAATGGAAAGTTTGAAATTAGATCTGGGGCTCCCATTATATTTCGATTGGATGTTGCTGCTGCTTTAGTACACAGCTCAATTCAGATCGTCTGATTTAATTACACAGGATTTAATTACGGGGGAAGTAGTCTGATTCCCTTAGGTTGCAATGGCGCCGTTAGGCCACAAGAGGGCGATCGCGCCCGAGTGAAATTCTGCCTGCTTTTCTAAGCTACAGCCAACCTTGGCGTCCCACCTGCCACTCCAGAAAAGCCACTCATCACAGTAGCTCAGGCCGTGGAGAGCCTACTTCGAGACAGGAACTCAGGTAGAAACTTGTGGGACCTTCTCCTCTTCCCTAAGCAGACATTGTAGGAGCTTTTGTTTGTCTAAGAAGTGTCAGAAAACAAAGAAATGTTACAGAAAACAAAGGTGGACAAACAAAGGTTGCACATTCCTCTGAGTCTAAGCCCCAAAGCTGGGCCCAGGTGTGAAGCTGCAAGAATCCGGAAGAAGAACCGGTTTTCTTTCTCTAATCCCTGAGCCTCTCTGAAATGTTATCTGGTAAACCGTCCTGAAATGAAGTCTGCGCAGCTCACACAGCAGCTAGCGTCCCAGCAGGTGCAGGGCGAATCAGGCCCTGGGTGTCCAGGGCGGAGAATTCAGCAGGCGCAGGAAGGCACATGCTCGATTGTCTGCAAAGCAGTGTTAACATCAAATCTCCCCCAGTTGAACAAAGACTTTATTAGATCATCAAAGTGAGGATTTGCGCCGGGAAGCAGCCTGACAGATTGTACCTGTGAGAACTGTTCCAATAAATACAAGTTTGAGTTGAGTTTCTAGAAGCAGAAACAGTGAGTCATGGAAACTACAAATGTAATTATTCTTTTTTTTTTTTTTTAATTTATTAATTCAAGCACTAGGTACAGTCAGAAGCGCAGGAGGGTGAGAGAATTCACCAGAGCCAGGGCAAAGAACAGAACAGGCAGACTGACGAAGCACACTGCTGAGGGGAGCAGCGGGTAGCAGGAGAGGTCTGTGCACCATGTGGGACCCTCGCCAGTGGCCGGGGATCGAACCAGCGCTGCAGAGGCTGCAGCCCAGTGCTCAACCACTGCGCCACCAGGAGAGGCCCCCAAATGCAATTATTCTTGACAGTTCTAAGTTGTCTTGACCTAAAGGTGTCTGATGAGAGGAAAGCCGTGTAGGATTTCATCTCTCCCTTTCTCAGGGGTGCCCTGAGAACCGCAGAGGCTGGGGACTGGCTGTTAAATTTTTATCTGCTCCTGGGTCACCAAGAGGGAGCGTGGGGTGAAAAGGCTGGCTTTACCTGCACCCGATTTTGTAGGCCTGTTTCAGACTTCAAGTCTCTGCAGATGGCTCTGCTCTCTTGCCTGTGAGATCTGGGGGAGGCCTGGGGGTGAGAGGGTTCCCCAGAAAATTTTACATGTTTGCAGTGGCAAAATGAATCTCAGTGGAAAAAAAAAATAAGGGTGATATCGACAACCCAGTACTGTTGAGGTCAATTTAAAATGTACGCATCAGGGCCTCCCTGGTGGTGCAAGGGGCTAAGATGCAACCTATGAAGCTATCCCCCGCCAGGGAGCTAACCCATATGGCGCAGCAGACCTCTCCTGTCTCCCAGGTGCTCCCCTCCGCAGTGTATTTCAGTCAGTCTGCCTATTCTGTTCCCCTCTCGGTCTCTGGTGAATCCTCTCTCCCCCCGCACCTCTGGCCTGTACCCCAGTTCTTGTCTGCATAAATAAATAAATCTTAAAAAAAAATTCCCCTTTCTCCTATAAGTGAAATCATCTGATATATTTATACAAGCACTGGGTACAGTCAGAAGCGCGGGAGGGTGAGAGAATTCACCAGAGCCAGAGTAGGGAACAGAACAGGCAGACTGACGAAATACACTGCTGAGGGGAGCAGCAGGTGGCAGGAGAGGTCTCCGCGCCATGTGGGACCCTCACCTGGGGGCCGGGGATCGAACTGGCGCTGCAGAGGCTGCGGGGCAGCTTCGCAGCCCAGGGCTCAACCACTGCGCCACCAGGGGAGGCCCTCATCTGATATTTTAAAAAATAAATAAATAAAATGTATGCATCACACACAAAAATACCCGATGTGTAGAACACTGACAAGCCAAGGAAGACCCAGTAATCATGACAACAGTGTTACTGTCAGGGCAGGAAAAGAGAGGGGATGGTGAGGACAAAGGTGGAGGTGTGAAAAAGAAACCCATAAAACTAGCTCAGGCTGTCAGAGCAACCCCCCACCCCCACCCCCTTCCGCAGCGCCCTCATCTGTAAAAGGAGAGCATGTGAGGATTGCTCAGATGCTGTGGTGGTGAGAAGGGACTGGGGTGACATAGTTAAAGTCCTTGGCACAGGCGTTATCCCACAAAGGGGAGCTGGCAGAGCAACAGGGTGGTCCCCAGGAAAGGGGGAGGTTCCCTGCCCCACCCAAGGGAGGGTGGAGCTGAGCAGGAAGAGGAGAAGCTGCAGAAGAGACTGAGGAAGGAAGCAGGATGGAGCCAGGAGACCTGGAGGAGGCGCGTGGAGCCTAGAGACACGTGAAGAAACTGCGCTTGTCTTTTGGTCGTGGACGGGGTGACACAGATGTGGGTGAGACCCGTGGGGAGGTGACAGTGGCAGCTTTTATCTTGATGTTGATTTTGCTCTTTTCCTTCCGGGCTTGTCTGGTTGTTTCTGGCCCTTTTCTGTGGGTCCCTACTGGAAGGTGCTTTAGACTTGGGGCAGGCTTTGGGGCCTTGCTCTGGGCCAATCCCATTTGGATGGACTTTTACCCACGAGGGGACGGGTAACTCTGGATGCTTCATTTAGAAACTAGACTCTTTGCCTTACCTGTGTTGTGTCCTAGTTTAATTAAAGTTCCTTCCCATTAAAGTCTCCTATGTTTTGTGTTGATGTGGCGGATGGCAGAACCCATGTAGAATAGGCAGGTTTGCGGGGTTTTGGGCTGCCCCTCTCCCTGTCCTATAACAGCAGGAGCAGGAGAGGAGCCCTGTGTGGCCCACTCAGAAATTCAGCCCTCATGCTTCTGGCACCTTTAGCCTCAGCCTCCTTCCTGGTCTCCTCCCTGCTTCCTGTCACTCCCCACCTCCAGCCCATTCCCTGCAGAGCCCCTGCCCCTCCCTTGTTCAGAGTCCTTCCAGAGCTTCCTGGTGGCCCCAGGACAGAATCCAGCCTGCCATGGGAGACAGCAGGGCTTGGCATTGGCCAGACTCTCCAGGGTATACCTGGCATCACCTTTACTGTGACACTCGAACACTGGGGGAGAACCTGATTGACATCTCAGTGCCCTTGTCCACGCAGACCCCTCCTTCTCCACCTGCCCAGTGAACTCAATTCCATGCTGTAGTCACAGCCTGGCATGTGCCCTTTGACCCAGAAACTCCAAATCTAGGAATTTAGTCTTAAGATAATACTCATACCTGCGTTCAAAGAGCTGCACACATCTCACAGCCAAGGGCAAAATAACCCCAGGGTTCATGGGGAGGGTGAGTCAGATAAATCCCTCGGGGCTGCTAAATAGATGAATGTGACAGAGACACACCCTGACAGATGGAATCCTCTTCAAGAAGAGAAAAATGAAGGTGCAAATGGGGTACCCTGTGCTCTTCCCCTCCCCCCTTGCTGTGTGACCTAAGGAAAATGCCTCATCTCTCTGAATCTCCATTTCCTCATCTACAAAATGGGAAAT